AAAATAACTAATAGTGATGTAGAGACAAGATGGTAAATTGAAAAATGTCAATGAGGGAAAAATGCGACAAAATGTCAACTAGGCAAAAATACGACAAAATGTCAACTAGGCAAAAATACGACATAATGTCAGCAGGGCAAAAATGCGACAAAATGACAAAAGGCAAAATGTGACATAATGCCAACAGGGCAGAAATTTTTAAAAATGTCAACAGGGCGAAAATGTGACAAATCATCGAAGAGAAATGAGAATATGTATTTTTTAAAAATAAAAAAGATAAATAAAAAATAAAATAAAAAGTACCAACATAAAAATTGAAGATGTATCATTTATAGGAACATTTTTATGTATTTTATATATTTCCATAGAAAGTGTTTCCATTAAATTAATTATTGAAAGACATTAAATTGAAAAAATATTTTATCATTTTTTTAGACTAGGAAATAATAAAAAATATTAATAGATAAAAAATAAATTAAAAATAAATTTATTTTATTTATTTATAGAGTGGCAATTGATTTATTTTAATTGATTTTTAAATTGACTTGCTTTAAATGCTTTAAAATAAATTAATTTATTACTAGCAAGTTTTAAATAATAAATTAAATAAGTTTTATAATAAAATAAACTTGGACAAGTTTATTTAATTAAATAAACTTGAATAAGTTGGAAAAAGTTGGAAAAGTTTATTTTATTAAATTAAAAAAGCTTTATTAAATAAACTTGAATTAATAAACTTTTTACAATTTGTAATTACAATATACATATTTAAATAAACTTGGACAGGTTTATTTTTATTAAAATTAATTTACTAATTGTAATTACAAATTGTAAAGTTTATTAATTCAAGTTTATTAAAAATAATATTAATGTATTATTGTATTTTTTGTATTTTTCTGTGTTTTTCAAGTTTTATTTTTGTGTTTTATTTGAAATTAATTATATTTAATATTTACTGACTATATTAAATGACGAATTCAATTAATTTATTTTAATATTAATTTTCTAAAAATTATTATTTTTTTGTCTTTTTTAATTAAAAATTATTTTAATTAGAAGAATAATTCAAAAATAATTTTTTTTGTATTTTTTAATTATTTTAATTATTTTTTTATTAATTATTTAATACAAAATTTATTCAAAAAATGTAAAAAAAATTCTAAAAATTCACAAAAAAATTTTTTGATTAATAAAATCTTTATTTAATTCATTTATCTTCATTTATTTACCAATAATTTCCATATCCATACAAATTAGGATAAACAATTCTTTTATAATACACTTGACGGGTATACGGGTAAAACACATTGTCTGGATATCCACCTATTTTTTTAAAATTAAAAATTAAATTTTTTTTAATTAATTTAGAAAATAATAATTAATTTAATTATTAATTTAATAAAAAATTCAGAAAAAAATTTTTCAAAAAAATTATTTATTTACCATAAAAATAATTATTATAAGGATAATAGTAGTTGCGTTTTTCGCGCACTTGTAGAGGCTTTCTTTAAAGATAAAATAAGAATTATTAATAAAAATATTTTTAAGACAAACTCTTCATTAAATGACGCAGCTTTAGTCGTCATACATAAATTAACAAAAATAATTGTAAAAATAAGGGAGAAAAATAAAACTTTGGTAAAATACATATTTTTGTATTTTTCTGTATTTTTTGTATTTTGTAAAGTTTCCAAGTTTATTTTAAAGTCGTATTTCAGGTTTACTTAAATTAAGGTTGTATTTCAAGTTGCAAATTTATTTAAAATTTGCAAGTTTTATTTAAAGTTTATTTCAAAGTTTATTTTAAAATTGTAAAAAAAGTTTATTTAATTTAAAGTTGTATTTTTAATATTTCAAGTTTATTTTAAAGTTTTAGAATGAATTAAAGTTGGAATTTATTCACTTTTATACTAATAATTTTCCAACTTTTTTTACAATTTGTAATTACAATTATTCTTTTTTTATTTTCCAACCTTTTCTAACTCAACTTTGTTAGATAAACTTATTTTTAGTTCAAAATTTTTTTTAAATTTCCTTTTGTATTTTTATTTATTTAATTCAAGTTGAATTTAAAAAATAAGGCAATTTTAAAATCAAGTTTTATTTTAAAAAGGTTTTGTAAATTTATTTAATTTTACAATAATTTTAAGTAAAAACAAGTTCGTCTATTTTTGTGTACTTTCAAGTGGATTTTTTTTTGAATTTTTTATTAAAATATTCTTTGAAAAAATTTTCAAAAATTTTCAAAAAAATTTTTCTAATTCAAAAAAAATTTTTTTTTATTTTAATTTTTAAATTTTGTACTTGATATCATTCTAAATTTATTTTTTATTTTTTAAAATAATTTTAAAAAATATTAAGGAAGCCTCAAAATTCATACACACATACCTAATTTAAGTACTTATAAAATTAAAAAAATTACAAAAAAAATTTTTTTTTAATCTAAAAATATTTTTTTTTAAATAATTCTTCACTATTATTAACAAAATATTAATATCGTCAAAACTTTAAAAATAATAGCAAAAAAGATATGTCACACAAAAAGACCATTAAATATTAATTAATGTACGTCTATGTATTTTTAAAGGTAAAAAAATACAAAAAAAATTTTTTAATCTCCCCTCAATTTTTATTTTATTATTAATTTATTTATTATTTTATTTTAAGCTTTCCTTTCAAAATTAAAAAAATAATTATTTTTTTAATTATGTAATAAAAGTCTGTTTCTACACTAGGCAGACTTTCAGTGGAGGCAGACTTAAAAATATTATTATTTTTAAAAGACAAAACAATATTTTCCCCCTTTTTCCTAATCATTTTTAAAAGGAGATTTATTAAATACCTATTTATATACCTTAATATTTATTTAATTAAATAAATAAATGATGAGTATTTGCGTGAATAGAGCTTTAGAAAAGCCTATTTTTTGCTTGTTTTTAAAGAGATTTTCGAGAATTTTGGAAAATTTTTGAGAATTTTCAAAATCTTCAGAAATTTTTAAAATTTTAAAAAATCTTCAGAAATTTTCTAAAATTTTTCAAAAATTTTCCCAAAATATTTTTTTTATTTTTGTACTCAATTTTATCAAAAAAAAATTAAAATTAAAAATTCAAAAAATTATTTTTGTTTTTTTTACACTGTTTGAACGATAATTCCAATCCCTTATTTTTCAATCTAAAAGTATTTAATGGTTATTCACTCTTTTAAAAAAATTTAAAATATTTCTTTTTAAGATTAAAAAGTGTGTTTCCGGATGTTTTTAATATTTAAATATTTATTGGCAATTTAACTTTCAGTTTCTTTCTCTCATTTTCCATCATTTCTACCTTTCCATGTGCGCTAGAAAAACGCAAAAAAATTTTGTCTTAAAAAATTTTGAAACACACTAATGAACAGAAATCGAACTTTCGACAGCCTTTGGTAGGTTATATATTATAGGATTTCGATATCATGTCGTCTTTCCTCCAATAAAACGTCTATTAGTCACTTGGGGCTGTTAGTGACGTGTTGTCAAGCTATATCGAGAGTCTGTCCATACTGTCCATACAATAGAGGTATGCCGAAAATGATCTTGAAAAGCGAAAGACGATAGGCGAAACGGCACTCTCCTTATTTGTATATATCAGGGAACGAGCCAACAGTAACACAAAATCCCCGATTCCCGCAAATCGGGAATTCCCAATCCAAAAATCGTCGTGAAGTTCCGAGTTCCGAAAATCGTGAATTTTTTTCATTGTCGGCTCGTTCCCTGATATATTAAAAAATGTTCGGCATATCTGTTTCTGTCTAAAATAACAAAGGGAGTCACTAAGGGATAATCAAAAGCTTTTATTTTTCCAACAAAGTATATCCTTAAGGCGTCTTAGCTGATTTAAAATGAATCAACATTATACCAAACAAAATTTTTTATACCGTCAAAAAGTGCAAAATAAATTTGCGCACATTTATTTAAATATATTATGCATATGTAGTTTATTTAATCTCCTTCTCCTCGTTATTTTAAAAAAAATTTTACATTATTAAAAAAATTATTTTGCAAAAATAAATGTAAATAAATATTTAAATATAAAGATTATCTGTCATATTTTAAATTTTTTTTAAATTAAAAAAATTTCTTTATAAGCAGAAGATAAATTTTAATATTTCGTACTTTATTATATTTTTAAAAATAATTTAAAAAATAAAATAAAATGACTATTGCTGGATATTCCGACGACAAAATTATTTGGTCACTTCTACCTGATCCACAAACTTCTAGGCCTATTCCGAAAGGAGCTAAAGTGCTTTTAAGGTATGTATTTTTTAAAATAAATATTAAACACAAAATATTAAATTAGATAAAACACAAGAAATACAAGAAAAAACACAAAAAAACACACAAAAAACACAAAAAAAACACAAAAAAACACAGAAAAACACAAAAAAACACAAAAATACAAAAAAACACAAAATAATACAGAAACGAAACACATAAAAACACACAGAAACACAAAAAATACAACTTTCAAAATTTTCAGATGGGACGATGACAACAAAACAAGAAAAGAAAAACACCATAAACATCGCCACCACCACAACAAAAATAATAATAAACACCAAAACACTCAACAACATCCCCCTAGAAGACCTTCAATTATTGCCAATTATCCTTCCACTTCCTCTTCATATTCTTATTCTCCCAATCAATTTGCTAATACTTTTAGAAGCAGTAAGCACTTTTAAGAGATAAATTAGTGGAATTAATCTAGGGTTACTGTAATCTCTCATTTTTTAACCCTCTCATTAAATCATACAAAATTGCTCATTTCGGTCAGAACGAGAAAATACTCACTTCGGTCAATTGGATAAAAATTGCCCATTTCGGTCAAAATAAAATAACAGAATGTAAAAATGTCGAACAAGGAAAATTACTAATTTGGTCACTTAGTAGAAAAAAGGACATTTCGTCACATAGTAGAAAAATACCCATTTGGTCACATAGTAGAAAAATACCCATTTGGTCACATAGTAGAAAAAAAGACATTTCGTCACAGGCATCTAATTAATTTTATTATATTTAGGAACAGCATTAGACCGTTCACCAGTATCATTTATCTCCTCATCAGAACTAACAGCGAAAAATTTTGAGGAAAATATTGAAGAGCATTTATTCCCTTCGGGTCTACTTTTATTCTCCTTCTGTGGATTTCTGCTAATTTTCCTCGTTGGAATTTTTCTTTTTCGAATTTTCAAAAGCTCCGAGAGAGAAATGTTATCGTCTTCACATTCTCGAGAATTACAAATTGTTTTGGTACCCAAAAATAGATTAATTAAAAATTCTCCAATATTCCCCGTGAAAGAAGAAAATTTGGAAGAAGAACAAAAAGAATTGTTGAATGAACAGCAACAACCTGTAATTAGTGGAAGGAAATTATTCCCCAAAAGAATTTATGAAATACAAGCAGAAGAAGGATATTACTCTTGCCCGCCGTCTATGAGGGCTAGTTTTGAGGCTGATTAATTAGTTAAAATTGAATTGTCCTCTTAATATAGGGAGGCAGATATATCGGGACGGAAATATCGGGATGGAGAGGGGGGAGCTGGGTCTGGACCAAGGGGGGGCTGGAGTAGAGGGGATAGGGGGGCTGGGAGTCCTAGCTGGGCCTAGAACCAAGGCCTGGGTTTTTCCTGTATCCAGAGTCCAGGCCCGGGCATTTTTTATCTTCCTGAGTTTTTCCTTGGCCTGGGTTGGATCCGGCCCAGGCCAATAAATCAAACCTGGAACTCAGGAACAGGCCCAAGCTTTTCAAAGATCTCGAGCTCTAATGAAGTTTCCCTACTAATTATGAGATCTAAGGCCACTGTATCATTGATAGTTCACTGCCCTATTGAAGAAAAGAGTTTTTTATGTTTTAGACCCAACCTAAACACATGAGATTATTTTTTGATACCGCAATCCCGGATGTCCGTCCCGTTATGTCTCCCTATCCCTCAATGCACTTTTGTATTTTTTGTGTTTTTTGATGCTTTAATAATTTTTTAATAAACACGATGTTTAATTATAATATTTTTACCGGTATAAAACTTTAAATAAATCCGTTTCCTTTTAATTATTTTTTATTTATTAATTTATTTACTCTAGTTAGGGTACTCGGAAATGATAATTAAAATATTATTAAAATAAAAAATATTATTAAAAAATATTTTTATAACTGTCTAGCATTTATTATAAACAAGATAGACATAGAATATTAATTAATTAAAAATTGAAAATTTTGTTAGTAGTTAATAATAATAAAGGATTAAAATAATGAGAATTATAGTAGTATAGGTGTGCGCAAAAAATATTAAATAAAATTCTGATTTTTTGATTAAATAAAATTCTGGGTTTGCCATTGAGCTAGATTTATTCTGATTTGAAATATATTTTACAATTTGAGTTGATAAATTTATTATTTTACAAATTCTGAATTTTTACAAATACAGGAATTACAAATTCTGATTTATTTTAAATTACAAATTGTATTTTTAACAAACCAGAATTTGTAATTAAAAAAACCAGAATTTGTATTTTTAACTAAATTACAAATTCTGATTTTAAAGAATTACAAATTCTGGTTTATTTAATTAGAAATTCTGATTTTTAAAAATTACAAATTCTGATTTTTTTAAATTACAAATTCTTATTATTAAAAATTACAAATTCTGATTTTTTTAAATTACAAATTCTGATTTTTAAAAATTACAAATTCTGATTTTTTTAAATTACAAATTCTGATTTTTAAAAATTACAAATTCTGATTTTTTTAAATTACAAATTCTGATTTTTAAAAATTACAAATTCTGATTTTTTTAAATTACAAATTCTGATTTTTAAAAATTACAAATTCTGATTTTTTTAAATTACAAATTCTGAAATTTCCTCCACTCTAATATTAAACTTGCCAGTAATAATATTAACGTAATTGTAATAGCCAATATCTGCGTTAATTTGAGCATAAAAATCCAAGAAAGAAGGCAATAATAGGGCAATAAAATTATCTGAAAATATTTTTCAATTAAATTAAATAAACTAACAGAAAGACAAAAATGTGGAATTAAAATAATTAAGTATTCCTTAACTTCTCCAATAAAAGCAAGTACAACTGTTATAGACCACAACAAGTTGAGAATGAGGGAAACTTGGAGGGTGATTCTGAAAGATTTTTTTGGTAAATTAAATTCTGATTTTTCTGAAATTTTTTCTGATTTTTTCAAATTCTGATTTTGGATAATAATGTTATTTTTTAAACAAATTCTGATATTATATCTTTTTTGTGATTGTTCTGATTTTTCTGATGTTCTGATATTCTGACTTTTTTCTTAAATTGTTCTGATTTTTCTAAATTCTGACTTTGGATAGTATTCTGATTTTTCTGAAGGCATTTTTGATATTCTGATTTTTCTGATGTTCTGATTAATTTTTTCTGATTTTCTGATTTTTCTGATTTTCTGAAATTAATTCTGATTCTTTCTGATTTTCTGAAATTTTTTCTGATTTTCTGAGAGTATAGAATTACCTAGATTCAGAATATCTAAACATTTCTGAACTAAAAGAAAGCAATAAAAGGCCATTGTGCACCATCTGTCCCAAACTTAAATTAAATTGTAAAAATAAAATTAATAGAAAATAAATTGTATTTTTTCTATTTTTAGTTGGAATATTATTAAAATTAACGGAATATTTTTTAGTAATATTTTTATTTAATTCTGGGACCATTTTTTAATATTATTTTGGGAAAAAATTATGTTTTGGAATAAATAAAAAGGTTTTCGAAATAAAAAAGGAAGGAGGATAAACAAATTGAAAATAAACAAATGAGAGAAAATAATATTTTAGTATATTAAAAATCAAAACTTTTTTAAAAATATCCGTGTCTAGTTTAGGCAACAAAAAAGAGAATTAATTAATTAAACGACGAGATATCAAGAACTAGTTATTTTCAGAATTAAAATCAGAATTTTTAATAAATCAGAATTTTTTTTTGATGTATGAGAATCAGAATATTTTTTTCCAGAATATAAGAATATTTTTTCAGAATATCAGAATTTTTTCCAGAATACCAGAAGAATTTTTCAAATCAGAATATTTATTAAAATCAGAATATTTTCAGAAAATCAGAGTAATTCTGATTTCAAAATATCAGAATATTTTTTCAGAATATTAGAAGAAGTTTTTAATCAGAATATTAAATCAGAATTTAATCAGAATTTATTTTCAGAATTTTTTTAAATCAGAATATTTAAGATTACAATCTTACATTTGTAATTGTAAAAACTTGCAAACAAACTTACTCGTCTATTTAAATAAACTTTGTTTTTAAATAAACTTGAAACCAGAATATTTTTATTGAAGAATTCTGTAGCAACGTATTTGTAAATAAATTGCCTTAAAATTCATTTACAATTAATTTAAAAAAATTTTTTTTTCTTGCTTACTAAAATAAAAATAAATTCAACTAATAAAAATCCAATAATAATAATAAATAAATCTATATCATAAATTTTTTCTTTTAATAAAATCCATGAGGTTATCCATTGAATAATTAATAGGGAATGGAAAATAAATATAATTATTGAAATTAAAATTATTGGAAGTAAAAGTAGAGGCTTTTTTGAGAGCATTCCAAACATTGCTAGTACAGAACTGTAATAATTAATTTTAAAATTTTTTTGTAATTTTATGAAAAAATCCTTTAATATTTTTTTTAATTAAAAAATTAAAAAAAAATTTTTCTGGGTTAATCTGTCGTCCTATATTTAATTTTAACTAGCTCTCATATTGAAACGAATATGAAATTCGTAATCTCCACCCTTAGAACCTCCAGAAAAATTTTTTTACCAAGTGCCAAAAATTAGAATTACATATCTCTTTAATGAAAATAATGTCAAGGGCCAGGTTCGTTAATTGAAACGCTTATAAATAGGTTCAAAAATAATCTAAAATTATGAAATTTTTAGTGATGTTAGCTAACACCAGTAAGAATGTCCACACAAAATTTTACGAGTTTAGGTCCATTTTAAAAAATTTTATAAGGTCAGGAATGACCCTAAGGATACAATAAAAGCGATTTTCATTAAAAAAAAATTTTTAAAGAATTTTCAGAGCAAAAGCAAAATTTACCTTCCAAGAAGCGAAAAACTCAAAAAGCAAACAAAAATAGAATGTAAAGTTGGCCCCATAGCTAATCCATTTAAATCTAATGACTGGGCCTGTGCCACAAACAAAGCAACAGAAGATATTATTGCTATGCAAGAAATAACTAATTGAATTAATAAAATAGCCCAAGTTGAAGATTTTATAGAAACCATTTTATAATCTTGAATTTTAACTTGAAAATTCAGAAAAAAATTTTTGAAAATTATTTTTAGAATTGACATACTTACGTAATTAAGTTAACAACCACCTACTCTTTTGAAACTTGAATTTTAATTTTAAAATTAAAAAAAATTTTTTTTAATTCGAGGTAAAGTGAAGGGAACACACTTAAAGGGGTTGGGGTCATAAGGGCGCGAGGCCATTAGGGCGCCAGCACTAGAAACTGACACTTAGGCAAAACCAAAATTTATGAAAATTTTCTCAAATTTCTTTAACATCCTTGACTACCTCCTCCAGAAATTTCAGAATTTTTCATCGAATATTTCTGAAGTTATAGTCGATAGACTGCGAAAAATTAGGGTTTTTTCGGAAAATCAACATTTTTGGCCACAATTTCCGAAATTCTTGATCAAAAATTCTTAAATTTTTGGAGAACGTAGATAAAGGCATGAGAGTTATTATTGCAAAATTTTATTTTTTTTGATAAGCAACTCACTGTTTTATAAGCTCGCGCTCTAATGGCCCGGCGCCCTAATGGCCCAGTCCCCACTTAAAGGTGTATCACAAGATAAGAAAAAAGGAACACTTTAAATCGACTTTATGTTTAAAAAAATTTTTTTAAAATTGAGATTGTGTTAGCTAAACTCTTTTTACCTTCTTTCCTCTTCCGGCTTTTTTAAAAAATTTTTTTCAAGTCTTTTTTTATGTTTTCCCAAACAAATACAAAATAATTTAAAGTAGTTAGTCTTTTGAATATTTTAAAACACGAGAAAAAATTTTTAGAGCAAAGAATATAATTTACAAAATTGGGGGAAATTTTTTTTTTCTTGCGTCTTTTGACGTTTGGTGTGAGAGATTTTGGAGGGCTAAAAATAGATTTCTTTAAAATGGAAATTTGGAAAAAGAAAGTAAAATACGGGAAAGTTAAGGGAAAAGTTGCTATAAAGATTTTGGATTTTATATCCGTTGGGGGGAATAAACGGTGTGATTTAATTAATTTTATTTATTAAGCAACTCCCTTCCCGTACAGTGAATTGCCACTTATAGTGGACTCCCTTCCAGTAACTCCCTCTGAAATACTCCCACTAAAATAGTCTCCCCTTAAGGGGATTCTCTTTGAAATGAACACCCTCCTACTGTAACCCCTCCCCTATAGGAATTCTCCCTTTCTTCTCCCTTAAGGTAAACTCTCCATTAGAGACCAGACCTATACTAGGTGCCGACATAAATCAGGGTTATCCAGAATCAAGACCAGAATCGAAACTTCTAAAAATCTCTAAGATAGTCTCAATTAGAATTTCCACTAAAAGAACTCCTAAAATATATGAAACTCTCTCTATTATTAACTCCTAATCATTCTGTCCACTATATAGAAAGTTGAGGCTATAATGAGAATGCCAATATATTAAATTTAATTTCGAGACTAAAGACAATAAAATTTCAATTTCACAGTTGACCTCACTTAATTTAGAAAGGCTAGATCGATATAAAGACTAACAAAATTTCCCATGGCATAATACTAGCTAGCTTTAGAGCTTCTTCCAATTTTTGGTCATGGCAAAAAGCATCCCTTTCTAGAAAAATTCCCCCACCTGACAGGATGCTTTTTATTTTATTTTTTCAGAAAAAAGAGAATAAACAAACAAAGAAAGATGGGGAATTGTGAAAAAATATAAGGTAAAAAATATATGTCCAAAAAATATTTTGAAAACAAGTTGGAATAAATTTAAATTTATTATTAAAATTCACACAGAAAAAAAAAAATATATATTTTAGTATGTTTAAAAAAAGGAAAGTCAGATATGGAGAAGGAAAATTATTTTTTTTTTATTTTTAAAAATTTTTTTAAAATTTTAGGCTGGCAAAGATTAATTTTAAAAATATTTTTAGTCAAAAATTACATTGCCTAAAAATCAAAGTGGAGGGGAGTGTATGGGAGAGAGTGCAAGGGGGAGAGAGTCTATTGCAAAGAGGAAGGATTTAATATTTAAATCAGGTCTTGGAGAAAATTCAAAGGGAGAGTCTATTGCAAGGAGAGGAGATTCCTCTGCATCCTGGGGAAGAATAAATTGCAAGCAATAAAAATAAAATTAAATATTCATTCAAAAATTATATCTAAATTCAAAACAAAATTACTAAGTATTATACACTAATATTGGACATTTCCTAACTTTTTTTTTACTTTTTTTAAATTTTTAGACAAAATTTTAGCTAATTTTAAATATTCTCCCTCTTAAATTTTTATTTTAAATTTTTATTTAAAAAATAAAAATATTTTCCCTCATTTATTCAGTTAATTCATCAAATATTCATTTAGCCTCAACAAATTGTTTTCTGACCAAAAATCCTCTAAAATGTGCCTGTATAACTACAGCTGCATGTAAACATTTCTTTAAATGTTGCCTGGCCAAAAAGCCTCTAACTATAGCCTTTAAATAAATTAAAATATTATAGTTGAATTTTAAAAGGAAAAATAAACTTGAATTTTTCTTGCAGCCTTATCTCGTTGTTTTTGTGCTCGTCTTAATTCGACTGCTTTTCGCATAAAATTCTGAAATTGAGAGAAATGAAGGGTTAAAACTTGGAAGTTAAAAACATGGAATTCTAAAACTTAAATATAAACTTGGGGAATTGTAAAATGTGATTGTAAAACTTAATTGTAAAAACTTTAAAACTTGGAATTAAAATTAAATAAACTTGGAATTGTAAAACCTAAAATTAAAACTTAGATTAATAACTTAATTGTAAAAACTTTAAAACTTGGAATTAAAATTAAATAAACTTGGAATTGTAAAACCTAAAATTAAAACTTAGATTAATAACTTAATTGTAAAACTTATTCTTTGTGAAACTTAGAATTGTAAAACTTAGAATTGTAAAACTTGGAATTGTAAAACTTGGAATTGTAAAACTTGGAATTGTATGAAATTAAATAAACTTAAAACTTGAAAACATAGATAGTACTTGCCTGTATTCGAATAGCCGCATTAAATTCTCTATTAATATTAATTTTATTATCCATTTATTAAATGAATAAAAATATTGGTATGAGTACATCGATATACAAGTATTTGAAATTTAAAAAGCAGGAAGTTTGGATATTAAATTACGAGGAATTAAATTTAAAAATGGAAATATTATTTGAATTATTAATTATTAACTGAATTTAGTAGAGTTTAGAGAGCCAATTCCCCAACTCCCGTTCCAACTCCGTAAACTCCCCGTTTCTAGGCCATTTCTCGATCCCAATCCCCAATATCCCTGTTCCCCGAAAATGTTCTCACCGTCGGTGAAACATTAGCCTAGATATAAACACACATGAATCTAATAAACCTAGAATTTAATAAACACCAGCTCTAGAATTTACAAAATATTTATTACTATCTACACAAACTTAAATTAAAATTTAAAATTTAAAATTTTATTCCACACAATAATTAATATTTTAAAAATTCAATTTATTAAAAAATTATTTTTAAAATATTTTTCCAAAATTATTCTTTCTCCCTCTCCAATATCTGTCAGTCACTTTGATTGTTTAGTTTAGTTTAGCTTGTTAAAAAAAGATTTTTGTAAAAAATTTTTTTTGCTTTTTGCAATAAAACTTTAGCAGTTTAAAACTATTAAAAAAGAGAATTGACGTCATTAGGCGCTTTTATTATTGTTGTGTGAGGGAGGATAAATAAATATATTTATTTTTAGGGAGAACATTGGGAAGGTTTGGGAAGGAAAAGCTTGGATTGAGAGGGGGATTGTTTTTGGATATTTAACCATTTGTCAAAGAGAGGGTGGTGATGACGACTTTATAAATGAGATTGAGAGAAACTAACTTCTCTTTAACTAGAGCCCCCAATCATTTTATATTTTTATTTACTTTTTTATGAGGGATATTAAAGGATTTAACAGATAAATAGATGCGACACCCAAGTGATCAACTATACGTTTAAGTTTGCACTTAAAGACAGAATTACAAACTTGTATGGTTATTACAATTAATTAACTAAAATTACAAAACGTTGTTTGCTTTTTAAAACTTGGATTTGTAATTGTAGTTGTCAAATATTCAATTACAATTACAAATTGTAAAACTTGTTTATAATTTATTACTATTATATAATTTAAAACTTTTTTTATTATAAACTTGTTTGTAATTACAAAGTACTCAATAAGAAGATAATAAAACTTAACAATTACAATTGTAAAATTGTAAAACTTTTTAATAATTCAACTTGGATTTGTAATTGTATTTTCTAAGTTGCAAACTTTAATTATTTATAATTGTAAAACTTTTTTTTATAAATAATTACAATTTGTAAAATAAAAACTTAATTAAAAATTCAACTTGGTTAGTCTTTTAAGCTCTCATTTTTAAGTTTTACAATTCCAAGTTTTGATCATTCACTTGTTGATATTTTAGGTGTTTATCTCTTCTCAATTGATTCCTTGAGTAAAATAAAAAAATAAAAAGGGAGGAGTGATTGGCCACTAAACTTGGCCAAAAATAAAACTGGAGGAAAAGAAGAAAATTGAGTGGAGAGGATAATTTGAAGGATTTCATTTCTTTATTTTTCTCCTCATTTTTAGTGTTCATTGTCGCCGTTGCTGTCATTTTTTATTTTTTTTTATTTTTTTGCAAGGTTTGCAAAGAAAAATTATTTTTTTGCAAGTTAAACTTAATAGAGGAACAATCAAATAATTAAGTAAATTTAATAGAACAAACAACTGACATGAAAGGAGGGGGAAGTTCTGAATTTTAAACAATTTCCGGAAACTTTAAAAAATCATTTCCGAGCTATTTTTGGCTTTAATTACACTTTGTGTCTATTTTTAAAAATAAATATAAATTTAATATTTTTTCTCAAGATTTTTCCAAATGACCAAATTGCCCTACTAAAATTTTTATTATTACTTTCTTCAAGTGTCGGCTGATCAAAGAATCTGTCTTTTTAGTTTTATTGTTTTAATTTTATTGCTTTTAGACATTCAAACAATTTAATTTTTATTTTATTGTTAATTTAAACCTAATTTATAAAATGTTGTAATTCTGTTTGGAATTTCAATTGTAATAGAAAGAGTTTAGCAAAAGTTTAGCCACCGAGCAAGGTTCGAATCTGCGACCTCCTTGCAGTGTTATTGCTAGGCGCTTTCGCTCACCGCTTATGGGAGCTCTGAGGGGGATAAGAGCTACCGGGGCATCGACTAATAATGATTTCTCCTTTCCTTTTTTGATCGCTTAACCCCAACCTAAGCTAGGTTAATCATCCTTACATATAATTTTACTTCTGATTTTCTATGTTCCAATTTTTCTGTCTAATATTTAATTTCTTAATTAATTTCCAAAATTATTATTTTTATTTTTAAAAAATTTTAAATTTCAGTTTATCAATTAAATAATATTCTCAATTAATTATCTCCATCAAAAAATTTTTCATCAAAAAATGCATGTCCATTTTGTAGATGCCCCTCTACCACCTCCCAGTTACGAGCAAGCAGTAGTAGAATGTCGCTCTCCTTTTGGGGGGTCAACAAATACAAGTTTAATTGGAGAGAATTGTGGAGGGATGGAAATATCCCAAAGAGTACAAGTCCAGTCAGAATTAATAAGAGAACAAGAAGCCGAAATTGGAAAATTAAAAAGGGATTTGGGGAAAATGAGGGAACATGTAGAAAGAATGGCATTACAACAACCAACTACAACACCTAAAATTAGCGATAAATTAACTCAGAGGTTGGCAAATATTGTTGATGAAGAGGCGGAGGAGAGGAGAAGGAAAAATAGTAATTAAATATTCAATTAATAAATCAGAATTACAAATTGTAATTTTAATTAAAAAATTAGAATCAAAACTATAAATCAGAATTAATACCGCACTGAGAAATCAGAACTAAATTATGATAAGAATTAAATCAGAAATAAATTTTTAAAAATAAATCAGAATTTAAAAATCAAATAAAAAACTGATTTAAAATCAGAATTAAAAATCAGAATTTAAAGTTCAGAATTTAAAAACAAAACCATAATTAGGTAAGCATGATATAACTATACTAAACAATAATAATTTAATGACGCAAATAAATCAAAACAATTTTCTAAACAAAACTGCTGTTTTGATTTAATAACAAGTTGATATTTAAAGCATTAATATTTTGGATAATAAAAACAACGTGACTTTTTAATTAATTAAAAAGAGGATTTCAATTAAATTAAATTGATTATTTAATTGTTTAATTTTTTTAATCCAACTGTTAAGGATATCTTTATTTAAAATTTATTGTTAGTTTTTTTAAAAGATTTATTATTATTGTTTGTATAATTTATCCTTTAGTTTAATTAAAAAAAAATAAGAAAAATATAAAAAATAAAATTCTGATTTTTCTGAATATTCTGATTTTCTTAAATTTTAGGAAGTCGAAAAGGAGATATCCTTCGAGGTTCAATATGCTGTCTTGCACTCCTTGTAGTTGTGCTGGCTGGTATTTATGTCGTTTTAAGCAGACCTCATCATTTTAATAAATCATCTAAGCCTTCTGTTGAACAATTTAAAATTATAGGAAAAGGTTGAAAAATATTTTTTTAATTTTTAATTATAATTTAATTTAAGCTCTAGACAGTCTCTGCATGGCACAAGCTTTAATTCACCCTTTTGGAAAGATTTTTAGTTGCAATATTTTTCGCCGTTCCCGATTTGAACAAAAACTATTTTGCGAATTTTCCCTTGCAGAAAATGCTGGAGTGTCTCCAGGAAAAGAATTAGCAATTATTAGAAATGATGGACAAAAAGGGATAATTTTAATTAAAGAAGGTGTGTTATTGTTTTAATTAGGTAAAAATCAGAAGTACAAATTGTAAATAAATAATTACAATCAGAATTTTATACAATCAGAATTTTACAATATTAGCTAATAATATATAAATCAGAATCGTAATTATTAAAAATCAGAATTAATATCGGAATTAATAAATCAGAATTAATATTAAAAAATCAAAATTGCACTTAAAAAGACCAGAATAACAAAAAACCAGAATTACAATTGTAAATAAATAATTACAATCAGAATTAATGTCAGAATTACAATTTAAAAATACCAGAATAACAGTTGTTTTGTTCAATTAAAATCAGAATTGTAAATAAAAAGTCAGAATTAGAGTTGCGCGAGATCGATATCTCGACCGAGACCGAGACGAGAATCTCGGTCATTTTCCAATCTCGGTCTCGGTTTTGCCGAGACGAGACCAGCTAACCGAGACGAGATTCTCGGCACTTAATCTCGCCGAGATCCGAGATCAGTATACACCCCTAAAGATTGACATTCTTGAGTTTTATTTTGACAAAATATTTAAAATTTCGCTATTTGCATATTGTTGGGCTCACTTTAATTTAGTTTTCTAAAGAGCGTAGTAGGACAAATAGGCGCGGCCGAATACACATCAACCTTCCCGATGGTTAGAGAGTAAAGTCTGCGCTGCCGTTAAAGTCTGCGCTGCCCACTGCTCTTAGTTGGAATGCTCGCGCCGCAGCAAATCGGCGCAAGGTTACCAGGTTCTTTACCAGATTCTCTCATTTTTGGGGGGAAAAAAGAACCAGGTTCTCCTACCCGCTTTTTTGAATACCACCCCTGGTTGTGCCGAAACAGATTTTAAAAAACGAAACATGAAAGGCGAAAAGGCGAAAATCAATTTAAAATCCTTCGATATTTTTCCAAATCCTTCGATATCGGCCAAATTCAATTAGGACAAGAATGTAATTTGGACAGTGACATATATACACCGTATTTTTTCTAATAGTGCGACTGTCTCTAATAGACCGACCCCTTCTAATAAATTCCGATTCGGGATCGAGATCGGGATCTCCATTCCAAATCCCGATCCCGATTTCGGCCAATCCCGATCCCGTGTCGGGATCCGGGATCGGGATCACCATTCCTAAATCCCGATCCCGGGTTTTTCTCTAAATCCCGATACCGCTTAACTCTAGTTCCAACAACTGAAATTGATTCTGATGAAACAGATGATTTTGATGATGAGGTTTTGGTGGATAAAAAGTTTTGAAAAATCTCGGTTTATCTCGGATCTCGATATCGGTCTCGGGTCAAATTTTGCATCTCGGTCTCGGTCTCGGTCATGCGAGTCTCGGTCAATCTCGGTCTCGGATTTTTTCTAAAATCTCGATCTCGCGCAACTCTAGTCAGAATTACAAATTGTAAATTCTGATTACAATTAATACATATTATATTTAACATCAGAATATTTTTATTAAAAATTTCAGAATCTCTCAGAAAGAAGCGTGACCAAAGCAACAGCAAAGCTCTTCTCTACACCCTTACTGAAACAGAAATATTAGACGCAAAAAAATTGTGTACAGAACAATATTTCCCTATACCTAAAATATCTTCTACACAAACGAGAAAAAGTTTAGTTGGCCGTTGGAATTCGAAAAATAATAAAAAATTAAATTTTCCAACAACAACAACTAATTAATTAATTTATTTATTGGGTGGAGAATGAAGAAAAAAAATAATTTTTTGAATAATATTTTTTGTTTATTGTATAAATTAAGCTATTTTATTATTTTATTTTTATTAAAAAAATTTTTTAATTTATTCTAATTAACGCCCCCTTAATTGATGAGTACTTGATTCATTTGGGCGTCTATTAGAATAAATATGTTAATTAATTAATTATTTTCTCCCTTCTATTTTTAAAATAAATATTATAAATGTTTTTGTTTAGTAAATTTCTTGAGATGCTAAAAAATTTCCTCACGTTTTATTGACATAATCAACGAGAAGTTTGATGGTGATTGCGCGTGATTAACTGCGAAGACTCTGGCCGTCCACATTTTTTTGTTAATTTATTACTTTTATTTACTAATTAAATATTATTTTAGGGTGGTGGTAAATTATTTAAATATAGTATTAATTGATGAATCATTTAAGTTCTTTTTCTTAGACATATGCATGAATAAAATATAATAAATATCACCCTTAAATAATATTTCTGATTAAAATCAGAATTTGTTTCTGACATAAATACAATTGTAAAATAATTATTAATTCTGATTCTCTTAAAATTCTGATTTTTTTAATTCTGATATTTTACAATTAAATAATTCTGATTTGTAAATTAAATAATTTTGATTATTAAAGAATTTACAATTTGTAATTCTGATTCTCTTAAAATTCTGATTTTTTACAATTAAATACTTCTGATTTTGTAAATTATAATAATTCTGATTTTGTAAATTAAATAATTCTGATTATTAAAGTTTTTACAATTTGTAATTCTGATTTTGTAGTTTACAAATCAACTTGTTATAATTCTGATTCGAGTTTTTACAATTGGGAGTATAATTCTGTTCTGATTTTTTACAATTTGTAATTCTGATTTTAAAATATAAAAGGTTTATTTTCTGATTTTTAAATTTAATTATTTATTAATAAACTTGTTATAATTCTGATTCAAGTTTTTACAATTTGTAGATTTAATCATTCAGAATTATTTTTTAATTAATTTTAATTCTCTCAAGTTTTCTATTACCCTCTCTATTTAATTACAAAAAAGGAGAGTGATTATTAAAATAATTTTTTAATTTTATAAAATAGTTAGAAAAGTCATTTCCTCGTGATTGATAAGGGATAGAATAAAAAATGAGCAAAAAGGCATGATTATTAAAATTCCAATTAATTTAATAAAATATTTAGTTAAAAAATATTTTAAAAAATAAAATTAATATTTTGAAAAAATTTATTTAAATATGAATAAACTTATTGAAGATATTCGCAATATATTTAATGAGGATTTAGTTAACACTGAAGAAGTGAGACGAGTTTTGGAGGAATATAAAAGTAAACCTAAGGATTGGAATAAATTTGCGCTTTTTGATCCACACAAGTTTGTTTTAGATAAAAAAATTTTTTTGAAAAATTTTCTGAAAAAAAATTCTGAAAAAATTGGAATTTTTTTTAATTTAAAAAAATTTTTTTGAAAATTTTTTTATTTTGAAAATTTTATTTAAAGATATACACGCAACCTGGTAGATGCAGGCAATGGAAAATACAATTTAATGGTTTTGTGTTGGGGTCCGGGTATGGGATCGAGGTGAATATTAAAAAAATAATTTTAAAAATAATTAAAAATTAAAAAAAGTATTCACGACCACACAGACGCGCATTGTTTTGTTAAAGTTTTACAAGGAAATTTATTAGAAACACGTTTTGAATGGCCTACAGAAGATAATAAAAATGAAGAAAATCAGAATTATGAAGGAAGTGGCCGCCCTTTAATTGAAAGTGGAAATCAACTTTACAAATTGAATGGAGTTTCTTATATAAGCGGTTAGAATTTTAAAAAATTCAGAATTAAATTGGAGAGTAAAAAAAAGTAAATTAAATTGGAGAGTAAGTAAAAATAAAAAAAATTTTCATTGTAATTCTGAAAATCAGAATTACGAAATAAAAAGAATTGTACACTAAAAATAGTCATAGCAGAATTTAGTAATTGTAAAAATCAGAATTACAAATTGTAAAAGAGGAATAAAAATCAGAAATAAAACTTGAAGAATAAGATCAGAATTAAAATCAGAATTACAAATTGTAATTGAAAAATAAAATCAGAAATTAAACTTGAATATATTTTAAGTTTTAATTGAAAAATCAGAATTACAAATTGTAATAAAAGAATAAAATCAGAATTACAAATTGTAAAAGAGAAAATAAAACTTGAATTTATTTTAAGTTTATTTTTTATTACAATTTGTAATTCTGATTTTTCTGATTTTTCAAGTAAAACTTTAAAATAAATTCAAGTTTTATTTCTGATTTTATTTCTCTTTTACAATTTGTAATAAAACTTGAAAAATAAAAATCAGAAATTACAATTACAAATTCTGATATAAATATAAAATCAGAATTTTAATTTTAAGACAAAATTGGACTGCACAGAATGGAGAACCCTTCACATTCAGACCCAGCAATTACTCTCCATTTGTATATTCCCCCTTTTACTCATTGCCAAGCTTTTGATCAAAGGACTGGACGTAAACAAAAATGTAATGTTACCTTCTATTCAAAATTTGGAAATAAAGTGGATTATTGTTCAAATAATGAAAATAATGTGGTTGTTGGAATTAATGGGAATAATTCTGCTAATAATAATTTTGTTTTGGCAAAATGAATTAGAAGTTGAAGTTGTGGAAAGAATAATTTTTAATTAATTAATTATACCCCGGTGTTATAAATATTAAAATTAAAAAAATAATTTTTAAATAATACATATTTGTATTTTTTATTTGAATAAATTTAACAATAATTTTTATTTTTCTCCCTAAAATTGTAAAAATTAATAAATTTTCTCTTAAAAATATTTTTCTCACAAAAAAATACTTCCTCCTTTCCAAAATATTTTTTCGAAAAATATTTTCAATTTTTCAAAAATATTTTTTGAAACATTGATTTTTCTTTTTAGCTAGTTCTTTTTTTACTTCCTCCTTTCCTCATTTTTATGCCAGCTAGGAAGACTAATTGGATATATATGCCGTTCCAGTTCCCTTGGCAGCTCATAACGAAGAACACTTTTCCACTTTTTATTTTCATTTAGTGACAGCTTTTTTGTCTCTCCAAAATATCAAAAATAAAAAATTCTAACAAGAAAGCTTTCTATTTTCCCTAATGTGCGTGAGAACTATTTTTCGTTTACTTAATTTTATTTTTTTCCTCACTCATTTATTTAGCTTCTCATTTTCTTTTTTTTAACAAGCACACTTTTATTAAATTATTTATTTAAATATTGGCTTTCTAAATTATTTTTAAAAATAACAGAAAATATATATTAACATACTCCGTATCTTAAAAATAAAATAATCTCCAAAATAAATTTTTTCTTATCAGTTTTCAATTTTTAGAAAATTACCTAAACATTTGTCATTGCCTAATACATACACATGATAATTTAGTTATTTATAGGAAGTCAATTTATATTTAAGTTTTACAATTTGTAATTTTAAAGTTTATTTTTTCAAGTTTTAAGTTCAAGTTTTTACAATTTGTAATTAACACTCGCTTAAGTTTTGTTAAGTTTTTACAATTGTAGTTTTTTCTATTCGTTTAAGTTTTACAATTTGTAGTTTCTTTTTCAAGTTTTAATTCAAGTTTTACAATTTGTAATTAACCTTCGCTCAAGTCTTACAATTTGTAGTTTCCTTTTCAAGTTTTAAGTTTAGGTTCTACAATTTGTAGTTTCTTTTTCAAGTTTTAATTCAAGTTTTTACAATTTGTAATTTTACTTCTATTTCAAGTTTTGAGGTTTTACAATTTGTAGTTTCTTTTTCAAGTTTTATTTTTTACAATTTGTAATTAACATCCGCTTAAGTTTTATTTAGCTTTTTACAATTTGTAATTTTTATTCCTATTTCAAGTTTTTAGGTTTTACAATTTGTAGTTTCTTTTTCAAGTTTTAATACAAGTTTTTACAATTTGTACTTATTTACACTTTTTTTCCGAGTTTGTAATTTTAACTATATATTTTAAATTTACTCTAGTGTTAAGCAACGATTTAATGAAAACCTTTAATATTTTAATTTTCTTTTTTGTTCTATTTTTATTCTGTGAACCTTCTGAATCAGCTAAACGTAAAAAATCCAAAAATGAAGAAGATCGTAATAAAGGAGCTATACAAGTATTGGCTAAAGTAGATGAATTGGAGGATAAAAAGTCTGATAAAAAAGTTGAAGAGCCTAAGAAAGAAGAAAAAATGAGGGAAGTTGAACAAAATAAGGAAAAAAGGAATAAAAGACACCATAAACACAGAAATCATCAAATAATTAGAAATAAAAGAAGTGTTGTACCTTCAATGACAGCTGCAATGTCCGCGGTTGGTGGCTGATTTAATACCTAAAATAATTTTTTAATCCCAGGCTATTTTGACTAACAGTCTAAGACATCACCAACAACAACAACAAGAAATGCGAAGACAACAACAACAAATTAGAAATAAAAGAAGGATAAGTGTTGTACCTTCCATCGCAGCGGCTGGAGCGGTTAGTGCGATGTCGGCGGTTGGTGGATTAAAAAAATTCTTTTTTAATTTAATTTTTAATTTAATAAAATAATGTTTTTATCAGGCTTTGGCTGGCAGTATGAGACATCAACAACAACAACAGGATGTGTGGAGACAACGACAAAGAGGGCATAATTAAATAACTACCTACCTAATAAAGAATCCTAGCTATTTTTAAATTCTGTTTTGTCCGCAAATTTTAGAAAAAAAATTTTAGTCTTTTTTTATTATGTACCTATTCTATATTTTTTTATAATTCAAAATTTTACTACAAAAAAAATAAAAACATTTAATTAACTATATGAATTTTATAAAATTTCTAAAATATGAGTATATTATTAGTATTTTACAATCTGTGTAAAAATTGTAAAAAATAGCTCAAAAAAGAATTTATAGACAACAGACTTACATATAGGTACAGATAATGAGGGTACCAACATATATGTTTTGCTCAAAATCGGACGGAAAGGGATGGATACGGGTATTGTTGTGTAGTAAGGTTGGGTTGTGTAATAAGGTTGGCGGATCCGGATCCAAAAAAGCCGGCCGGATATCCGAAAATTTTCGGTTCAGATAGCGGATCAGGATATCCAAAAATTTCCAACTATCCACCAAGTCTACTGTTCTGGTGATAGGCTAGAATAGAAGCCAGTATAAACGTTAGTCGAGTAAAATAATCCCTATATATCTCTCTAAAACAAGAAAACTTGAATAATGAGTTTCATCCCTGTGACTCCAAACAAGCCGGAAAACAACGGGATAGTAACGGTTACGGATTGCTATTGGGAAATTTTCCTCTAAATGTCTGCCTTTCTATTTTAAAATTTCCTTCCTGCATTTAAAATTATTGGATTTACGTCAATAAAATTCATATGCCCAAGATACATATTGGATTTTCTTACCCTTTACAATAACCTTCCCCCCCCCCCCCCCGCATCTTCTCCCCTCCTCTCCCTCCCTTCCCTCCCTCCCTCCATGCGTCTTCTCCCCTCCTCTCCCTCTCTCCCTCCCTCCCTCCCTCCCACCTGCATGTGTCTTCTCCCCTCCCTTTCCCCTCCATGCGTCTTCTCCCCTCCCTCCCCCCTCCATGCGTCTTCTCCCCTTCTCCCCCCCCCTTCCCCCATCCATGCGTCTTCTCCCCTCCTCCATTCACTCTCTTTTTTATTTTTTACCTCCTCATTTTTAATTTTACTTAAAAATGTAAATGCGCAAGATATTGGATTTTTACGATTTACAATAACCTCTTCCCTGCGTCTTCTCCCCTCCTCCATTCACTCTCTTCCTCATAATTTTTAATTTTAAAGCTTTTAAATACATAAATTGTAATAATTTAATTGTGTTGAAGTTAAATGCCGTTTAGAGTTTTCGAATGTTTCTATGATACATAAGAACATAGACTTGAAGCTATTAGGGGTTTTTATTGGGAGAGAGAGGGCTTTTTTGGCTTAGACACGTGGTTGCAACTAGAGTTGGCCGGGATCGGGATCCCGGTCGGGATCGGGCGGGATTATCCCGGGTTTTTCAAATCCCGATCCCGATTTTTCTGATCCCGCTCCCGAAATAAATATCCCGATCCCGATCCCGGCCAATCTCAATCCCGAGCCGGGATCCGGGATCGGGATCGGGATGTGCATCAAATCCCGATGAAAATCCCGACTTTATAAATTGACTAGAAGTCTGTGAAATAAAGAAAACAAAAGCGGGGAGGCATGAAAGTAAGAAAAATTTTCGCCTGCGGCGCGGAAAATGGAAGAAATAATGCATCTTGACATCCAGAATTCTCAAAATTTTCGCCTGCGGCGCCGCAAAAATGAACAAAGCTGTCTTTACAAATTTAACGAAATATTGAGTGATTTGGTGTGATATCGAGGGATCAATAGGGGTTGAGGGGAGTATCGTTGGATTTGGGTATAGAAGGATATCGTGGATTTACTGGGATTAAGTTAGATTTGAAGAGAATCGAGGGCTTAAGAGGCCGCTTACGCTGACGCCCATACACAACACTTGGCCTTCCAAATTTTTCAAAATTTTTGCCTGCGGCGCTTAAAATGGAAGATGCCCAATCCCATTTATCCCCTCCCCATACCTTATCCCCTCTTAATCCCCTGAACCGGAAAGTAAATCATGCGTCTATGAAACTTTAACTCAATAATTCAGCACCGCAGTGAAAATTTTAGAATTATATTAAGTCGTTTGTAAAGAAAATAAAAATTTAAAAGTTTTTAAAAAATTTTTTTAGTAAATCCCGATCCCGAGTTTTCAATCCCGTTCCCGATTCGGGATCGGGACCGGGATCGGGATCTCCAGTCCAAATCCCGATCCCGATTTCGGCCAATCCCGATCCCGTGTCGGGATCCGGGATCGGGATCGGGATCACCATTCCGAAATCCCGATCCCGGGTTTTTCTCTAAATCCCGATACCGGCCAACTCTAGTTGCAACGATTATGTTTTCTAGTTGAATTTATCAAAAAGCCGATATTTTCCTTCTCCGGACAGGGAATAAATTCACTTTTATAATACAATATAGAATGGAGTTTTAAGTACTAACCCCAAGATCGTTACCGAAAAATTTTAAAAAGAGGTCGCAACAATCAGAGGAGGTCGAAAAGTTAGAAACCTGCCCGGTGGCTAAACTTTTGCAAACTTTGCTTTGCTAACTTTGCTAAACAGTATAAAATTAATTTTTATAATTGTGTAGCCGGGCAACAAAACATTCATGTGACGGAACAACATCATGGGCAGCCTATTCACCGAATGCAACATCCAAATGTTCGCCATAATGTTCCTCCAGCCCAAAATTTGGTTGATCATGGTGTGATGCCTACTGATCGTATTCTCAATCAAGGACATAACCAGGGGATTCAACATTTACATCGTCTATATCATCATTATGGCTTCGGTCCTAATGTTGATCCTTCGGATTTTCCTTTACATCAACGCCCACGCTTACACCATTTTATTGACGGGGCCGATGAAGACAATGAAGAGGGTAATTAAATTTGTTAAATTTACGGATGTCTCGGATTACCCGAAACCCGGCCTTTTTTCGACCCGCACCCCGACCCGAGGAAATTTTGAAAATCCGGCCAGAAATTCGAACCGACATTTTTTCTCGATACGAGACATCCCTGTACATAATATAAAAATTATAATTAATTTATATTTCAATTAAGATAATCAGTGAGAATCGGATGAGAGATGTATGAGAAGCGGCTCCGGTACAAAATATGGAATCGTTAAAATATGGAATGGTTAAAATCGCGAAAAGGCTAAAAAGGGGTTAAAATACCGAATCGTTAAAATATGGAAACGTTAAAATATCGAATCGGGTAAAAAAGGGTTAAAATATGGAATCGTTAAAATATGGAATGGTAAAAATGTCGACACGGCCAAAATCGGTCAAAATGTCGAATTCTTTTAAAAAAGGGTCAAATGAGTGCCATACATTGATTATTGATAATTTTATCAACTTATCAACTTATTGATGATAAGTTGATTGATAAGTCTCTTATGTCGTAGTCCGGCGCAATCTTTTCTGCCCGAGTTCAGTGTATTTTACGGAGTAAAACCGGACCGGATAAATTAAGCATAATCGACACCGGATCCGGTCCGGCATGATCGTACGGATCCGGAAAACATAACGCGATCCTGATATGGAAAAATTATAGTGGTGTGCATTAGTTTTTAGTTAAGACCTAAAGTTTGACCTTACCGTATACGGTATGGAATACCGAAAAACACCGATCAGCTTTTAAATTTTATCGGAAGGCATTCCGTACCGTACAACCGACACGGAATACCGAAAAATACCATCGGTATTACGGTACCGTCCGGATTCTAGTTTTGGCGCCATTTTTAAAAAATTCGACATTTTGACCAATTTTGGCCGTGTCGACATTTTTACCATTCCATATTTTAACGATTCCATATTTTAACCCTTTTTTAGCCTATTCGATATTTTAACCATTCCATATTTTAACGATTCCATATTTTAACCCCTTTTTAGCCTATTCGCGATTTTAACCCCTTTTTACCCGATTCGAGATTTTAACCCTTTTTTAGCCTATTCCATATTTTAACGATTCGATATTTTGTCCGGACACGATGAGAAGCACTTGTTTAAAAAGATTACAAAATTCGTAGTTTAGTCAACGCCTTATTTCGAATTTATTGCTGAAATATTGAAAAGGGGTTTCTATGAAACCTTTTTCCCGAATATTTTTATTCACTACATTTTTAGCATTTATTTGGCATAAAAGTATTTTTCGTAGCTAAATGATATATAAAACACTTGGCACTATCCGAAAGGAATGCCTTATAATTGCAAAACTCAGTTGAGAGGGTTGGTTAGTGGTCTCTAACCCACTAAGTTGAAAAACTTAATTTTTTTTCTCCATTTACCCTGTCAAAAATAAAATGAACTTTTCCTTTCCCTTTCGAAGAATTTCAAAATTTTACTACAAAAAAATTAAAAAAACATTTAATTAACTATATCAATTTTATAAAATTTCTAAAATATGAGTACATTATTTATTTAGTATTTTACAATCTTTATAGAAATTGTAAAAAAAGCTCAGAAAAGAATTTATGAACAACAGACTTGCATGCATATAGGTACTGATATTATGGTACCAACGGATATGTTTCTTCCAAAAATAAGACGGATGGGGATGGATATGGTGCCCCTAATACTCAGATAGTCAGTAATCCTGGGATGTCCTTTCTGAAAAAAATTTTCACTTTTATATTAGTTATAGCCCTCGATATCCTCACAGCACACACACAGCTGCAAAAGGAAAACGAAAAATATTAAAAATTCTGATTCTCCGACTGATTCTAGGTCGGAGATCCAAATTTCTTCTATTTTTAGCCCCACAGGCAAAAATTTTTAGAATTGGAACAGTTTTTAGTGGATCGAACCAGGACCGGATCCAGGGTTTTTTGGACTATATCCGGACCTGATTTTTCCGGAAAAAAATCCGGAAATCAAAATCCGCATCAAAGTCTGCGTTTTAGAAACATGTGAAAAAAATTAAAATATTAAAAAAACATTTCTTTTAAACTCTAAAATTAATTAAAATATTGTTGTTGTTGATTACCGCCTTGATTTATAGAATAGGAGTCATTAATAAAAGGTGCCCCATAAAGTGCAGCAACACAAGAAGTATCATATGAATATAATGATGAAGCTGTTAATTTTGGAGTTTGTTGTTCCATATTTAAACAAGCTGGATATGTCATTGTTGCGGGAAAGGCAAAGTCTGACATAGTAGAGGAGGATGACGCCAAATTAGTTGTTGGGTAGGATGGCATATAACCTGTGTGGATATTTTAAAGTGTGTTTGGACAGGAAATTTTTGAAATTTTAAAAATTAGGTTTTGACAGATATATGTAGGTATCTATGGGTCCACTCCAACTTAGTCGTCAACTTACCTTATAAAATAACTCTTTGTTGGTCAACTGACCCAGGAGGTCAACTTCAAAATTTTGGCTGATAAAGGATTTATACGGATTATAAATGATTTGTGGTAGTTAGGAGGGATATCGATGTATTTGGGCTGATAAAGATGGATGTGATGGGATTAAGGAGAATTAACTGACAGAAGACAGTTGATATTTAATCTAAGGTAAGTTGACAACTAAGTTGGGCTAAGTCGGTACTTTCCTGTTATGACGCAACAGTCAGTTTTTTCGTCAGTTTTTTCAAAAATTATGTAAAAATGGTCAGTCTAAACAACAATTGTAGAACACATCGAGCTTTGTCGAATGACACCAAAATCAACAAAATTCGACTTGATTTGACCGAAATACAGACCCCTAAACCACAGGGGCACAAAATCATAAAGACGAAAATCTATACAAATCATAACTCATTCGAAAGAGCTCGTCGAGCTGAGTCGAATGAGACCAGAATCAACCAAATCCGACTTGATTTGACAAAGTTATGACATAAGTCGTCGACTCCGGTAGGTCTAAATAATGTCATAACTTTGTCAAATCTCCTCAGAATTCGTTGATTTTGGTATCATTCGACTCAGCTCGATGGGTTCTACAATTATTGTTCAGACTGACCATTTTTACATAATTTTCGAAAAAACTGACGAAAAAACTGACTGTTGCGTCATAACAGGAAAGTACCGCTAAGTCTTCTAAAATGACCATTAAGTCTTCTAGAATTCCGCATAAAATTATTTACCCATTCCATTTGTTAACGCATCCATTTGCCAACAATTTTGTATATTAGTAGTAGATTCTAAAGAAGAATTAAATATTTGTGGTAGAGGTAATGTTGTTGTTGCTGTATTTTTTTGTTCATTTAATATTTTAGTTATTTCTTCAGTTATTTCTGATGAATTTTGCTGTTTATTTTTAATTGTTGGTTGTGGAGAGAAAGATGTTGGGATTGTCGTTGTGTTTCCAAACCCCAAAACATTTTCATTCTTAATCTCAACTTGTTGTGTTGGATTGTCATTATTAGTTATTTGTCCATAATGTCGCTTAAAAGAGAAAAATGTTTTTCCGGAAAAAGAAAATATTTTAAATGTGTTCGGAAAAGAAAAGGAAGTTTAGATGTTTTTCCGGAAAATAGAAAATGTTATAAATGTTTTTCCGGAAAGGAAGTTTAGATGTTTTTCGAAAATAAAAAATGTTTTAAATGCATTCCGGAAAAGAAAAGGAAGTTTAGATGTTTTTCCGGAAGCAATATTAATTTATATATTATTTCCGGAAAATATAAATTGTCTATTGTTATTATGTTCCGGAAACCTAATGAAGTTTAGATGTTTTCAGAATGTTTTACATGTTTTCCGGAAAATAAATAGAATAAGATTTAAACGTTTTCCGGAAAAGAAAAGGAAGTTTAGATGTTTTTCCGGAAGCAATATTAATTTATATATTATTTCCGGAAAATATAAATTGTCTATTGTTATTATGTTCCGGAAACCTAATGAAGTTTAGATGTTTTCAGAAAGTTTTACATGTTTTTACGTAAAATAAATAGAATATGATTTAAACGCGTTCCGGAAAAGAATAGGAAGTTTAGATGTTTTTCCGGAAAATATAAATTGTTTATTGTTAGTATTTTCCGGAAACCTAATAAAGTTTAGATGTTTTTCAGAAAGTTTTAAATGTTTTCAGGAAAATGTTTATATTTAAAATGACAAAAAATGACAAAACAATGTTTAGATGTTTTTAAAGCAATTAAATTAGACTAATCGGAAAACATTTAAAATTAATTTTTTAAACTTACTTGAAAGAAAGGATTTCCAAATAAATTGAATTGATGATTATAAGGTGGAGGAGAATGTTGAGGAACTACTCCAAAAAATTTGGAAGCATTTAAAATCGAATTAGAATTATTAGAATTGTTAAATAATTCTAGTTTGATTTGTTGTTGTTGCTGGTTAGTTGATTGAAGTGGTGTTCTTTGAAAATATTTTTTTGAAAAATAAAATTAAAAAATAAATTTATTTACCCTCCAGATTCAGGCTCACTTCTACTCTCATTCCCCATTCCAACAAAATTATTAGTCAAACCAATACCATCTTCATGAGGCTCGAATTTGCCAACATAATTCAAACTTCTATTACTAGCCCTTTTACGTTCACCCCCATTTTTTAGAGAAATTGAATGTCCATTTAAATTTCCATTTTGGGAAGCTGCTGCCTGTTGTGCTGCTGCAATACGAGCTGTCTTCATTGCTGCAACAGTTTGGGGTTTGTGTGGCTTTGTTTGTTTGTCTTGTTGACGTTGCTTAAATGATTATTTAATAAGTTTAGATTTTGGGAAAATTAAAATAAACTTGCCTTAGCCCTACGATTCTTGAACCAAACCTGAAAGTTATAAAAGATTAATTTTAAGAGTATTTTCCGGGAAACATCAAATATTATTATTTTCTAATATCTAAACAATATTATCTTTTCCGGAAACGTCTATTTCTAGATATAAATGTTTCCGGAATATAAAGGCATGAATAAAACATCTAATTATTTTTCCGTAAAAACATCTGATTTATTTATTTCCAAACATTTAAACATTATCTAAACACTGAACATTCTAAACATCTAAACATTATTGTATTTTCCGGAAAACATGTTAAATTATTTTGTATTTTTCCGGAAACATTTCAAAAGTAAATGTTCTTCCGGAATATAAAGGCATTAATATAACATCTAATTATTTTCCGGAAAAACACCTGATTTGTTTAATTTCCAAACATCTAAACATTACTATTAGATTTTCCGGAAAACATGTAAGTTTATTTTCCATTTTTCCGGAAACATTACTAACAATAAATGTAAATGTTTTTCCGGAATATAAAGGCATCAATAAAACATCTAATTATTTTTCCGGAAAACATCTGACTAAATTATTTCCAAACATCTAATCATTATTTTTGGTTCCATAAAAACAAAAATATTTAAGATTTTTAATATTTTACTGAATTCCCCCAAAATAATAAATAGAAATATAAACCAATTTTAATTTCTTTTTAAACTTTTCTAATTCTTTCCTAGGATATCCGTTCGCTAAAAGTATTTGATTTCAAAGGAAATTTATTATTTATTTATTTTTAATATTCTCAAATTCCTTAAGGTCAGCTAAGAGCGGAAAACAAAAATTTTTTAAAGAAAAGACCTGAATTCTAGATTCTTGTAGTTGAATCCTACTAGCTATTTGTTCTCTCAAATAAACATCAGGATATGGAGATTGGCTAAATTGGTCTTCCAAAACATCAAGTTGAGCACGAGTAAAAGTAGTCCTTTCACGCCTATTCTTTCTAGGCTGGATAGCTTAAAATAAATAAATTTTGATGGGACAATTTTTTAATTTCCTTACATCCTCCAGAAACATCAACAACATTAGAAGCATTGAAATAAGCAGCGGCAGCAGCAAAAGCAGATTGTTGTTGTTGCTGAGTTGATACACCACTGAAAGTCAAATCATCGGCGGCTTAAAATAAAAAGATTGCTTTTATTACACCAAGAATTATAGTAGATAAATTTCCGGAAAGCTTATTTAGATGTTTTAATTTTCAGGAAAACATTTTAAATGTTTTAAAGTTTGAGAAAAAATTCCAAAACTTTGAAAATTGTTTTAAAGTAATTTAAGAAGCCCTAATTTGAAATTCATATTTTTAACCAACCAAGCATTTTAAGTCAGAAAGTTAAGTCAGAAGATTTAAGTCAGAAGATTTAAGTCAGAGGAGTTAAGTCAGAAGAAAAAATTATTTAATAAAATTAAGGAAAACCTGAAAATAATTTAAAATTTTTAAGAATTATAAAATTGTTTTGCAAAAAATAAAAAGTCAAACTCTTTCCGGAAAAACTCTAAACATTGTTTTTCATTTGTCCGGGAAAACATCTAAATCTCTTTCAAATATTTTTCCGGAAAAACAATTAATTTTTAATCATTTTTAATCCTTCCGGAAAGACCTTTATTTTTCTTCGTTCTTCCGGAAAAACATTTAAATTTCCATTCGTTCCGGAAAAACATCTAAGACTTTTATTCACCAATGTTTTTCCGGAAAACTTTTAATATTTTATATTAGGAAACATCTAAAAGACTTTGTTTTCTATTATTTATATTTTTCTGGAAAACATCAAACTAAAAATGAATAAAACATATCAATGTTTGCGTCTGAAAAGAATGAAAACATTTTCGAACTAAAACTCTCTATTTAAAACACCTTTTAGTAGGAGGAGTTTTATTTTATCGTTCGAAAGTTTCCCTTGGCAAAAAGGAAGAAAAATACACAAGTTGTGTGTTTTTTCGTTATGCCTATCAATTTTTTATTTTTCTCCCCAATCTTTTTCCTTTGCCATTACAATTTTTCATCCTTGTTTTGTCCAGTTCCGCCGAAATATAAACTGTTAGTGCGCCCAGAAATTTTTTCATTTACTCAAATGCCATACACTCCACAATTCTTCTTCAGACTAATTAAAATGTGTGCCTATTCAAATTTTTTTGGTTAAACTTGAGTCATTTATATTTGTATTTTTTCTCCATTCTTTTCTCTTTCTCCTTTACAATTTTGAATTTTTGGCTGATCAAAAAGCAGTTAAAGAGAAAGGCAAATTTCTCATTTACGTTTTTAATAAGGATTTATTTTGCAAATGCCAGATCAGAAAATATTTGAATTACTATATTTATTTAAAATGTTTTGATTCTAGAAATTGTCCCCCCCCCCGATATTCAAGTATTCCAATAAAATCATGAAAAACATCCAAAAACATTTAGAAAATTATTAAAAGACAAAAACATGCGTTTATTTCAGGAAAACATTAAGAAAATGTTTATATGATGTTTTTAGTGTAATAAAACAATGTTTGATTAAAGTGTTTTCCGGAAAAATTCGAAAACACAAACATCAAAACATAAACATTTATTTGTTATTGTTTTCCGGAAAAACTTGGGAGAATGTTTATAAGATGTTTTGTGTTTTTCCAATTAAAATGTTTTCCGGAAAACCTGGGAGAATGTTTACATGATGTTTTGTGTTTTCCAATTAAAATGTTTTCCGGAAAAACTTAAACACAAACATCAAAAACACGTGTTTGTTGTCTTCGAAAAAATTGTTTTGTTGTTTTCCGGAAAAACTTAAGAAAATGTTTATATGATGTTTTTCTGAAAATAAATGTTTATTGAACAATGTTTTCCGGAAAAAGCATAGACACCTTGTAATAAATATTTATAACCCCTACTCGTTACCAACTTTCTCAAAAATTTCCAATCGTTCCTTAAAATTTCGATATAAATTTGTTTTGCCCTTTAAATATTTTTCTTGTCTTTTCTATGATTATTTATTCATTTTCTCTCACACGGCCCATTTAGCCAAAACTCAAAATAACACTAGCAAAAACAACAACATCCCATCGTTATTGCCGGATTATCATTATTTTACTACCACAATCTATTATTTCTCTCATCAAAAAACTTTGCGATTCACACCTAATCTATATATTTACTTCTTCAAAATTCTTTTCTTTTTTCAATGTCGCGATATATCGGTGTTTTCCAAGCAGCGATCGGCAACGCGTTGCGAGCATTATTAAAAAAAAGAGGATTATGTACAACGGGAGTAAAATAACAAGAATAAATTATACAAATATTGAAAAATGAATTGATAAAACAATTCGAGAAAAAAAAGACAAATTTTGGGGGAGATAGTAGGAAAGGTAGGGGGAACAAAAATAATGTGTTAAATTAGTAAATGGTAGATCAATACATAAATGTTTAATTGATGTTTTTCCGGAAAAAATAAATAATTAAAATGTTTTACTGATATGTTCGGGACATCAACGCCAAAAACATAGATGTTTTGTTTGTCGAAAAATAAATGTTTATATGATATTTTTCCGGAAGAACATGAATAAACAAAACACATCAAGAATGTTTTGTTTTCCGGAAAATTAAGAAATGTTTATATGATGTTTTTCCGGAAAGAAATAAAAAAAAAATTGTTTTATTAAAATGTTTGACTGATATGTTCGGAACCCAAAAACATAGATGTTTTGTTTGTCGAAAAATAAATGTTTATATGATGTTTTCCGGAAAAACATGAATAAACAAAACAAACAAAACACATCAAAAATGTTTTGTTTTCCGGAAAATTAAGAAAATGTTTAAATGATGTTTTTCCGGAAAAATGAAGAAATAACTATTGTTATGTTTTACTTATAGTCAGGAATATATGTTTTATTGTTTTCCGGAAAAATTTGAATATGTTTATATGTTGTTTTTCCGGAAATGTTAGGAACAACAATAAACAACTAAAGAATGTTTTATTATGTTTCCGGAAATTTAAGAACATGTTTAATTAATGTTTCCGGAAACATTAGAGTCTTAATTTAACAAGAAAAGGTGTTTTGATTATTTAAAGTTTCTGAGAAATGTTCCTTCCTCCCTTTTATTAATCGGATTATTAAAGAAAACAAAAGGATTTTAGAGAAGCGTTAAGAGGATAAAAATAATTTTTTAAGTACTTTTGTTTAATAATAATCCGCTTAGGCGATCAAACGGGGGGATTATTTAATTGCCTTTTTTATTTTAAAAATTAAAGGATTTTTGATTTAAAATTTTGATTATTTAGGTAGAGGGAAATTTAAAAAAATAAAAAAAATTTTCATGAAAAGACAGTGAAAAATTCAGTCTGTAAAAGACTAAACCGCGTGTAGAGGAATGAGTGAAAGTAGGCGTGGCCTATTCTTAAGCTAGCCTTATAACCAATCAGTGAATAGAAGAGAGAGAGGGAAATAAATGTGTGTCATTGTGAGCAATTCTAACGGCGATTTTACATAATTATTTAATTATTTCTGTTAGGTTATTCACGAAAAATATTTTTTTATTATTGTAGTATGCCTAATTTATTTATTTGTTTTTTGAAAAAAAATTTTTTTTTTACTTTTTTGAATTTTTTTTTGCATTTTTTCTAATTTTTAAAGACGGAATATGCGTACCTGGTTCAGTCAAAAATCGATAACTAATTTTTGATTCGACCAATTTAAATGATTTAGGTATCAATCGATAGAGAATTAAATTCTGTATAATTTAAAAATATTTTTATTAAATTTGGTTGATTAAAAGAAAAGTTAGTGGTCAAAAACTGTCTAAAATGTCTTCTAAACTTGTCTAAAAAATTAATTTTTTAGACTTGATTATTTTTTGTTATTTTTCTAATTAATTTTTTAGTGGATTTTTAGATAGCTAAATTTTATATTTTATTAAAAAAATACTGAAAATAACAACTAAAATTCGTAAATTTCTGAGTCATTTATTTAGAGACTTAATAACCAGGAAATAAAATATTTGAAGAATTTTAAACAAAAAATTTTTCTTAATAAAAATTTTTTATTCTTTTTTAATTTAACTAAAGGCTTCTTTAACTTCAATTTTGTCTTCAAAATAATTCAAAAGCTATCGGCTTCTAAATAAATTAATTTTCACAATTTTAATAATCCCTCCGTCTTTTACGCGTGGTTACTAGGCGACTGAGTCCCCCAAACACTTTGTGTGTGTAAAATATCCAACTTCCGCCCATCCCAATCCGGAAAAGGGAGAAAAGTCTTTCAATTATATTAAAATAAGTGAAGGAATTAATGGAATGAATTTGAAAAAAAAATTTTTTTGAAAAAAGAGAAGAGAGAAGAAAAAAATTTATTTGGCACAAGACTCTATTAAACAGAAAAAATGAAAAAAAATATTTATCTACGGCCAGAAAATTTTTTTCTAAATTTTTTAAATTTTTTTCTAAATTTTTTTCGCTTCTTACGAAGGTCTTATGAAGGTCTTATGACAAGCTTGTTTTAATCTAAATAAAATTTAAAATAAATAAAAAGGCTATAAAGTTGATTATGTCAAAAAGCTTTTTAATCCCTCCTCCCCTGTTAATACTGTCAGATGAACAAAAAATAAATTTAATTTTTATTAAAAATTAGAAGAATATTGGGGGCTGTTTATAGTAGTTGATATTCAACCTACGCCTTCTCGCAATAAAAAGTTTTAAAAATTTTAAAAAATTTTTGAGAGGCCTGAAGGGCTAAAAATTGATAAAAAAATATTGGAATAAAATCAACTGGGAAGGTTTGAACGAGAAAAGGATAGATGGTAAATTGACTAGAGAGGTGAAGAATACAAGAAAAAATTTTAAATCAACCCTCAAGTTTAGTTACTTGTTGGACTTCTCCACAACCCTCCACGTTGTGCGCAAACATTTGTCCATATAACTGTAGAGTTAAATTTCCTTTAGGCAGATGCCTTAATTGGAGTGTGTCTGAGCCTGAAGGGAGAATAATGAGAGAAAATTAGGAGAAAATTGGATAACAAAATTAAAAATAAATAAATTAATTTAAAGGGAATTGTGCTTCCGGCACAGCAAATAAAGGGGGAAATTTTTTAAAAAAATAAATATTTTGGAAGAATAATAATTTTATTTAAATAAAGGATTTAAAGGAGGGATTTAAAATAATATTTATCCGCCTTAGCACAGTAGCGAAATAATTATATTTTGGTGCTGAATTGGCTTTAGTTAATAGAAGACACTCAAAAGTGGGCAGTGAAACGACCATTTTTAAAATTAATTAATTTTTCAAAGTGGTAACTTTTCGTTTGGCCAAAAGATAATTTTGGGTAGTTGGAGGTTAATTGCTTTATTGTTATTTTGGGGTGTTTTTCTTTGTTTTTTTTTGTTTTTTTTGTTTTTTTTTAAGATTCTAGTTGATTCTACTTGTATTTCTGTCAAATATTCCTTAAAATGTCTTCCAGATTTGGCAAACAAAACGATACAAAATTGGATTTGGAAGGGGAAGAGCTTCATTTCAACGATAGATTGAGACATTCAAACAATGCATTAGACGAACTTTTGGCACAAGGAGAATATACTTTACAAAATTTGAAAGAACAGCATCACGAACTTAAAGGAGTTAAGAGGAAAATTTTGGACGTTGGACAATTGGTATTTATTTAATTTAGATATTCTTTAAATTAGAAAAGTTTGTTGAGGTTATTGGTGGACAAGTGGGATAGGCCTGAGTCTATGACTAGAAGGGTCGAGGGTTCGAATCCTACTGATGGAAAACTTTTTTAGCTTATTTTATGATATGTCTTTTTTAATTTCAAACACCTCAAAAATTGTTTAGAATTATTTCAGGGTTAATGTTGTCGGTGGATAAGTGGGATGAGTTTAGGTTTTAAGATCAAATAGGTTATGGGTTCGAATCCTTTAGGCTGAGGGCATTTTTAATTTGTTTTTAATGGGTTTATTTAAATGTTAACTCTTTCCAAACTTTTTTTTAAAATTATTTTAAATTTATTTTCAGACTTATTTTTATTTTTCAATTTTAGTTTGGTCTTTCAAACACAACTTTGCGAATGATAGAAAAAAGGTTAGAAGAGGATTGGCTACTTTTTTTGATTTTATGTGTTCTTTTTATAATTTTTATGTATTGCTTCTATCGGTATTGGAAAGGCTAATGAAAGAGAAGAATTTTTAAAATTAAATACATATCAAAATTTTAATTTAGAATCAGACTTTTTTTGAATTTTGTGAAGATTTCTATTTTTATGGTTAATTTTTTGTTGAGGGTATTTTTGGGTGAAAAAGAAGGATTTTTTATTTTTTTGTCTTTATGAACTGTCAGGGTCTTACTTTTTTCCTTCTTTTTATTAAATTATTCCTTACCTTCCTATTTTTCCTTTTTCCCGTTTTTGGGGGTTCCTACCAAGGATGTCACGAGAAGGGAACAAGGTTCTGGGTAGTATTTCGTGGATACCCCGTTGACATTCCTGATTTCTACACGTATCGAGTGATTTTTTTGTTTGTTTTAATAATTTTGTTATAAAATTTATTAAAAATATTTTTTGTAATTTTTTAAATGTTTGAAATTTCTATTTTATTTATTATTTGTTTTTAAAATATTTTTCTAAAAATTTTTCAAAGAATTATGGAGCTTTCACAAGTTTTGGAGAAAACTTTTTCGTCAGGTTTTGTGTCTATTGAATTTCTTTATTTTTTTAAATTTTAGATTCGAAAGATCAACAATATGCCCTCACCCTTTTGCAGCAGGCAATGACAGGAAATTTTGTTAGTTCTAATTTTTCATATGGGTTATTTGGGTCCAGTAGAATTATAGTTGAGGATTGGAATAACAAGGGAAGATCGTTTGCGTTGATTGCGAATTCATTTTTTGGTATCCGATAGAGGGCTATCAACTTTCTTTTGGGAAGTGCTATCGGTTTTCCTGTAAAATGACTTTGGGCCGGGTTAAGGTGGTCAATCAATGTCTTGTTCCTTTGTAATGATGAGTTCTTCACAATAAAGTTTTTTGTCCGTGGGATGGGGAGCTTGATATTCTAGTTCACTCAAAGAATTTTCCGACTGGATTTGACGTGTTTTCTTCAAAAAACTCAAAAATTTATTCTTTTTTGACAGGCTGAATATGTCAAACAACTTGCCTCAATCCTCGCAAATGTCGATTCCCCTCATTACATTCGACGTGCTGCTGGACTTCAATTAAAAAATGTGTTAGCTTCTAGAGAACAATCCTTTTTTGATAAAAATAAATTGAGGTTTGATGGGATTTTTAAGGAGAGATTTTCGATTTTTTTAATTTTTAGATGGTTATCTGTCCCTTTAGAAGTACGTCAATATGTGAAAGAATGTGTTTTAAAAACGCTGGGAACTGAAGTTAGGCCTTCAACTGCTGCGCAATGTGTTGCTGCTATTTCTTGTATTGAATTTCCGATAAGGGTTTATTTTTATATTTTTTTTTGAGTTTATAAAGCTGAGTTTCATGAGTTTGCAAGGATTGAAGGTGTCCACTTTTTTGTAACTTTTCCTTGGCAAATTTTAGGGATGTGTCAGATTGATTTTTTAAGTAGGATTTCGATTTATATCTGTATTTTACTAAAAAAAATTTTCGATGTTATTACGAAATCTTAAAATGAAAATTTGGGGAAGTGACATTTGATCCCATCATTTGTCTTGTTGCATTTGTTCAATTTTCGATTACTTGATCAACCTAAATTGATGGGGTTGCTTGACATTTTTTATAATTTTTCCCATTTTCTGAAATCCCATCAATTTCTGGTAATTTAAAACTTGCCTAAAATTCGCAAAGCTTTGTCCGCAAACTAAAATCCGCATAAATATTTTAATTTCAAAAAATTTTATTTAAAGCAATGGCCAGAACTTATTGATCGTCTAAACGCCAATGTAACAACTAAAAGCGACAATCCTTTATTAAAAGAATCCTCACTGGAAGCTCTAGGCTACATCTGTCAAGACTTGACAGACAAACAAAAAGTCGCCCCAGTTTTGGCAGCAATCGTTTATGCCCTCAAAACAGAAGAAACTTCAGTTTTTGTTAGTTTGGCAGCAACTAAAGCTTTGTCTGAAATTGTTGAATGGGTGGTTACTCGAACTTTGGAAGAACATGTGGATGCTATTGTGGATGTTTTATGTGCTTATTTGTAGGTATTTTTTTATTGTTAATTTTTGAGTTTCTCGGTCTTTGTGGGAATATTAAAAAATATTTTTGGCTAGCTGTTATTAACTGGTATTGGTTTGACCGGTTAATTATATTGGTATTGGTTTGACCTCCAATACATAGCTCCCCCAGTTTTGTGGGAGGTGACATTTTATCCCAAATGTTACTTTTTTTGTGTTTTTCTTAATTAACTATAAGCTAGCTTGTCCTTTAAAAAAATTTTTTCTTAATGACATTTGATCCTAAATATTGCATTTTAATATTTGGCGATATTTTTCACTACTTAAATTATTTAAGAAAATTTTCTTAATTCTTCAAGATTTTTAACAAGTTTTTTTCCAATTTTAGACAAACTGCTGAAATGAATTTATACGAAGAAGCAGCTAAATGTCTTTATAAAATAGCTTCAAGAAAATGTGCAAAATCTATAGAAACACCAATTGTTGTTAGTTTATTTAGAGATGCTCCAATGCAACGAATTTTGACGGCAGCTAATTTAGGTTTTTTCTTAAATTCAAAGTTTTGTGGACTAAAAAAATTTTTTTAGCAGCAGCAGATAGTTCTACAAGTTGTGAACATTATAAATATTTAAAGGTTTGTTTGTTTTTTTTTTAGATTTTTTTTGTTTAAAAAATAGAAGGGATTTCTTTTAAAATTTTTGGACTTTGGAGGACCATTATCTTGGCCAAAGCAAAAAAACGGGCAAAAACGGTTCAAAATCCTTGTTAGAAATGGCACATTTTTTATCGAATGAGCCCGGTCTCGACCGTTTTTAGGTCGGACACATCGCAGCCTTCCCTTGTCAAACGCGGAAGTTTGACTGACTGTAAGTCTGCCTAAAATCATTTTTCATCAAATGGAATTTTACTTTGCCTAGTAAGTCAGGGGTCCTCTATCGAATGATACCAAGAACAATTTAATATTTTTGTTCATTGTATTTGCAGATTTATTTTGTCCGCAAATTTTTGTCCGCAAAAAAATTTTTTAAATTTATTTTTAAAGGCTCTACTAGATCTCTTATGTGCATTGGGTATTCATTTATCAGAAGTTTGGACTTATGTAATGAAACCTCCACCTAATTTTTCACTTTATATTTCTGCTTTGTCTGCATTTTTTGTTCATCCTTCAATTGTTTGTTTTTTTATTTTTTTATTTTTTAGTTTAATACTTAATGGCTGTCCCTTAAAGCAACCTTTTATGGCTGTCCCTGTAAAATCTTTGGATACCCGGAACCCAACTAAAATTGTTATTAACGTAATAAGAATTGCTGAGAGGATCTAGCCAAATTTTTTCTCTGCCGCAGGCTAACATTTTCTTCCTTTTTCTCCTATTTTTAGGAACCGAATTTGGATACACGGACTTTTTTCGGTTCTAAATATCCTGAACCGCCATTCCTTCCTTGAATTAAGAAATTGTGTTCTGGTGTAGCTTATTGTTAGATGTATTATTAGAGGAGAGATATGTTTCTGGGTTTATTTAAAAATAGGTTTTGAGTTTAAGAATTTTTTTATTAAAGTATATTCGTGCTGAAACTGCTCAAGTTATTGCTACATTTTGTTCCAACGAAAAAATCTCAACCAACGAAGACTTTTTAAAATATATTCCTCAATTGTTGAAAGTATTGCCTAGGGCAATGAGCAAGGTTTTTTTTTGATTTTTTAAAAGGAATTTTTTTTAATTTTTAATTAAAGACATGTTCTCCAACAATTGGACAAGAAGATTTAACATTTCAATATTCTCGAATGGATTATGAAAATAAAGAGGATTTGCAGAGAGAATATTTAAGTTTGTTGTAGATTTTATTTTTACGTAGTGAATAAGGGGAAAGAGGTGAGTAATAAAAGTCGGGCACGATTCTTGAGAAAGTCTGAGGATTTTTTACGACTTTCTCAGCCTATGATTTTATCTCTTCCCCCTTTTTTGGCTCTTATTTTCTTGTCGTAAGACAGAGAAGCATTATGAAGCATAGCAGTGATGTCGCGTGTTACCCTAAACCCCTTACATTCCTTTACCTAATTTCTAACCCAACTTCCCCATCCTGTGACTTCCATGAAGCATTGTAGGTGATCGTTGTAGTGATGTTATTTTTAAGTAGGTAATAATGGGAAAGAGGGGAGAAACAAAAATTTGATGGATAAGGTTGTCGAAGAGAATAATTTTTTGGCTTAAATTTATAAAAATAATTAAAAAAAATTTTTTTTCCTAGGAATACGTGAATACTGCCTTCGAATAATTCGAGAAACAATGCCAAATCATTTTGATAAATTATTTGATGTTGTAAATGATTGGGTAGTGAATCGTTGTGTTGTACAGCCTCAAGAAGGTTTCTTTAAAAAATTTTTTTTAATTTTAAACCTGGGAACTAGGGTTAGAAGGAATCCCCCCCCCCCCGAAATGGGAAAAAGAAAAAACTTTTTGGAGGGGATGAGGAAAAAATTGAATTTTTTTGGCCTATAGTTTTCTAAAGTTCAAAATATTTTTCTCATTGCCCCGTCCCCTTGAAATTAAATCCTGGTTTCGAGTCTGCATCTAAAATTATAGGAATCTCAATATACAACCTTTTATGAAATGCCTTTCTATTAAGATTATTTAGAAGTTAGTATTTTCAATTAATGAGATTTTATTGTGAGGGCGTATCAGCCCCCTCCTTCTAGAAAGGAGGTAACCTCCTTCTCCTTCTTACCTCCTTCTCCTTCTTACCCTCCTTCTAGAAACCGACCCTTGATACACTCTTTCATTGTGTCCTTTTAATTTTTAAAAATGTTTTTTTTATTTTTCCAGTAACTCCAGATGAATGGGAATTAATGAAACGTTTTTTAACTGCAGTAATATCAGGTTCATATCAAAATGAATTGTTAACAACTATAGAAGTTCGAAAAAAATATTTGCAATTATTTGATGTTATTTTCAATTGTTGTTTAAATATTTTAAATAATTCGGGGACAACAACAGCACCAACAACTCTTCCAAATTTTATGAATGGACTTTTATCAACATTGTCTTCATTTTTCCAAATTTTTGAAAATTTTGGGGAACGAATATTAAATGTATTGGATCTGCTAAAATTAATTTTGTTAATTAATAATGAAAATAATTTAAATGTTGAAATTACTGCAACTAAAAGGCATTGTATAGCATTGTTGTTAAAAATTGTTTCTGTTTTTCCTGAACAAGTTAAGGTTTGTTTGAAAATTTTTTTTAAGTTTTTTATCATTATTTCTCTTCGTATGGGGGGAAAATGGTCGCTAATTTGGGTGTCCTGAAAATTTTTTTGGTCTTCTCTCTCGTTTTAAGATTATGATTAGGTCGCACATTTTTTGGTCGCACGATGAGCACAAATTTTTTAGAAAAAAATTTTCACATTCCACAATTGTTCCTTATAGTGTGTTCTAATGTGTTGAGAAATTAATTAAATCCTTTAAGATCCCACAAAGTTTTCCCTATCAGGCCCGTAACCAGGGAGGGAGAAATTTCTTTTTTTTTAATTTCATTCTCTTCCTCCGAAATGGGGAAAAGGAAAGAATTTGGGGAGGGGATGAGGCAAAAAAAGTGAATTTTTTTGCCTACGCTTATTACGGGTTTATTATTACCATATCCATTTATTACTACGCCTACGCGCCTTCTGCGCGAAAAATTCGGCCAGAAAGAATTTTCCCTTGTTGGCCCTCCCCCTGAAAAAAGATGAATTACTGGCTTATCACTATCTCCAAAAAATTTTTTTAATCAGAAAATTAATTCTCTTTTCATTTTTAACAGCCATATGCACGTAATGTATTCGATTTAGTTGGCCAAGTATCCAATAATGTATCAATGATGCAAAGATCCAATTTAGTTCATGTTTTGGCGTCATTAAGCAATTTAGCTTCGACTGTAGAAGAAAAAACTTTATTTTTAAGAAATGCTATTTCATATGATATTAATTATATTGAACAAGAACACTTCTCAGCTTCAATGGAAAATTTTTTGAATAATACTGGATTGAGTTTTGCACCTGATTTGAAGGCTATAGCTAGTCAATCATGTCCATATTACTTGAGTAGACTTAATGTTTGTTTATTTTTTTAATTTTTTTGGGGTTGGGGTGGGTGGGTGGGGGATGTTTTGAATTTTTTGAGGTTAATTTCCCTATTTTTCAAGAAAAAATTTTGTGGTGACATTATATCCCATTTTTTTATTTATTGGGTAAAGCTTCTTTTAACCGTAACTTTCTTAATTTTTAACCGATTTAAATAATTATTGACCAATCGAAAGCTCTAAGTTTGAGGATTTTTTCCTCTAAAAGGATTGTTTCGATCAGACCAAAACACAAATAGTTACAACTGGCTAAGTGGCGCAATCGTGTTTTTTATTAGGCTCTTTTCTATGAATGATATGATCAGCACGGTCCTGCTAGTTAAAATAATCCTCTCATTCAATGCTTTCGATTAATATAATAATTATTTAAATCGGTTAGAAATCGAAACTTCTGGCCAAGAAAAAAGATTTTTTCCCAAGGTGACATTTGATCCCATTTTAATTTTTTTTGAATTTTGTCTAATTTTTCTTTAAATTTACACACAATTTTAAGCTAAAAGCAAGTTTAACAGCATTGGAGGGAGTACTAAATCAAGTAGAAGTGCCTAATGATGAATCATCATCAGCTAATATTTTTAATTTATTTTTTACTGTGTTGCCTAAAATATTTCAATTTTGCAGGTTTTTTTTAAATTTAAAAATTTTTTTAAATTTATTTTTAAAAAAAAGATGTTTAACTTCAATTTATATGCCCGAATATTCTTCTAAAGTTCATCCAATTTATGGTTTGAGTATTTTGGAAATGGTGCCGTCTGAAAGGCAAACACTTGTTTGTATGTGGTTTGATTTTTTAATTTTTTTTAATTAAATAAAAATTTTTTTTTGAATTTTCTGGGGGGAAGGTTCATTTAGAATCTCTTTTATTTATTTTTTGGATTTTTATGAAAAGTTTTTTCGTTATTTAACACATACAAAGAAAGAAATCTTTTGTGACATTTCGTCCCACTTCTCTTTTTTAAGTAAAAATAATTTTAAATTTTTATTTTTTTTAAGCCTCAATAGCTTTAGAACAAGATTCAAATGGAGCTGAATCAAAAAAGTTTGAAGAATTTGAAGTTGGACAATTTTCTAATGGATATGGAAATCAAGAAATTGCTATGTTTATGAGGAAATTTATTGTGGAGGTTTTTTTATTTTTAAATTTAATTATATTACATTTTGGTACTCTTGTGTTATACACCTACATCGTTTATGTCCCCCTTTTCCTTCACCTTTCCTTTTTATGCCTTCATTTCAAATTTCTCTTTTGATTATAAAACGGTCAAAGGCAAATAATGGGCAAGGGGTAAAATTCAAGTTCGTTCCCCTCCTTTTTTCATCCTCATAGTATTAAAAAATGGTCAGTCTGACTTAAGTTATAGAACTCGTTGAACTGTGCCGAATGACACCAAAAACATAAAAATCCAACTCGATTTGACCGAGATACAGACCCCTGAAAATTGAACAACCATAGGGGCAAAAAACCATGGAACTGAAAATTTGTACAAATGATAGCTGAGAGAGCTCGTTGAGCTGAGTTTGCCCCAAAAATACTTTTGCTTTTTATAAATGAATTTAATCCTTGCCAATTAATTGCCTTTGACCATTTTATAATCCAAAAGAGAAATTAAAAATGAAGGCATGAGACGTAAAGTTGAAGGAAAAGGGGGGACATAAACGATGTAGGTGTATAACACAAGAGTACCTAAATTTTAAACAACATTAGTTAATGTCAATTTTGGTGTAGTGGATAGTGATTTGGGTTTTTTAGGTATTGGGGTCAAGGGTTCGATTCCACCCATGGTTTTTATTATTTGAGAAGGAAGATTTAGAAAATTAATTTCTCAACTGAGAAAATCTGCTGGCACTTTGGTTTAGTCGGTAGTGACGTTGATTTTGTGTTTAATAGGGTCTAGGGTTCGATTCCACCCGCGGTTTTTATTTACTATTTGATGGGGAAAAATTTATAGAATTGAATTTCTTTAGCAAATAAATTTTTAACGCTTTGGTTTAGTCGGTAGCGACTTGGATTTTTTGTTTTTATTAGGGTCAAAGGTTCGATTCCACCTACGGTTTTTATTTACTATTTGATTGGGAAAATTTATGAAATTAAATTTTTTACTGAAGAAAGCCTATGACGCTTTGGTTTACTGGGTAGTGACTTCGATTTTGTGTTTTATAGGGTCTGAGGTTCGATTCCTCATAGGTGTTTTTTATTCTTATTTAATTACAAGAAATGTTTAAATTTAATTTCTTTGATTATTTAAATATTTAAAAAATTAAAAAAATTTTTTTTGCAGATCTCAGATTTAATTCAAAGCATTCTTGGTTTATTCTTCTTCAAATTTCCTTTAAATATTTATTCAATAAATAATTCTACTGAATTAATTACTGGAACGTTATATGCTATAGAAAATGTACCAAATTTTCGGTTGAGGTTTTGGTTACGGAGAGCATGGTTTTTTTTAATTTTATTTAATTTTTGTGGTTTTTTTTTTGATTTTTTAATATTTTGGGGATGATTAATATTTCTGGGCAAAAAAATTTTTTTGCGGACAAGTATTGCGGACTTTTTTTGTCCGCAAAATTTTTTAAATTTTTTAAAATTTTTTTATTTAAAAGGTCCAGAATAATAACTTCTTGCCCAGAACAATATTCGAATACAATAATTCCATTGGTTACCCGTCTTTCCTTTCATTTACAAAAAAGATTGGTGGAACAGTGGTTATTAATTAAACAAACACAAACAACTGATGAATATGAACCTACAGAAGAGGAATTAATTGCTGAAAGTACAATGAGCTTATTAACAAGGTTTTTTGTTTAAACTTTTATTTTGTTTGTTCAAAAAAATTTTTGCGGACAGAAATTTTTTTTGCGGACTTTTCTTGCGGACAAAAAATTTTTGCGGACTTTTCTTGCGGACAAATTTTTTATCCTTAAAATTGGATTTATTATTCAATTTTTAGAGAATGTTCCTATTTTATTGTTCATTTTATTCTTGGCGAAACATTTTCACTTAAAAGTGCTAGAAGAGATATTCCTTTACCAATAACTTTAATATCTAGAAAATTAATGGAAAATGAGGTTTTCTTTTAAACTAATTTTCTAAATTTATTTTTTTATTTTTTTAAGACTGTTCGTTTAGCTATAATTGGTTTATTAGCAAGATTAATTACCTGTCCAGATTCCCAAGCTGTTGTAAAATGTATGCCTGCTGTTACAGTTATTGTACATGAAGTTTGTTTGTTTTTGATTTTGATAATTTTTGAGAGATTTTTTAGAGGAGGATGAGGGTCTTATTAAAAATTTTTTTTCGATTTTTGAATTAAAAAAAAGGAAGGGTTACTCAGTTTTGCCCTCATCCTTTTTTTCATATGAATTAATAGCTCCTCAATCAGTCAAACTGTATTGCCCATAAAAAGCATGTTTTTCAACTTTCCTCCCCAGTTCTTTTTTACCTTTTTATCTCTAAAATACTGACCAACTAAAAACTAAAAAATTACAAAAATGAATTTTATTTTTTTAGTATTTTTCAACATTTGATGAACAAACATCAATAGAATTACTTGTTTGTAGTATTAAAAGTTTACAAATGTTTTCAAATGATGAATTAGGTTTTTTCTTTTAATTTTTAAATTTCAAAAATTTTATTTTTAAAGCAACAGGCCCATTATTAGTTTTAATTTATGATATTTATTCCTATTTACGTCCAAAATATCCTTCATTACTTGAAGTTATTAAACAGGTTTTTTCTTTAATTTTTCAATTTTTATAGCTGAGGAATTTAGAGGGTTTAGAGAAATAACAGAGAAAAAAAAGATTTTTTGGCGTCCGCAAAACAACTTGCGGACTTTTTTTTCTTGTAGACAAAATTTTGCGGACTTTTTGGGGTCACCAAACAACTGAAATAGTTGCTTTTTTAGGAAAAATAGATTTTATGTTTCAAGTATTACTGAAGGTCCATTAACAGATATTCGACTTTACTTGGAAATAAAATGTCCATGTATTGGGGATGAAATGTCACCTCAAATTTTTTTTAATTTTTTAAAATTTTTTAAGGTCCCAACATGTTTACCAGAAAATATTTCAACATTTGATACACGTATAATGTCAATGGTACAACCTGAAGATGCCAAAAATTTTGATAAAATTAAAAAAGATTTGGTTAGAAAAGTGTTGACATCGGTAATTTTTTAAGGGAAATTTCTTTATAATTTAATTTTTTTAAAAAGACAAAATCGCGACTTCACTACAGAAAAGCTTCATCTGAAACTAATGGAGGAGATGAAGAATTAAAAGAAATGGAATGAATAGGGAGGTTTTTTTTAATTTATTTTCTTTTTTGATATTTTTAAGTTTTTCTTTTCTTAATGTTAATTGTTGAAATTTTTTGTTATTTAAATAATAATGGATTTGACTAATTTTGAGTTTAGGGGTTGGAGAATTTTGAATTTAGGGGTCGTTCGTTGGAGGAGTCCCGTATATAGGAGACCGGCGCGTGCATTTTTTGATTTTCGGGATCCCGAAATCCCGGATTTTTCGGGATTTATCCCTCGAGATCCGGCATCGGCTAAAAAAATCACGACTTGGGATCCCGGAAGTTCGATTTTGCCGGTCTTATAGAACAAAAAAAATTTTAAATAGCTATTTTTGACATAAAAACATTTATTTCAAATCAAAAATAAAAAGTAAACCGAGAAAACAAACTCATTTTGCTTTCTTGCTTTTTGAAGGTCCAGGTGTTGGATGTTCTTTTCTTTTAGTTGCAGGCGTTTTTTCTTCTTGTTTCTTCCCTCCCTTTTTACTAACAGCAGGGGAAGCTGTTGATGTTGCTGGTTGTGTAAATTCATTTATTCCCATATCGCCCATTTCTTTTTCAATTAAGGAAATTAAAATATTGCAGCGACGTTGGATTTCCTTTAAATTTAGAAGAAAATTCCTTCAGAAATTCAAAAAAGAAAAACCATTGTTGTCCTTGAACGAATAAACCAATCAAATCGAAATTGTGGAGCACAACGTATTTTTTGCCTCAATTCATCATAAACATTTTCGTTATCAAATCCGAGTTCATACAAATGAAAGAGAAGGAATCTAAAAAAATTTAAGTAGAATTTTAATTTAAAAAATGAAAACCTATCCTCCTCTTCTGTGTAGTTTTTACATTTTGAACCACCATAATTTATTCCTAAAAAATTATTTTTTAACTATAAAAGTCCAAACAAAATTTATTTTATATTTAAAAAATTATTTAGTAGTTTAAAAATCAATTTTACCCCAAAGGGAATCGAACCCGAGACCCTTTAACTAAGTCGTGCCCAAAACCTAACACTCTATCCACTAGGCCACAACAACAATTAATAAAGTCACTTACTTAATTGATGTTGTGGTGCCTTGTATTTAATTATTTTAGCTTCCAAAGCTTGTTTAATAGCTTGACGCTTCTGTATTCGTTGTTCACCCTTTTCTATCTGATTGCGATATTTTTCTCCATCAGCCAATTCATTAATTCGCTTCCAAAAAACTTTTGAATATTTTACAACCTAAAAGAATGTAAAAAATTTTTTAATTTATACACTAATTATTTTTTAAATTCATTTTAAACTATTTTACCATGAAAACTCAATCTCAAAAAAATAAAGGAGTCGAATACAAACCCACAAAAAATTTAAATAATCTTATTTAACTACTTTAAGGCATCATCTAAAAATAGAAACAAGAAAAGGACTCGAACCCACGACTATTCTCTGGTAAAACCAAACTCACTAACCACTAGACCAAAAACGACCATGTTAGCAAATTTTAATTTTTGACTTAAATAGAGGCCCGTTTTATTATTTTAATAGATCATTTAAAAAACCATCAAAGGGCATCTAACCCCTCCCTATTTTTACAAAACCAAACTCACTAACCACTAGGCCACAAATATTACTTAAACTTTATTAAGAATTTTTGATTGAATAAATTTAATTCCTCCCCAAATTCTTATTAAAAATAAAAAAACAACCTCTTCATAAGTTTTCGTTTCAACTTCTCTAGCAATACTTTCCAATTCATGCCTTCCATATTTTTCACTAGCATTAATAAATTGTCTAAATTCCCTTTTAGACCAATCAGCAAATTCATTTTGATTTAACAATTTTTCTTTTTCTGTTTCCTCTTTTTCTGTTAATTCAACAGCATTATCTATTTTTAATTGTTCTTCTTTTTGGGCCTTTTCTGCTTCTTTCCCAGTTAAATCTTCTGGTGGTAAAGGTTTCCAACCTGTAAAAAAATTTTTTTTGAAACTAGTTGAGGAATGCTTTTGGAGGAAAAAAGAGAAAAAAACTAGGCTTGTGTCAATAAGCACCAGGGATTTAGCTGACATAAAAATTAAATTCCCGACCCAAAAAACGTCGGGAATTCACGATTTTCGGGAAACGGGACGGCTAGATCTATGATAAGCACTAATCAAAAACCCGACAGCTAATTTTCAACCCGAAACTATAAATTGAGATTTTTAAAGTCCTAGCTATTTATTAAGAAGATGGACCAATTACTCGAATTGAAATCTAGAAAAAACCAAGCCAAATTAACATGCGGGGTCCAGGCAGTGATGGATCGAGTACCCGATACCCGGTCTTTTTCGACCCGATACCCCGACCCGAACGGCCAAGTAAAATTTAATTTAAAAAAACCTCCGTACCAATGCTTTTTCTAAAGTAATTTAATTCTTTCTCAAGTATGTCAAATAAACGTCTCGGATAAAATTGAAAATCAAAAATATTTGGAAAATTTTTAGGAATTGGAGCTTTTGCTTTTGTTTCGCCTTTTTGAGGTCCTTTCAATTGCTCTCTTTAAAAAATAAAAATTAAAAATTAAATTTCAAGAAAAGGGAAGGACAATACTTGCGGACAGACATGTACTAGCTTATGGCTGTTGCAACAAAAAATAAGTTTTTGGTCACCTAAAGTCAAGAGAACCGAAAACTATCATCAAAAAAATTTTTTAAAACATGGATTTTGAATGACACAATTAGAAAACATTTGAGAGGGAGCACAACTAAAAAAGGTTTACACAAGTTGTTGGTCCCCCAGTCAATTTGGCATAGAATAACAAAAAAAAATATTTTTTTTTGTTAAAGTCTGGCCCGTACATAAATTCTATCCGTAAGTTTCTCCCCACTTCCAAAAAATTATTTAAAAAATTCAAACAAACTTGTAATACAAATCCACTTTATAACTATTTGGTTTTCTATCTCTTTTGGGTGGTTCAATCCAATAATCGCCCACAGGTCTAGTTTGTTTAGCTTTATAATCTTCCCCTTCAAATTCATATAAACTTTTTCCTTGTTGTCCACCTCCACCTTCAGTATCCAAAGTAAAATTTCTTAAAGAAGATTCTCCCAATTTTTCCAATCTTTCATTTAATTCTTTTGTTTTTTCTTCCGCTTTAGACAAAATTACATCAATATCTTCATCTGTTATTGTTGAATCTTTTCCAGCAAATATTGTATTTGCACCATGTCTAATCATTGATAACATATCTTCTTTCCCCAAAGCTTTTTGACTTTCGACTAAACGTCCCTTTAAATAAAATAAATTTTTTGAAATTTTTTAAAGAAAAAAATAAACCTGTTGTATAACAATATTGTCTAAACGCAATTTCATTTCAGCTTTTTCAATAATTCGTTCTTCAACGCTACTGGAAATTGAAAAAAAAAGATTAGAAAAAGGATAAAAGTAAAGAAAAACAATGAAAAAAATTCTAGAAATAATGACATGAGACTCCTATCAAGCTATATAATTCGAAAAATCCCACAGGAACAAACCCCTAATCAAAGGGAAATAAGTCGTTCTTGCCCCAAACACCCAGTAAAAAATCTCGCTTATTGTTAGCTTGAATAAACTTATTAAAGGAGATTTTTAGTTTCAAGTCTTAAGCTAGAACCCAAAAAAAGGGAAGGAAAAAAATTTTTTATAATTTTTTTTTCATAAATTCATACCCCTAAGGATCAGAAAAATTGTTTCAATTAAAAAAATAACATTAAAAAACCAACTTTTCAGTAACAAATCGGAATACATAAACTTGTTTAGTTTGTCCAATTCTATGTGCTCTATCCATTGCTTGTAAATCAACTTGTGGATTCCAATCAGAATCATAAATAATAACAACATCAGCAGTTGCCAAATTAATTCCAAGTCCACCAGCACGCGTTGTTAACATAAAAATAAATTTTTCACTTTTTGGGGCATTAAAAGCATCGATTGATTGTTGGCGATCTTCGTGAGGAGTATTTCCATCTAGACGGCAATATTGATAACCGCGCCTTTAAAAATTTTTTCAAGTGAAAAAACTTTCCCAAAGGAACTTACCACCAACAAAAATCTTCTAAAATATCCAACATACGCGTCATTGAAGAAAAAATTAGGACACGTGAACCTATAAAAGAGCATTCATCAAAAGTAAAAAAACATTAGTGATTGGGGTTGACAGTTAAGAACTGACCAAACCTCCGAGGATTTTCTGTCAGTTCCTCGGTTCGGTTCCGAATATCCGAAGATTTTGTAAGAACAAATAACCCTTTTGTAAGTGATTTTGCAAAGCCTTACAAATGTTACTAACGGATCTTTGAAAAGGGAAAAAAGGAGGGGAAAAAGCCTTTTTCTTAAATGCATCCAAAAATATCTCCCACATAAAAAATATAAAAATCAAAGAACAGAAACCTTGTTCCTTCAATTTAATAAGTAATTTGTCGATAAGAACCATTTTTCCACAATTATCAACCAAATGCTTGTCTGTAGTAAAAGGTGGGCCCGGTTCTGCTCCATCAAAAAGATAGGGATGATTTGTACTTTAAAAACAAAATTAAAACCCCAAAAAATTAAAAAAAACCATTTTCTCAAATGCATCAAAATATTCATTAAACGAGCTTTCTCCACTTTTCCAGAAGAATTTAAAATATCAATGTCCTTCATTAAAATTTTTGTATACCATTCTCTTTGTAATTTAGACATTCCAACATAAACCTTCAATTCTTTTTTGGGCAATAAACTTTTTTCTACATCAGATTTTAAACGACGAAGGAGAAAAGGTTGCAAAATCTTTAAAAATAAATGTTCAAAAAAATTTTTAAACGAAAATCTCACTCTGTGAAGTCTTTTAACCAAATCTGAATTTTCTGCCAAAACGTTATCTTCTGCAAACATTGCATCAAAATCATCAGAATTTCCAAATTTTTCAGGCAAAAGAAAATTTAAAAGAGCCCAAAGTTCGTGTAAATTGTTTTGTAATGGGGTTCCAGTTATGAGTAAACGATTTTTTGATTTGAGAAGGCGAACCTGAAAATTAAAAAAATCAGTATAGGCCTTTAAAGGTGATAATAAAAAGAGCTTTCGGGAAACTTTTAGAAAGAGGATACCTTCTAGATTCCAACTCGCTCCTATCAAACTAAAGGGGAGGCTTTGAGAAATTTTTCGGAAAACGGATCCAGGAAAGGGAGGAAGAAGGATCTAGAGTCCAACCCCCTCAGCTAATGAAAACCTTCGAGAAATTTTTTCGAAAAGTAAAGCCGGAAAGGGACGACAAAAAAAAAGTCTCGTAACGAACCAACTCCCTTCTATCCCCTCCCCAAAAATTTTTAAAATTTAATCCTTACCATTTCAGACAATTTACTCTTCTCATTCTTAATTCTATGTGCCTCATCAATAATTAAATATCGCCACATAAACTTTTTTAGAACACTTAAAGTTTTCAAAACCATTTCATAAGAAGTTATTAAAGCTTCAAAATTGTGTGGTTGAATAGTTTCTTGAATAATTTTTTGTCTGGCTTCTTGATCTCCAATTAAAGTAACTGTAGAGATTGAAGGACACCACCGTTTAAATTCATTTTCCCAATTTTGTAAAGTTGATTTTGGGACAATAATGAGGAAAGGGCCGTTTTGGTGTTTGTAATGTTTGATAAATCCGAGGACTGAAATTGTTTGAAGAGTTTTTCCAAGACCCTAGAAAAAGGTTTGAAAAAGAAGAAAAATTAAAAGAACCATTTCGTCTGCCAAAATGCCATTGATTCCGTTATGTTGTAATTGAATAAGCCTAAAATATTAGAAAAAAATAAAATTAATTTGAAAAGTTGAAAAGTTATACAGACGTTGAAAAGGAAATGAGAATTAAAAAACATGACTGATTAGTGAAAGGTATTGCCTAGAGGACTCGAACCTCAACGTAAAAAAGATGAGGCAGGAACACAACAACACTAGACTATACCTTCCACACTAACAAGGAAAAGTTGCGAGATGTCCGAACTAAAAATGGTCGAGACCGGCCTCATGATATAGAATGTGCCCGTTTTTTGTCTGGCCAAGATATGGCCTCCAAAGACCCAAAATTTGGCAGAATTTTTTCAAGATCAAAGAGAAAAATAAAATGTAGTTAATCAGGTAAAACAATACCAAGGACAACAAAAAGTTAGGGTGAATAAAAAGAAATAAGGGAAGGCATCCAAACAAAAAAATAATTTAAAAAATATACCAATTCAACCCACGAATTTGATAATCTCTCATCTCTCCATTTTTAATATATGGAGGGGTATTTTCAAAAACAAAAGTACTTCCACTAGTCAGTGCACTTTGTTGAAGTAATTGTTCATCTTCCTCCTTTTCTGTCATTCGATGTCTGTGATCCCCATCCTTGGCAGATTTTGATAATCTTTGTTTACTGGGTAACTAAACGAAAAAAATTGGTCACTAACTCGTCTAAGAACTCAAAAAAACCTGATCAGAACATATTTGTTCGTGAACTTCAGACTCGATATCATCTAGCAATTTGTTTAGTTGACCCGGATCTGGTTCCTTTTTTACGTCTTCTTTACTATCAACATCCATAGGGTAAGATTGGTCTGATTTATCATGAGATTGATCAGAAGATTTGTCATGTGTTGAAGAAACATCCATTTCAGAATCCATTTGCGCGTCTATTAAAAAGATAATTAAACTCTAAAACTAGAAAAAAAAATTACAAAAAATAAAGAGAAAAATTGACCAAAAACTAAGAAAAAAAGCCAAACAAAAATTAACCCAACTACATTTTGCAAAATTTTGTTCTTAATGACAATTTGTTTTTAGGTATTTTGAAAAGACACTTTAAAGGCTTACATAAAAATAAACGATAAATAGAGAAAGAGAATAATTAAAGAGAAAAATGGGGAGAGAAATAAAAGTGACAGACACAAGAAAAAGAATTAACAAAATATAACCAGACAAATTGCCACTAAGGGCAAAAATGACAAAACGGTAAAAACAAAAAGGTAACATTGGAATTTGCCAATAAAAGCAAAAATCCATCAGAATGTATAAAAAGCAATTTAAATTTATAAGTAAATTTATTCAAGATAAAAAATAGGAAAACGAAAAAAAATTATATTATTCTTTCAATATTAAATAAAAATTTTTTTACACAAAAATAAATTTAGAGAAAAAACAAGTTTTAAAAATTAGGTAGGTGTACTATTTAAACCAAAAAAAATATTAAATTAAAAAATACCCCAAAAATACACATAAACATATCAAAAATGAATTTATTTAATAAAATTATTTTTATTTTCATTCTCTTTTTTAATTTAATATTTTTAGTAACAACGACAACAGGTTCGCTTCCAAGGTAATTTTTTTCCAATTTTTATTAAAATTTTTTTAAAATTTTTTAGCTCTCATCACTCAACAATAAATCTTTCAAAACGCGATAATCATCTTGTGCTGCTTGGCCCTGGTTCATGTGAAAAGACTTGTAATCAGCGTTATAAAGGAAAAGAATTTACAAAATGTATGAAACAAGTGTGCGGATACCCATAATTTAAAAATAATGTCATGTCCAAAAGATCACCACTAAATTATTATTAGAGCTCGACATTTTCACTTTGCCGGGCCCGGTATCCGGGTTTTTTTCTTCCAAGTTGACCCGGGCCGGGTTTTCCGGGCTAAAACCTCGAAAACCCGGAAAACTCGAAAACCCGGTTTTTTTACACCCGGGCCCGGACCCGGTTTTTTCAAAATTTTAAAAATGGTCAAATTTTAGTTTTTTCGCTGAAATTTTTCTTATTTTGAATAGAAAATAATTAAAATTTGGTTTCATCTTTCATCTATACGTGTTTATTCAAAGGATTTAGAGATAGAAATGTGAATTTAATGGATTAAGGGAAATATTGGTGGATTTGGTTGGTCTGGAGGGTATATTAGCGATTTACAAGGATGATATAGTCCCCTATATACCTCTAAATCCAGATATCTTCACTATAATTATTTAATCTGTGATTTGGTGGGGTTAATGTGGATTAGTAGAATTAAGGCGGATATAGGGGATAAATTTGGGTCTAAATATTATCGGGGGATTTTGCAGGACTAAAGGGCATATCCGCAATTTGGATAGGCTGTCGAAATGCAAATTTTAATATTTCTAATCGAAACGAAATAAAAAATATTCCCTTAAATCTGTCAATATTCCTTTAGATATGTCTATATCGTTATTAATCCCCAATCCATCGATGTCTCAATGCTCGATATCTCAACTAAAACCCCTAATCTATTTTAATCCCTACAAAAACCATGAATCTTAATTAATCCTGATAAATCCTTTTTAGTTACTTCTAATCCCTCAATATCCCTTCATTAGGATGCCCAATCCTCAATATTTTAACGCCCAGCCATGATTTTGAAGGATAAGACAAGGGAATACAAGTTCTTTGAATAATAAATTCGTTTTATTAGCGCCGCAGGCGAAAATTTTTCAATTTTTGGGTGTTTAAGGAGTCAGAATTGACCAAAACTTTAGAATATTTTATAAAATTTACTCGAAAGTGGACCCGGGCCGGGCCCGGGTTTTTCAGAGGCGACCCGGGCCGGGCTTCCGGGCTAAAAACCTCGAAAACCCGGAAGCCCGGAAAAACCGGATTTTATCAAAATACCCGGTTTCCGGGCTACCGGGCCCGGAAAACCCGGTCCCGGGCCCGGCCCGGGGTCGAGCTCTAATTATTATGGTCCCCTAGTGGTGATCTTTTGGGACGGGTTATTTTTCGCCTTTTTTGTCTTATTAAAATTTAATTTTTTTTAATTTTAAAAATTAGTTTAAAAAATTTAATAAAAATAATAAAAACAAGTTTTTGTTTTAAAAATTCAACACCATTTTTAAGTAAAGTTAAATTAACATTAAATACCATAAAATAAAATTTTAAAAATTTTCTTAAAAATATGGGCGTGAATCAAAAAAGTAATTTAATTATTTTATTTATTTTAATACTCACCATTTTTTCAATTTTACTCACTTTAAGGTAAGTCTCTCTCTTATAAAAAAATTTTTTTAGCAAAAAAAATTTTTTAATTAAAAAAATTAAAGGTTACCCAGAAGATCACCACTAAATTAATTTGTTCTCGTAGTGGTGATCTTTTGGAATATGTTTGATTCTCCCCTTATTGAAATTTTTTACTAAAAAATTTTTTTCTAATTACAAGACCCCTTAAAATATTCTATTTTTTAAAGCCTAGCTGACCCAGCTAATCTAGGACCTTGTGAAAAATCTTGCCATGCACGATACAAAAGTTTTGAATATATTGAATGTGCCAAAAAAGAATGTGGATATCATTAAATTGAAAGGAAAAATTTTTTTTGAATTTTTAAAAACCCCTCTATATAATAGACACCCATTAAAATAATTTACTCATTTTTTTAATAAAGCATTTTTTAAAAGGAATTTTTATTTTTCACTTAAAAATATTTAAATGAAATTTTTATCGTTGGTAATCTTCCTAGTTGTGCTGCTATTAGGAATTGTTACTAATATTGGAGCTAACACAGAGTAATTTATTTTTTTATTTTTATTAATTAAATTAAGACTTGGATCCTTTAAATAAAAGAGATTTCGTTTAAACCAATTTTTAAATAAAATCCGCAAAAAAAATTTGCGGACAATCCGCAAAAAAAAATTGCGGACAATCTGCAAATTTTAAAAATCAATAAAGAAATTATTTTTCAGGCTTCACCGATTTAAACGTGATCCAAAAAACCCAACAGAATGCGAAAAAGGATGCAAAACAAAATATAAACATAAAGAATATTACAATTGTATAGTCCAAGAATGTAAATATAACCCTCATCGGAGGATGTAAAAAAGGATATTTTGAAGGGAAAATTTTTTCCAAAAAAATTTTAAAAATATATTGGATATAGAATAAAAAATATTTTTTTTAAAGTCAAAAATCTAAAAAATAGTTGGGTGATCAGTTAGAAAAAAATTTTCTAATTAAAAATTTTTTGCGGATAAAAATTGCAGACATCCGCAAAAAACGGTTTTTTAATGAAAGAAAATTTTTAATTAGAAAACTTAAGCTAAAGAGGGGAAACTAAAAATTCACCGACCTACAAGTCATAAGTAGGGTGTTTCAAAACATGCAAATGCATATTTTGTATGCGGATATGCTATGATCTGAAACGCTCAAAAATTGTGTTTTTACGTAGGTACGATGATTAGGGACCGGGTTCCTATAGCATATTTTTGCATATTTCGGTACTTTTGTGCATATTTGCATATCGATGCATATTTTGGGAAATTTTGCATATTTTTACCTAAATTTGTGCATATTTTGGCATTTTTTGAGAAATTTTAGTAAAAATCGGGCAAAATTTTCGAATTTTCTGGGCAAAAAATTTTTTAATAAAAAATTGTTGAAAAAATTTTTTTGAAAAATTTTTCGGGAAAAATTTTTTTCAAATAATTTTTTTTGAATTTAAAGTTAATAAAATCTTTTATAAGTGCTCTTAAACTGCAATTTAAATGCTAAATTTATATTTTTTACTTGAAATATTGATTTTTGAAGCACATTTTCATTATTTTTGCTGCATATTTAGTGCATATTTTGACAAATTTGGCATATTTTGATGCATATTTTGGGCATTTTCGGTGCATATATATGCGCATATTTGGCGATTTTGAGTGCATATTTTGAAACACCCTAGTCATAAGAGAATCCAGGAAGAAAAACAGTTAAAACAGAACCTAAGGGTATAGGAAAAAAGAAAGAGAGGTCCCTCACAATTGACTCTAAAATTATTTATTTTTTTTTGCGAAAAAAAAACTAATAATTAAATAATATTAAAAAAATATTTACTTGTCACCTGATAAAGTCAAAAGATTTTTCCATTTTTAAATTTAAAAAACTTCCTTCCATTTCTTCCATTCTTCATTTTTGTTCCATAGATATTTCTTCTGTTGATTGAACAATTTCCCCCATTGGTGAATTAACTGCTTCAGTTGTTGATTTTTCTTCTTCCCCTTTTACTTCAACATTTTTATTTTTTGAAATACTTGTAGGTAACATTAAACGACTTGCTTTACCAATTCTTTGTGCTGTTACTCTTGGAATAAAATTTAAAGAATTTTTAATTTTTTGTTGTTTCTCTTGTTGTTGTTGATTATTTGAAGAGGTTGATGGGGTTGTTGATGAAGATGATGGTAAGTTATCTGTAGGTTGTAGTTGTTCTTTTTTCTTTTCTGGTGGATTACTCAAATAAACAGCAATTTCTTTTCCTTTAAATTTTTTTTAATTTTAAATTATTTCCGCATATCCCTAAAAAATCCGCAAATTTTGTCCGCAAAGTATACACTATTTATTTTATCAAAAAATTTTTTAGATAGGACAACAAAAATAAAATTATTTTTAAAGACTTATTATAGCAAAACCAATCCCTCCCTTCATGATAAAATAAAAAAGTTAATAACTTGCGGACAAAATTTGCGGACTTTTGAGAGTGTAAAGGAAAATAGAAGAAAAAAACCTCTAATTTTCTCTCCATTAGCCTTTAATATAGCTGCAGATGCTTCTGAATCAGTTTCAAAGTCAATATATGCACATCCCTTTGAACGTCCATTCCATTTTGTAATTATTCGAACATCCAAAACTTTGCCAAATTGTGAAAAGAATTTCTAAAAAAATTTGAAATTAAGATAAAATTGAGAAGAAAATAAAAAAAAGTCCGTTGATAAGAGAAAGATTAATGGATAAAATGTTTCATGATCTAAGTAAGGAGGTGCCGAATAACAAGGAATTAATTGTGGACATAACAAGGAATGTCCGCAATTGCGTGTTTTTCCGACTTGCGGATTTTAAAAGTGAAATTTTGGATTGCGGCTGCGGACAAACGTCCTGAACGCTAGTGAATAAAAAAACCAGGGTTACCAAAAAAAAAGAAACATGATGAGATTCCAATTTATTAAAAAAAAATTTTAACCCATGTTGGCCAAACCTCACTCTCTTTTAAACGGACTTTAAAAAAATTTTCTTAAAAATTAATTAATTTAACCATTAATTCATCTTCTTTAACACCAAAATGTAAATGTTTCACAAATAATTTATTTTTTTCTAATCCAGTAGAATAAGGAAATGAAGAAGAATTTTGTTGTTCTCTTGAAGAGAATTTTCGTTGTTGTTTTTCCTTTCCAAATTTTTTTTCTTTTTGTTGCTGATGTTGTTGTTGTTCCATTTCGATATCCTCCTTCCCATTATTTTTTTCTTCTTCTTTTTTCTCCATCTTTTGTTGTTGATCATTTATTCCAGGTATTATAGGGCCTATTGGAATGCTTGATGTTTCAAAAGTAACAACCTTTCCTTGTCCTTCTTCAACTTGTTCCTCTTCAAGAGTATCAATATCCATTTCTTCACCTCTTGTAACTTCATTCTTTTGTTTGTTCTTCTGTTGTGGTCTTCTGAATTAAAAAAAATATTTTTTAAAAATTGTTAAAAGCTATAAAATCTTTTTAATTCAAAAAAAAATTTTAAAAATTAAGAAAAAAATTTTTTTGCGAACAAGAACTTGCAGACTTCTTCTTCCAAAAACGCTATGATACTTAATTTAAATTTAATTTTTGTTTTTATGCAAATTTTGGGGAAAGAAAAAATTTTAGTGACATATAAAAATCTAGTCAGAAAAAATTTTTTAATTAAAAAAATAAAAAAATATTAGATTTGCGGCCACAAAGCATTGTTTTGCGGACAAAAAATTTATTTAAGTTTCAGCTAAATTTTAGGAATAAAAAAATTTTTCTGGGTCATGAAGGTTTAAAAAATTTAAAAAATTATAAAAAAAATTCCAAACCTTTTCTCCTCCAAATTATTTCCATTTTTCTCCTCAATTTTTTGTTTCTTATTAGATCCTCCTTTATCACCTCCACCCCCTTTTCTTCCTTCATTTTTTCCTTGCTTTTTTCCATCAAAATTTTTTCGTTTCCTCAAATGTTTTTCTTGTTCCTTTTCATTTTTAGCAAAATTAGAAGCAATTAAATTAACTCTTTCCAAAGCCAAATCCAATTCTGACCGATTCCCTTCTTCCCTTTCAAATTGTATAAATGCTGAATAAATTACATGAGGATGGAAGTTGACATTATCCAAAGCTTTATAAAAAAGTTTTCGAGCATATTCGACATCTCCATATTTTCGTTCTAAAGAAATGGCTTCCAACCAAGCAAAGGGGCCGTTTTCACCTTTTAATAGTTCAGTCCAAATTTCTCTGGCCTATAAAAAAATATAAAATTGTTTAGGCTAAAGATCAGTCAAATTTAATGGAAACTTTAACTGGAGGGCTTAATCGATCTTTGGAAATTGAGAATTTTTAAAATAAATAAAAAAAACTCATTCTCATATTTATCGAATCATAACTTTTTTTGGGTGACAACTAAATATTTTTTAGATAATTAAGCCCTCCCTAATAAAAAAAGCAGAAAACACCCAAAAAAAATTCTTGAACCTTTAAAATACCTAAAAGAAAAAAAATCGGAAAACCCCCAAAAAAACCCCCAAGATGAACCCCAAAAACAAAAAAACCCCAACAAAAGATGAAAAATACTAACTAAATTTAAAAATAATAAATAAACCCTTGCAAGCTTCCCCATTTTTGCGTATAAAAAATAAGCAAAATTCTTCTGAAATTGTACAAAAGATTCGGAATATTGATCAAAATATTCAGCAACAACATGAATTCCATCTTCAAATAATTTTTCAATAATTGAGAGATCAGGGTCAACTAGAAAAAAATGAAAAATGATTCTAGATTAAAAATAAAATTGTTATCGACCAGTTATTTTCGCATTTGGCTGACCATGTAATTTCATAATTTCCCTAATTGGGAGGTAACTGACTAAAATTAAAAAATTACAACCAGCCTAGTTAAAAGGAAGAAAAACTTTCAACATAGGACTTAAAATACATGAACAAAATAAATGAAAACCTCATAGATCTCCCACCCTCTTCCTAGCTTGAATCAGTAATTATTTCTTCATTTTTGGTAGTATTTGGTCAAGTAATATTTTTTAAGACCTAGGGAGAAGAGCGACATGTCTCTCTTCTCCCAACCTAGGGAGAATAGCGACATGTCCAAAAAAGTACCCTACTATCAATTCTAGCCCATCACACCTTGAACTATCCCGGGAACTCCTAATAAAAGCCAGAACCCTAAAACCCCCTAGATCCCTTATAAATAAAAAAACACAAACCATGTTTCTTTAAAAGTCTAAAAGTCAAGTAAATATATGTTGTATACAAAGAACATGTTTCTTCCTCATTTTCAATTGCTAATTTTGCTTTCTCCCATAAAGGCTCCAAATCTTTACAAGTAAATTGCCCAGTCTTTTCAGCATTTAATAATTCTAATTGAAAACGTTCAACAGTCCAAGTATCTTCTCCCATTTATTTTTTAAAAATGAATTTCTAAAAAACAAAGTTGAATCTCGATAAGCCAGAAACTAAAATCTTCCGCTTATCACGTCAGATAAATTTTAGTTACGACCAGAAATAGGCTGGGCTGACAAATAAAAGTCGGGTCGAGTTTGGAGTCAAGCTTTCCTTGGAAATGAAATTCGAAAAAAAATCGGGTTTTGGAAGATCGGCTTATAATTAGGTCCGACTAATAGATAAGGACAAGGGAAATTTAGATTTATCAGGCGTTTTTATTATGTCTGTCAAAAAAACGAAAGCAAAATAATAAATATATTTGTATAGTATTAATATACAGAAAATTTAAAGAAAATTTTTTTTCCGCAAAAAATTTTATTAATTTAATAAAAAAAATATACAAATTTTAATTTATCCATGCTTCTTTACATATCCAACACATTTACTCGGATCCGTGGGGAAGAAGTCTTGACATTTAGATAATACACGTTTAAGTCCATGAATATATCTTTAATAAAAAAATTTATTACTTTTTTATTAAAAATTTTTTTCTCATTATCTCACCACCTCTCATCTACCTTCTCATTTACCTCACCTTCTTTCTCATATACAATAATGTACAAATTAAAAGGAACGGAAAATAAATTTATTCTAAAAAAATTTTTTTGAGTTGTAAAAATCAAAGGATTAAGCAACTGAATTTCAACTATTTGATAATTTTGAAACAGTGAAAAAATAAAATTAGAAAGGTAAAAGGGGGAGGGATAACTTAAAAATACCAAAAATTCTCAAAAATTTTTAAAAAATACTTTCGTTGTGTTTCATCATTCATTACATGTGCAACATTAGAAGCATAAGCTTTTGAAGATCCTGGACGTTGGTGAATACCTGAACGAGTAACACCTACAGGCCATGGAGCATTTCCAATAGCCATTTCCATATATGCATTGTTGGCTTGAATATAGTCTTTGTCTAGAACACAAAATCTGAAAAAAAATTTCAAGGTTAAATGATAGAGGACAAGATGAATAACAATTAAAATATCTAGGAGTTCTTCCAAATTCTGCCCTTGGGTAGGCACTGATTTAACCACGACCCTCAAAAGTTGCTTAGATTGAGTTGGGGATTTGGTTCAAAAATCTAACGCGCCTCGAGTGTAGGCATCGAATACAAGAGTGAGCCTAAATTAAAAGGTAATGGTTCAGGTCGGGGACAGGCCCGTAACCAAGAGAGTTATGGGCCTGGACGGGAATCTGGCCAAAAAATTATTTTAATGAAATTAAAAAATAAGCCAAAAAACCTAGTTATAGTAGTTAAATGTGCTCGAATATCAGAATTCACAGAATGCTTCTCTAACGATTTAACAAGAGGATTCATATGTTCAACAGTCTGTTTCTGCATTCCAGCTTGTACTTTCCCAGCCGGACTTCTTTTTATTTGTTCTGGCCTAGCATTCAATTCCTTTGCCCAACGCTTCATAATATAATTAATAAATGCAAAAATTAAATCACAATCTTTGTTGTCATCACCTTCGCCAAGTGAGGATGCTCCTTTCTGTTAAAATAATAAAAAAAATTTTTTGGGAAGTTTAAAAACAGTTGATTCACGAGAAAAATGTCAGAAAATCAGTTTGTGTCCAGAGAAATTGATCCAGCGAAAAAATCGAAAAAAACATAAAACGCTCTAACATTTAAAAATATTCAACTTAATCCACCAACAATATTGGCTGAAGTTCAAAAAAAAAAAAAAATTTTTTGGCAAGGTTTTGTGCTGGACGAGAGGTCAAGGAAAAATCCTAGCCGTATCAGAAAACTTTGAAGCTAGAGACGACTCCCAGACTTGAAAGTTGAATATTGAAAAACCTTGGGAGTGAATTGGTGCTGGACTAGAAATTCAGGAAAATTCCTAATGTAAGCACAACCAGACTCACTCCCACAACTAGCAATCCCTAAAGAAATCTAAATTACAAAGAACCAGCTCGAACACAAAAGAGCGTGGATTCTAATTGTAAGCATGGGATTGGACCTAAAATCCGGGGAACCCCAATCTTATTGGCCTAAAACAATTTTTATCCCTCGTTCCAGTCCCTTGGAAAGAAATCCAAATTACAAAATAAAAACCTGAATTTGTTCCCAAGTAGCATCCTCTTCCGTTTCCTCAATTACAATATTTAACTTCTCCGCTTCATTTGTATTGTTCGTTCCTTTAGCAATCTTTTCCATAACCTCCTCATTTTCAACTTGTAGCAAAGCCGCTTGAAAATCATTTTTCAATCCAACATTAAAGTCAGGCTTTTCCAATTCTATCCTCAACCTCTTCAAAGCCTCCTCATCCGATTCAGCAAACAAACGAATTGGCAAACCTCTAATCCTCAATTTTTTTATTACTTCACTTCGAGGCATAAAATCCGAAGTATTTGAAGACATTTTTTCATCGATTGATAGTTCAATGCTTTTGCTAGTCATGGCAAGTTTTTGTTCATCTTCCAATTGTTTCTGTTTTTCTAAATAGGCTTCCTTTTCTTTTTTGAATAAATCACAATGTTTTATCATTTTTGAGCCTTTCTAAAAAATAAAAAAAAATTGAAAAAGAGCAAGGATTCTCAAGGTAGAGGTAGGAATTTTCAAAATGCCGGCCCCTAGAAAAAACGAGCATCCTGACCTGATCAAATTTGGGTCTTGGATTCGAAATAAATTTGAATTCATACAAGGAATCAGCACACTCGTTTATCTAATAAAAGACCTAAAAAACATCGAAAAAGCACTCTTTTTGCTCATTTATTCTAATTGTAAGGACTAAAAAACCTACTAAAAACTAAAAACCCTGTTCATTTATTCCACGGACCAGTAAAACCTAAATCTACCTAGCAATGTTAAGATGACTATTTTGAACCCTATAGGCCCCATTTTCATTTCCCTCTAAATTTTTTGTGTTTTATATACTCCGGCAAACAATTCCCCCTAAGGAAGAAGTAAAAATAGGGCCCTAAAGTTCAAAACCCTCCTCTTAAATTTAAATATACCGAAGTTTCAATAGCGATGTGGTCAATTTGTTTCCGTTTTTGAGCAATAACGCCTTGTAGAACATCGAAGACATCCATTGAAATGTTGTAAAATGAAGACAATAAATTTTAAACAATCTAAAAACAAAAATCAATTTCGAAATTTATGGAAAACTTAAGGAAAAATCCAAAAACAAAGAAAATTTCCCTCGTTCTCCGACTCAAGTGTCCAAAATACAGAATGCCAAAAACTTTATTTTTTTTGCGCCAAAATATTTTTTCTTTAAAAAGATATTTTGTCACTAAATTCTTTGTCAATTTACTTTTCAGGCATAAAACAGATTGTTAACTTTTCTTCCATTTATTTTCTTGATGTGCATATTTTCCCCTAAAAGACTGCCCCATTCCATAAATTTAAAGAATGAAAGAAAATCGCTTCCCCCTGAATTACTTCCAGAAATTGTAAAATTTTTACCCTTAAATTTAAAATGGTCAAAACAAAGAGTTTCTCTTAGTTTTGACATTTTTTTATTTAAAACACAAAACCAATGGATTAGTATTTTAAAACTTCTTGATCATGTGAGACTTTAAATTTTAATTGTAAATTGTTTAGCGCTCTATAAGTAAGAAATCTTATTTGTTAGAGCTTTGAGTTTTGCTTAAAAAACTTGTTCTTATCTTATCGAATTTTTTTCAATTTTAGTTAAAAAAACTCTTCACCTTGACTGACAAACGTATGGACGCCTTACATAAGAACATTCCAAAAATTGGAAATGATCTTGGTGATCTTGTTCATGTTAGTGCTCAAGTTGCCTCGTGTTTTATTTGTATTAAACTTTAGATAAATTAAATTATCATTAATTAAGGTTTGCAAATGGTTGGAATGTATTTTTATGTGAATCCTGGGTTTTCATCTAGTCTTAAAAAAGTTCTCGATGGATGGTTTAAAATTAAGAGAGACAAAGATATTCTTTCGGTTAGTTTTTTTTCAATCCAGGACTGGATTTTATTATTATAGTTAAGAACATTTTGAAATAATTAAATGATTCCGGGATTTTTATTATAATTTTGGCATCAAAAATAAAAATGTTCTTAACATTAAAACAAGTTTACGCTTAATTATAAGAGTGCACAAATGAGCTTTTTCATTTATTAACCCTTTCTCAGTTTTTTCCGTTTATATCCGTGTCTAATAATATTATTTTAGGAGATGAGCACTGCCTCATCGCACATTGTCAAAGTCAAAGAAATTATCAATCTTTTAGAGGGTGTTGTTAATGAGGAAATGTTTTTGGCCATTAAGGAATTAAATGGTGGATTTTGGGAGGAATGTGTGAAGGAAATGGAGTCGATGCTTGTTGCGACCGAGCCTTTTGCTTAAATATAATATTTGGAGTTAAAATTGTTGAGAATTGGTTAAGAAATAAATTTAAAAATTTTCTCATGGAATTTAAGTAATTTAAGTGTTAAAGGTGCTTTTTAATATACCACCATCCCATTTCTAATTTTACCCTCACCACTACCCAATAAACTCCCCCGCACTTAACCCTCATAAACTTCCTTAATATATTCCAGCTCTACTCATTTTGTTTGATTATTAAAAGAAATTATTTTTTTGTTAATTGGGGTGGTATATATGTAAAAAGGACCATTAAATTTATTTTAAAAAGTTGTTAAAGTAAAGTTGTTGTTAAAATAAAAATTTTGTTTTTTGAAATTTTTTGAAGTTTTACTTATACTTGCTCATATCGACCTATTTTTGTATTTTTACCTTTAATCCATTTTTGAAGGATTCCTCTCTCTTTTACAATGGCAAGTAAATTTAAATTTTTCAATTTTGTCTAAAAAATTTTTTTTAAGTCTATTCTATCCAAAACGAAGAGCCTTCACAATCTGAATTCAAAAAACAATTTAAATTTTACAAAAGACGAGATTGTCCCTTGGATCTTTCTGCCGTTCTTGATCCTTACAAATCTTCAAAAGAATTTTCTTTCAAATTAAATTATGTTTCTGATAAATGTTTAAATGCTGTAGAGAAGCTTTTTAAAGGAATTAATGGGTTAAGGTTTATTTTTAAATTATTTTTTTATTTAAATTTAATTTGAAATCCCCTTAAACCCTTATTTTTGTCGTTTTTAGTTCTCCTTCCCAAAAAACCAAAAAGGATGACATTTCATCCCAAATACATTTAATTTTCATTTTTACAAATTTTATCAAATTTAATTTCCCCTTTAAAGGCCTATACAACAATGGTCTCTCACTACTTTTTTGAATCGGTAAAATTTTAATTTTTATGGGACATTAGGTCCCCTCTTGAAATTTTTTAAAAATTTTTCGAAATTTTTCTAGGCCTGGTCTATTTATTATTGGAGGCGTTTTAACTTTAACAGAACAACTTTGTTGGATAGAAAAATGTCTGTTGGAATACCCAGAGCCTCCAAACATTACAAATTTATTTGTTCAAAACAACAATCCTTACAGAGGATCAAATGTCTTCAAAAATTGTTCAAAAAAACTTCGATGGGTAACTATGGGGAATGATTACAATTGGGATACAAAAGAATATTTGAATAATGCGAGGCATTCTTTACCTGATGAAATGGCTAAATTGAGTCGTTTGGTTGTTTGTAGTGAGTTGGAAAAAATTTTTTTAATTAAAATACTGAATTTTTTCCCTTAGGTCTAGGCTTGGGCGATTTCCTTCCTGATGCTGCTATTGTCAATTTTTATCCGGAAAAGTCTCATCTTTCGCCGCACGTTGACAGGTTTTTTCATTTTAAATTAAATTTTAGGGATTTCCTCCTTTCCCCGCTATTTTTAAAATATTTGTTAATTGTGGTGTAGTGGGAAAATTTTTGGTTCACCCCAGAAAAGGGGCAAGGTTCGAGTCCCTTTGTCGGAAAACAATTTTTAATATTCTTTACTTGGTTTAAAATAAATTTAAAAAATTTTTTTGAAAGTAAAAAATTTCTTTTTAATTTTTTAACAGATCTGAACGTGATTTGTCTCGTCCACTCGTCTCAATATCTCTTGGCCAACCAGCCATTTACCTTACTGGAGGTACTTCTCTTAATGATCCTGTCGATGCAATAATTTTGCGTTCTGGAGATATTTTAATTATGAGTGGAGAGCAACGATTAGTTTACCACGGAGTTCCCAGAATTTTGGAAGAACAACCAAAAATCTTTGGAGACGAATTTATCCAAATTGTTAAAGAAAAGGAAGTTTTGGAATATGCAAATAATTGTCGAATAAATATTACTGTTAGACAAGTTGATTAATTTAAAAAAATGTTGTTTTTTTTTAAATGTGTTTTTAATTTTTTAATAAATATTTTTTGGGGAAATTGGAAAGATTTTTTGAGGTATCCACTGAAAATAGGGTATTTAACGCCTTTAAATTCGCTGACCTATAATATTTCTCTAACTGAACCCACCTTCATGAAATTTTGTTTGAATATTCTTAAGATTGTTAGCCATATTCCCTCCCATTTTAAGAATTTTTTGTTGAGTATTTCAAAAATTATGAACAAAAATGTGAAAGAAACCCAGAAATTCGCCTATTTTTGCCCATAACTTTTTTATTACCTAACCTAAAATTCTAAAATTTTTAGAATATTTAAATGTCAATATTTTTTATATTTTTGGAAAATTTTACGCTTATATGTCATTTTTTGATAATTTTATGAGTTTTTCCCCATACCTTCCATTTATAAAAATAATTAATTATGGTGTAGTGGTAAAATTTTTGGTTTACCCCCAAAAACGGGCAAGGTTCGAATCCTTTTGTTGGGAAATCATATTAAATTGATACTTAATTGGTTTAAAATTAGTTTTAAAAAATTTTTAACATTAAAAAATATTTTAAAATATTTTTTTAATCCAATTTTGTGTTTATCAAAAATATTTTTCCCCTCCTAAAATTAATCACGTTGTTAATATAGTACTTTGTCTTATCATTTTTTCTGTTTTCTTGACGACACAAATTTACTAAATAATTTTTTTTCTTTTTTAATAACACACCATAAAGTCACCATGCGTTATTTAATTAAAAAAATAATTTATCTTTTCACATGTTCAATTAAAATAATAATTTTTTCTCACGTTGTTCGTCTCCTAATAAGTAAAAATATTCAGCCATGTGCTTCTTTTTCTTTAAATATTTTTTGATAAAAATTTATTTTTGAAAAATATGACTGATTAGTATACACTAAAGTGTATTTTTTGATAAAGAACAAAAAATTAAGAAAAAATTTTTTAGAACCCAAAGATTTACATCATTTTTAGATTGCATCATACAAATGAAATTTAATAAAATTAATTAATTGAACCCTTTTTTATTTTTAAATACAGACACACACTTTTAATTTTATCTTTTTTTATTTTGATTTAAAAAATAAAAAATTAATTATTTTCTGTCTAAAAATAGAGAATAAAAAATAGACGAGCTTTTTAAACGCAACTATTCAATAAGACCTTAGCCAAGCCCAACGAAACTTAAAATGTACCTCTACACCTCTAAACTTCCTTTAAAATCAAAATTTATTTTCCGAATTATTCGAAATTTTCATTCCTTTACTCCTCCTACCCCTCGACCACAAAATTATTCTTCCTATTTGGGGAGGGGAGTACCGACAGTTGGGATTCGAAGGGAAACGATTAATGCTTGGGAGGTTTTTTAAAGATTTTAAATTAATTAAAAAATTAATTAAAGAGAAGAGTTCCATTAACACCAAATCATGTAAAAGTTTTGACAAAGAAGGGGGTTCGAGTAATTATTCAGCCGTCAAATAGAAGGGCTTTTCCAATACAGGATTATATTGGGGCGGGGTAGGTTTTTAAAGTTTTAACTAAATAGACGAGCTTTTTAAGCGCAACGGTTCAAGAAGACCTTAGCCAAGCTCAATTAATTGTTTCTGTTAAACAAGTGCCAGTCGAAGATTTAATTCCAAACAAAACTTATGCGTTCTTTTCCCACACAATTAAAGCGCAACAAGACAATATGGAAATGCTCGACAGTATTTTGGCAAGAAAAATTAGATTAATTGATTTTGAGAAGATGACAGATGTTGAGGATAGACGACTTGTATATTTTGGAAAATGGGCGGGATATACGGGATTTATTGATATATTGCATGGATTGGGACTTAGACTTTTGGCTTTGGGACATCATACACCTTTTATTCACATTGCGTAAGTTTTTCTTTGGGGAAAACAAAAAGTTTGGTAAGATTTGGAGGGTCGTGGGTTCGAGTCCGGTCGGCGCCCGAAATTTTCTCCCTTAATTTTCTTTATAGAAAATTAGTTTTTATTGAATTTTATTCAAGTTGTATTCAATTTTTATTTTTTTAAACCCATCTTTATTTATTTTTTAATGAAAAATAATTTTGAGGGAGGTAGAGGGGGGGGGGGGGGGGTCGTGGGTTCGAGTCCGCTCGGCGCCCAAAATTTTTTTCTTTCAAAAAAAAAAATTAATTCTTTTATTTTTTAGATTAGCACACAACTATAGTGACAGGTCTGAAAACATTTTTAAAAATTAATCTTCCCCTTTAAATTCAGTCACATGGCAATTAATGCCGTTCGCGATTGTGGCTATGAAATAGCCTTGAATCGAATGCCTAGAAGCATTGGGCCTTTAATTTTTGGTTTTCTTTTATTTTTAAAATTTAATTCCCTTTTTCCTTCCAGTATTTACCGGAACAGGAAATGTTTCTAAAGGCGCCCAAGAACTTTTTAGACATTTTCCCCACGAATTTGTGGATGCCAGTACTTTACCTCAAGTAGCCAAGAAAGGACGTAAATTTAAAGAAATTTTTCCTCTTAAAAAATTAATTTAAAGAATTAAGCAAAGTTTATGGTTGTGTTGTTTCTCGTGCTGATCATATGATTAGGAAGGAAGGAGGAATTTATAAGCGGGAAGAATTTGAGAAGCAACCTGAACTTTATGTTTCCAAGTTTGCTAGTGAAGTGAGTTTTTAAAGCAAGCTTATTAAATGAGAGAGAGACTAGAATACTGTGTTTTCAATCAGTGACGCATTTGTTTCAAAATGGTCACTAGAGTATTATTTTTCAAAAGGGTCAGAAGCCTATTTTATACCAAAAGGGTTAGTAGTGTAATTTATTTACAAAGTTTCAAAAGGGTCAGAAGCGTATTTTATTTCATAAGGGTCACAAGTGCATTTTATTTAAAAATGGTCAACCTTACATATTTCAAAAGGGTCAAATTCTAAATATTTCAGATTGCCCCCTACGCTACAGTAATCTTAAATTGCGTCTTTTGGGGAGTGAATACACCAAGACTGCTTACAATACCAGACGCCAAAATTCTATTAACCCCACGAGTAAATAAAAGTTTGGAGGTGCCAGGATGCCCTTCCCTTCCACACAGATTAATGGCTATTTGTGATATTTCTGCTGATCCTGGAGGTTCTATCGAATTTATGACTGAATGTACAACTATCGATAAGCCTTTTACTGTTTATGATGCCGATTTGAATCAATCAACTGATAGGTGAGAGGAGACCATTTCATAATGTCGAAAATTCAAAACGTCTAAAAAATTTTTAGTTTTGATGCCCCCTCGGGATGCTTGATTTGCTCTATAGATAATATGCCTGCCCAACTTCCAGTAGAAGCTAGTGAACAATTTGGCTCCCTTTTATTACCTTATTGTTGGGTTTGGGTTCCGAAGCCTTTCGAGGATTATACAAATTCTACTCTTTAAATAACTTTATTTACATCTAACTATTTACAAATTAAAATATATACATAAGGGAGGGAAAAGGGGACAATTACAAGAGTCTGGCCAGACCTGATAAAAACACTTCTAATTAGATTTGAATGACCATTTTGGATGAGTATTTATAGGGGACATTAATAAGTCGAGATTGGCGAAAACAAGTGAATAACAAATATTAAGATAAGGGTCGGGAATTGTGATAGACTCTGATAACGGTCGGGATTCCTTTTAATATAGAAAGAGGTCAAAATATATGTGCCTGTGAATGCATGTGAATGCAACATTTATTTTTAGTTTGTTTATTTGATTAGGAGGGATACAGCACTTATGTAATGGATTTGGTTAGAAAAGAATAAAAAATTTGTTTGAAAAAAAATTTTTAAAGTTGAATTGTTCAACAGACCAGCCATTTAATTCCTTACAATGTTCTGAGGAAGTTAAACGTGCAATAATTACGACAGATGGAGAATTGACCCCAAATTATAAATATATTGAAGAGCTTAGAAATGAGCAGAGGTAGAAAATGGGGGAATAAATTAGTTGATGAAATGATAAGAGTACAAAAGAAATGATAAGAGTACAAGTAAAATGATTGATTACCCCCCCCCCTCATTTTACTCTCATTTACCAAACTTTGCTTGCCAGTCGGACCTCATTTTTATAGGCCCTAAAATTAGTAATAAGTTGAGGGAGATGAGTAGAGGAGCGGGAGGAGCTGATAGAGGGGAGTGGGGGAGCTGCTAAGCAGTGGAGAGCTGCTAAGAGCTTCTTTATTGGGTTAAGGAGCTTTCTAAGCAATACTTTGCACCCCATTATAAGCTACAGGCTATTCAGCCCCCAGGGTGTATCTTATAATGTGGTCTTTACTACAAAATTTTTTTAAAAAGACGATCAGCCCACAAATCCCGTGCAATGACTCCTACAACTAGACGTGTTTTGCTTCTTGGTGCTGGAATGGTATCTGACCCTCTTGCGAAATATTTTGCCGGTTTACCCCATGTTGCCCTAACAGTGGCTGATTCGTCCAGAAATGTTCAGAGGCATTCTTCTTTGGGAGATAATATAGAGACGGTTATTGTGGATGTACATAAAGAGACGGAACGTGTTAATGAACTTGTGGCGTAAGTTTTTGGAGAAAAATAAAATTAAAAATTCGATGGCCTAGTGGTTAAGGTTTTTAATTTCTAAAGGGGTTGTGGGTTCGAGTCCGGTTGGGGCCGGAATTTTTATTTCGCTTCCTTTTAGCTTAAAAATCAGTATAACAGAGATTTTGGGTTCATATTTTTACTTCTTGGTGGTTTAGTGGTTAAAGCTTTCTGTTCATAACACATAGGGGTCGCAGGTTCGAGTCCGTTCAATGCCCGAATTTTTATTTCGTTTTCTTTTTGCATAAAATTAATTTAAAAAATATTTTGGATTTTTTAACATCCATTTTAATTTTTTTTTCAAATTTTCTAGAAAAAACGAGCTTTGTATTTCTCTACTTCCATATACCCTACACCCTCAAATTGTCCGTATGTGTATCAAAAATCAAACAAACATGGTTACAAGTAGTTATATTACGCCTGAATTACAAGCTATGAATGATGCGTAAGCTGGACATTTTTTGAAAAATTCTAAAAAAATTTCTAGCTGTAAAACAGCAGGTATAACAGTTATGAATGAAGCTGGTTTAGACCCAGGAATTGACCATATGTTAGCAATGCAGTGCATAGATCAAGTACATGCTTATGGTGGGAAGGTGAGGGGAATATTTTAAATGGGGGTTTGTGGTTAGAAAAGGTTGGGAGGGGGTTGACTTTGAATTTTTTTTTGAAAAATGGAAATTGTTAAGGAAATCGAGCATTTTGGTTTAGTGGTTAAGGCTTCCAATTCATAGAAGATAGGGGTCATGGGTTCGAGTCCGCCCGGCGCCCAAATTTTTATTTTCCTTTCTTTCTGTAGAAAAATTAATTTAAAAATGTTTTTGCTCAATCTAAATCTCTGAAAGAAATTTTTAAGGTCATCTCATTTGTGAGTTTTGCTGGTGGCCTCCCTGCTCCAGAAGCATCAGACAATGCTTTGCGGTATAAATTTTCTTGGAGTCCAAAAGGTGTTTTAATGGTAAAAATAATTTTTATTTTATTAAATTCTAAAAATTAAAAAAGGCATTAACTAGCCCAGCACGTTATTTAATGAATGGAAATGTTGTTGAATTGGGAAGTAATGGAGAAGTTTTTGAGGACCTTCATGAAATTGATTTTATGCCTGTTAGAGAATTTTTTAATTAATTTAAAAAATTATTTTTACATTTTAGGGTTTTAATTTGATTGGCTATGCTAATAGAGATTCTACAAAATATGCAGAAATTTATGGAGTACAGGGAGAATGCAAAACTCTTTTGAGAGGAACTCTGCGTTATAAGGTAGATTTAATTGAGGGGAGAAGTTTATTTTCCATCAAAAAGAAGGGACGAGAATTCCCTTAGACATGTTTAGAATGCTCTTATTTTTATCATACCTGCTAACCCAAAAACTTTCCATTCAAGGGGTCATGGAGGGGGTCATGGGTTCGAGTCCGGTCGGGGCCCGAATTTTTTATTTTCTTACTATTTAAAATTCTTTCAGGGCTTCGTGGAAGCGGTTAAAGCATTAAAACAACTTGGCTATTTATCAACAGAAAAGAAAGATTTTCTTGATCCAACAGAAGGTCCAGACTTGACGTGGAAACAAATAACAGCTTCCCTATTAAATCAACAAATTGACATCTTCCCCGATTCTTTAAAAAATATTGCTTTGGATTGTTTGGGTGGAGAGGGGAAAATACGCGAATTAAATGGATTAGACCAAATTGGACTTGTATGTTGAAAAAACAGGGAATATATGGGTGACCATGAGAAGGGAATGCGTGGCTGATCAAGTAGACTCAAAAATTACAGAGGGGGGGGGGGGTTAATTTTTTTCGGTGAAAACCCACACAAGAACCTCTAAGAAAATTTGGAAAGTTAATTTTACACGACTGCTTAAATCCTTAAAAATTAAAATTTAGTTTTCCGATGCAATGCCGGAACGTCACTTAACTCCTCTAGACACTCTTGTTTGTTATTTTAAATTTAAAAAATTTTAAATAAAAATTTAAGGTCCCTCATTTAGCTAAAGCTCTTGCTTATATTCCTGGTGATCTTATCGTATTAAAAATCAAAAAAATATTTTTTAGGCGAAAAAGATTTAGTCATTTTAAATCATGACATTGTTGCCCAACTTCCATCTGGAGCATTGGTTTGAAATTGAAATTATTAAAAAGGGACTTTAGAGTCTTCATAATTATTTTAGTAAATCTTAACCTAATGAGGCTTTAATAGACTAATTATTAACTGGCCTGAGGGGAGGGGTGTCATAATCACTGGACTATGCCCAGTGATTATGGCACCCCTCACTATGCCCAGCGAGTATGACTAGAATTTTGGTTATAGGACTCTTCAGTTCCTATGGCCTCAAAAACCTATAATCAAAATTTTTTAGGAACATCACCGTATAAATCTGGTGGCCTACGGTGAACAACCCAAAAATGGTTATTCAGCTATGGCAAGTACTGTGGGTTACACAGCTGCTATTGTTAGCAATATGATTTTGAATGGTAAAGGAAATTTCTTTAAAGAAAAAAAAGAAAATCTGTCAAATTCTGAAGGTGAAATTCAAGAAACTGGAATGTTGAGACCAACATCCAAAACAGTTTATAGGCCAGTCCTTCAAAGATTGAAGGATTTTGGAATTAAAGCAAATTCTATTGTCAAACAACAAAATTTTTAAAATTATTTTATATATAAATATATTTTTCAAGATTTCTAAAATTTGTCTCAATTATTTTTTAGTAATCCTATATAAATATTTATTTTTCTTTTCTAACCAATTTCTTTTGTATTTTTTTATAAAATTTAAAAATGCTATAGAATAAGCACAAAGTTGACTGACTCATTATGATTCAGTCAAAGTTCTTTTTCGTCAAAATACCATAGGGTAAAGGAAGAACAATTACTAATGATTAAAAAATTTCTTTGAAGTCCCTCCCTTAAATAGAAAGCTCCCCCCTCCCCTCCCTTAAATAAAAGTCTTAAAGAAGATATAACCTTCAATGCTTCCGTTCGTCCCATTTGTTCGCCTTAAGAATACACGGAAACACGAAAAAATGAGACAATTATTTTTTCCTTTGGATTTGGGAGGACCAACCGTCCATATTTGTGTTATATATTAGGTTAGTGTTTAACTAGATTATTTAAAATGTATGTATTTTTCTAGGGAAACACCAAAATCGTACGGTTTCCGAACAAAAGAGGTTCGCGTTTTTGTGGGAGTATCCCATCCAAATCAAACTAAACAACGACACCCACTATAAGTTAAATCCATCAAAATCCTATCAAGAATGGAAAAGAACAAAATAAAGTTTCCTTTGGATTCGGGAGGATCAACCGTTTGGAAAATTTTAATTTAAAAATTTATTAAAATGTTTTTTCGGACTTTTTGTATTTAAAATATAACTTTATAATCTTTAAAGCGTAAATTACAAAAAGATTTCTTTGTCTGAATAAATTAATAAAATTAATTTTTTTTGGTAATTAAAAACTCGAGTATTGTAGATCTAAAATAGATCACACTGACACGTTTCTTTTGCACAAATTAATAAAAAATTCTCACATTATTTTTGCCGTCCAGTCATTTCATCAAGTGTCAGTTCCAGTACATGTCGAATAGGTTCTATTGGGTAGGACATTATATCTTCATGGAGTTCGGATACTATTTGCTTCTAAAAATTATTTTTTTCAGATAAAGAAATTTTCTTAGGGTGTTAAGTCCTTAAATTAAGTGATTGGGATAGTTGGGGTTTTGGACGTTTTGAACTTTTGTCTTTTTGGTAATTTGACATTTTTAAAATTTTTAAGCTCATGGGTTTGACTTTATAGTAAATAAAAATTCAGAAAATTTTCCTTTACCTGAAATTTCAGACAATCCTCTTCAATCCCCTGTTCAACAATAATATTTCTTGCAATAATTAATTTGTTTTCATCTTTAGTCGAAAAATTCTTTTTAAAATTGTCCAATTCAACAGATTTATTACTTTTTTCCAATTTTTCAATTAGAGCACATGTTACCTTTAAAAAATTTTTTTAAATAAAAGAATGATAAAAATTAGTTACTCGGAGTTGGGACTCGGACTCCAGAAAAATCCGACCGGATACGGTCCGGCCCCGGTCACTAGTGAAAATTTAGAAAAAATTTTAGAGGTGAGACCCAAATGTCGCTTTTAAAAAAAAGCGAAATTTTCTCAATCTGAAATTTCAGGTTGAGAAAAATACTTGATGGGGTGTTGTTCATTAGAGTCTGAGACTTTTTAAACTTTCAAAAAAATTTTCAGAAACAAACCCAAGTACATTTTCCTTCTGCCAAATCGACCAAATTTGATTTCCCAGTAATTGAAGGATCTCCAAAACAATCAAGATAATCGTCTTGTGCTTGAAATAAATAACCCAAATCATATGCTATTTGTCTCAATTGTACTTGATGGGGTGTTGTATAATCTGCCAAATGCATTCCAATATTTAATGGGAGCAAGTAGGAATAATGACTGAAAATTTAGAAAAAATTCAATTAAAGGCGAGACTCAAATGACAGCTTTTGGAAAAAGGTACATTAGAGTCCGGGAAAATTTTGTGTCAAAATTGAGATTGAAAATTAAAGGTCGGCATGGGACAGGATGCCTTACGATATTTTACGAGATCCTGTCCCAAAATCCCGTATTTTAAGCGACGAACGGGATTTACGGGACTAATCCCGCGGGATCCTGTCCAGTAAAAATTTTGAAAAAATCCCGTTACGAGATTAGTCAGGAATTTATGACCTTTAGAGTCAGGAAACCCTTAGAGTCGTGAATTTATGAAATTTAAAAAATTTAAATTTAAAAAAAGACCAATGTCCAGTTGACCTTCTTTTTACCTAGTTTTGTGTTTTACAATTGAAGAGTATCTCGACCAAGTGAATTGTGACAAATCTGTTGTTGTCATATCCAGCATTTGACCAATAACTGTCTTTTGTTTTGCCTTAATTTATGTAAATTTTTAAAAAATTTTATAGAAGGATAGTTGAGCCTCAACGATAATCTCTTTCCTTAGTTTCAAGTCTCCCAAAAGGAGAGGTTCATAATAAAAGAACACTAGAGTCTCACCACAAGAGTCCAGAGCTAATATCATGATACTAACAACTGGGACTCAAATATTCTCAAATCAGGAAAGTGAGACTTGAAGTGAAAAATTACTAGCCCAGACTCAACTAGCCTTCCTAATAGGGTTGCCGGCCGGTCCGGTTCGAAAGATCGAGTTGGGCATCGAATTTTGGCCCGAAAAAGACTTGGTCGGCCCGACTCGATAAAAACAAACCCGAAAAAATGCCACGACCGTCGGCTCGACTCGTAAACGGCAACCCTACTTCTTATGAAAAATCAACTCACTGTAGCAATTTCCCTCAATATTGCATTTTTTCTGGGATGACTAGGAATTTCTTTTTGAATAATTTTATTAATACCACAATCAAGTAATAAACCATCATTTATTGCTGCTAATCCAATATCTGGCTTAAGAAAAAAAATTTTTTTATAAATTAAAAAAAAATTAAAAAAAACCAAAGAATGCCAACTTGGCCTTCCACGCCTCAAAATACTTGAATCCATTATATCATCTTCAATTAAATAAAATGTTTGTAGCAATTCTATTGTTAATGCAACCTTTCCTGCTGTAATTAATTCTTCTTCAGTTATTGACTTTGGGGAGAGAGCCTGGGGAAAATTTTTTAATTAGGATTTTTAGGGGTTTTAAAAATTTTTTTTATTGTTTTCGAGTCTATACAAGATTAGACAATCCATACGAGTCTGTTAAAAACGGAAAAAGACTGCCTGATTCTGGAGGAACCAGATGAGTCTGGGAGGTACCACTAAGGTATGAGAAATGGAAATGGGCGTCCTATCAGAGTCTGAATGTTTAAATACTCGAATCAAGGAAGAATAACATGTAAACGGGAACCTTTTACAATATTGTGAAAAATGTCCTTCCTTTCCATTATCTTAAATAGGCATTACCGGTTTAAGGCAGTTCTCTCCCTTAAAACGAATGGTCAACCAAATTAAAAAAATTTTAAATGGGTACACTCTGTCCCAAAATTATACATCCACCTATATTTTTGGCATAAGTCCGTAATTTGTTAACGGATTTGAATGAAAATTTAACAGATAATGCAGAAAGACATTTTGAACCCCTTATGGTTGTTTTTAAATTCTCATTTTAGGCTCATTCGAAAGCCCTTAAAATTTACTAAAAATAAATTTGATCTAGTATTTGAGAAAAAATTTGATAGACAGATGTAGGTCGTTAATTTCCCGACGCTAATTTTATGGGGCATTTAGGCGCTTTTTTCTGCATAAAAAGTTTAAATGCCTGCTTCTCTCGATAAAAATTTTTCTGGAAAATAAGCTTGTTGCTATTTTGTAGCAAATTTCAAGGGCTTTCGAATGAGCCCAAAATCAAAATTTACAGTAATCCATAAGGGGTCAAAAATATTTTTTGATTTTGAAAACCCCTGTTTTACGTTGATTTTCGAGGTCTCAGGATCTCGGCTTCGGGTTAAGATATTGACCTACTTTCTTTTTACTTTTTTATAATATCAATGTATAAGTTTACTGGAATTTTTGTAGAATTTTCCTATAATCGGAAATAACTTTTTTGGAAGGTGGATGTATATTTATGGGACACCTATTTTACAAATAAATAGTTGTAAATATTGAGTGCATAATTAGAATTTTTTCAAATTTTATATATACTTTCAAAATGTCTTTCTGCATTATCTGTTAAATTTTCATTCAAATCCGTTAACAAATTACGGACTTATGCCAAAAATATAGGTGGATGTATAATTTTGGGACAGAGTGTATATGGGGGTATCTAAAAATGATTTTTGACGCTTAACAGAGTAAACCCAAAAGTACCGGACCCAACAAAAAATTAAAAAAAATTTTTTAAATTAAAAAACCGTAAAATTCTGCATAGCCAAATTACTCCTCGCAAATTTCCCACCAGCCACATTATAATCAAAAATTCTACAAATTCTTTGTTGGCTCAATAAAGCAGAAGATTCATCCAAATCTGTAGTTAAATATTTTGATAATTCATCTCTAAGTATTGGCAAAAGAGAATTTAAAAATTTTCCATTTTTGAACACCAAATTATTTTTTGATACTAACATTGTTGAAACTACTTTTGCTGCTTTATTCATTTAAATAAATATAGAAAAAAATATTTATTTTTTAAATAAATTTAAAAAAATAGGAGAAATGTGTTGGTGAATAAAAACCATATAAAAATAATTATTAAAAAAAATAAAAAGATAATATTTATCAAAAAAGAAATATTTATTTTACAAAATTACAAGAAAAAAATTTTTTAAAGTAAATTATTATTAAAATATGTATAATGATGTGTGTGTATGTTAGTGTTGCGCCGGAACCGCAAATTTGGCCGGAGTCGGAACTGAAATTTTAACCAAATCCGGAACTGGAAGGACGGAACAGAAACCAAAAAATCCCGGAACTTCCGGCCTACCAGAACCAGAATTTCCGGCGCGATCCATGGTATGTGTTACATATTAAATAACAACAAAAAAATGTGGTCCAAATTGTTTTATATTTTTTCTTTATAAAATACAAGTATAATTTTATAATTTTTAAACACACCATATTTAAATTAATCAAAAATAAATTTAAGAAAATAAAATTATTCCCCCCAAACAATTGATAGAATAAAAAATTTTTTTTAAACAAAACCTCCTCAACATGGAAAATGAAAAAAAAATGTGGACAGCCCTGAATATGTGTAACTTACAAAAGAATTAAAGAATGAATAAACCAGACCTGCTCATGGACAAGGTACAAATATTAAGATGCCTGCGGATATTCGCCTGTATCCGCCGTACATATCCGGATACGAATACCAAAATCAGTATCCGTGAGAAGGTCTGGAATAAACTTAAATTCCCCCTTGTCTTATTTTTAAGTCAAAAAATTTATTAAAAAACCTCCTTCATTCTCTCTCTTTTCTTAATCCCATTCATTATCATCCCCAGTTGGACTATTAGAACTTGATTCATCAGAAGACCCACCAAAACAATGTTCCATTCTTTTACGTAAAATAGCAGCAACATCTGTTGAATCATTTACAGCCCTTTTTTCTGCTTGTTCTTCTTGTTTTTGAACTTTTTTTAATTGGACACCCTCTTGGATTTGAATTAATAATAATGAACGATTGTCCTAGGAAAAATAAAAAATTTAAGGAAAATTTAAAATTTAAACAAAAAAATTTTTTTAATGAAAGGGTTGGTGTTTGTGCGATCACCCAGAGGACGTAATTTACAAAAAAAAATTTTCCCATCTGCCAAGTTACATTTGCGGACATTCTTGGTGGTTAAAGAAGAAAATTTTTTTCTTTGAATTTAACTCCCAAAAACAACAATTTTTTAAAAGGTCATCAGAAACACACTTATTAAATCATTTTAAAACTATTTTTAAACAAATAATCAAACAAACTTCAGGTCATAAAAAATTAAAAAAAATTATTTAAGGAGAACGCCTATTCACAAATAATTTTTTATTAAATTAGCTTTCCAAAAAAACTTAAATTCAAACCTTCGTTCCATCTCCACTAGAAGTAGTTGAAGGTTTTCGACTTGTATTTTCACTAGTTGAAAAAGTTTTTGTACCCTCTTGTTGTTTTAAATTGAAATTAGAAGGTGGTGGAGGAGGTGGCGGGGGAGGCGGAGGTGGCGGGGGCACAGATGATTGAATCTAGAAAAAATAAAAAAATTAAATTTTAAAGGCAGAGGAAAAAATCTATCAATATCAAGGTACCGCAACACCTTACCCGTCCACTAAACAACCCAACTAATTAATCAGATAAAATAGAATAATTTAAAATCAAGATATCAATAAAAAAAGATTAAATTACCCCACCCACCCCTCCAATTAAAATCCCAAAAAACCTGTTCTTTTGAACTAACATTAGAAACAGCTTGATTAATATTATTATTCTCTTCTGAAGGAGTTGTTGTTGTTGTAGTTGAAATTTCAGTTCCTCCAGCAGGTAAATATTGAAATTGATTAGCAGCAATATTTTGCTGTTGAAGAACAGGAGGAGGAGAAGGAAATTCTTGATCATTTTTTTCAATAAAATTATTTTCTGATAAAGAATTTTCCATTGAATTTTCTAATATTGGTGGTGGACGAAAAACAACAACAACATCTTTTTGAGAAGATCCAAGCATATTTTGTGGGGGTGGGGGTGGTAATTCATCATCTTCATCATCCAAAAATGCAATTTCTTTACGTATATTTTCAGAATTTTGGGATGTAGACAAATTTAGATTACGCATAAGTCCATCCATTTTATTGAAATCAGAACCTAAAAAAAATTATTTATAAAATTTTGACAATGTTTAAAATTGGTTCCTTGACCTGGGAAAAATCCTGGCCCCAGAAAAAAATCCAAAAGAACGTCAGAAGCATTGAAAAATGTATGATTGCTAGTCTGCAAGGGCGTATCCAGGGGGGGGGCTGGGGGGGGGGGGGCTAGAGCCCCCCCCCCCGAAATGGGGGAAAGGGGGAAAAAATTAGGAGAAGGATGGTCGAAAAAGTGAAATTTTTTCGCCTAACCCAAAATTTTAAAAAATTTTCGCCTGCGGCGCAAAAAATGGAAGAAATCTGGCTGCTTGAGCTCCAAAATCCTCAAAATTTTCGCCTGCGGCGCTAAAAAGTGAACTTTTTTGGCCTACGGCCTTCGAATTTAAAAAAAATTTTCGCCTGCGGCGCAAAAAACTGAATTTTTTTGGCCTACGGCCATCTAAAATTAAAAAAATTTTCGCCTGCGGCGCTGAAAATATAAAAAGTTATGTACAAAAAAATTTGTCGTAGGAACGCCAAGGTGAACGCCAAGGTAAACGCCAAAAATTTTTGCGCCCACCCAGTGTTAGCCCCCCCCGAAACCGACCCCCTGGATACGCCCTTGCTAGTCTGGACCATTTAAGGAAATCTAGAAAATCTTTTTAAAAATTTCTGACATCCTGCAAATTGAAGGAGAGGAAAAAGGAAAATGACTTCCCTCACCAAGGCTACCCAATTTCTTCCAAAATTAATCCCGTTCCTACACGTACTGTTAGAAATAAATGTTTAAAAACCTTGTTGTCCATTAGAATCCGTAGTAGTAGTATTTGAAACATTTCGAAACAATCCATGTGAATTATTCTCCACAAAATTATTTTTAGTATTATTCCCTCCATCAAAACCACCACAAATATTATGCCCACCAAAATCATTATTATTATTTGATCCATAATTCATCATTATTGTCATTCCAGGTGGTGGTTGCATTGGTGTGGATGTACTAGACATCATTTCACGTTCAGCTAGCAAAGCTTGTGGGGCCTGAAAAATAATTAAAAAATAAGAGAAACTTGCGGATATACAAAATTTTCGGATTTTTCCCTGAAAATTTTTTTCCAGCCCAGCTGGAAGATTCGGTTGGTATGCAGTCATATACTATAACGACGTAATAGCAAACTCCAAAAACCGTCGAAATGCCAAACGGCTTTTTTGACAACAGAGGGTATTGTTCCAACAAAATCATTTCAACAGTTTGGCATTGCGATGACTTTTGAAGGGTTGGCTTTTCGGCATTTTAGCATTAAGACTCGCTATGGATTCGGTTAGATCGGCCCAACTAATAAGGATAAGAAATGACAAAAATAATAACAAAAAACCTGATATTCCGCTGGAAAATGTAAAACTTCAGTAGCAGAACTAGGCAAACGTCCTGTCCGCTGATTTTTGCTGGTCAAATTTTTTCCATTATTTCCAGGAGGTAGATAACGTGAATAATTTGTTGAACGTGAAGAATGAAAGTTTAAAAGAGCGTTTTGTTGTTGTTGGGAAATGTTGTGTAGTTTTTGTTGTTTTTGGTCACGGTTACGGCGATGAGGGCTTGTTGGTGAACGACCTGAGAAATTAATAAAGAAAATCTAAATTTTGACTTCGAGACAATGTTTTGTAGTTCAGGAGACAAAGCCTAGGAAGTTTTTTTTGATTTTCCAGGAATCCAAATTGAGGATCCCGTCAAGCCAAAGAATCGGGATACCAGAACCGTTCTAGGGCAAATGAAGTTGGCCCAAGAAGAACCAAGCAAAGGAAGCTTTGTAAGATTTTTTCTGCAATCAAGTTCAAAGATCCCAAACCAAATGAGTGGGAAATCAGAACCATGTCAAGGTAGGTGGGCCAAGAAACACTAAATAAGGTAAAGAATCCGGTCCAAAGTCAAAAGAAAAAATTCGAAAAAATAACTCCTAGGGGAAAAAGGTCCAAAAGCCCCAGAATTTCCCAAAAAAAATTTAAAATTTAAAAAACCTGTTCGCCTCTTCTCCCCAGACGTCCCACACTCTTTAAGTATTTCCTGTCTCCACAATTCAAAAAAATAGCCAGGATCTGTGTAATAACGAAGAGCTTCTTTTTCATCTTCTCTATAAGGATTTAATTCGTTTAATTCTGGAGGTGGGTCGCATTGTTGATATTGCTCTTGTAGAGAAGTTGGCAATGTTTGTCTACTTAGAGAGTGCTGGTCAATTATATTACAGCTTTTAAAGGCTTTGCGTAATGCTGCTTCTTCCAAATTAGCTGAAATTAAATTTTTGTCAAATAGAGTAGATTTTGTGGAAAATGAACCCTGACGTGAGCTTAAATATGTCAAGAAAAAAAACAAAAAAATATATTCTGAATAAACTCGCAAGATCATCAATATTAAAAAAAAAGGTTAGGAAAAGGGTGACCCCTCAAAAAAGAAGCTAAACTAACAATAAGGTTGGTGGTTAAGGATATCCGGAGCCGAAATAAGTCAGGATTAGGGTTAAAGGTCCCTAGTAGTGATCGAGATTTTTGAAATGCCTGGGCCCGTTTCCGGATTTGATTTATTAACATGGGCCGGATCTTAAGCCTGAAGTTCAGGAAAAACACAAGAAGGTCAGAAAATGCCTGGGCCTAGACTCTGGGTACAGGAAAAACCCAGAACTTGGTCCTGGTCCAGCTCGTTCACTAGTCCTTAGCGCATACCCAAAACTGATAACAAATTCATAACAGGACTTTCCCCGGTTCTGAAAAATTGGTAAAGCCACACTGTCCGGAAATTGAAAGGTTCAGTTCGATCAACCCAACAATAAGTATCTCTAGTTCAAATAAAGGTTCCGTATATTTTCCTAGAAATCACCCAACATGCCCTGAATAAAATAAAAAAATCAGCTTACTCTGGTCCAACGAATTTTGTGATTGTTGAGCAACTTTTTGAGCTAACCTTTCAACACGTAAAAATAGAGTGTTTGTTCTATGATCAATTTTTAATACTTCCCTGTGGATATCAGAAAATATTTGTTGAGCATGTCGACTTAGCGAACTTAATTGTCTTATTAAATTTGCAAATGTTCCGTTTGTAATGCATTGAAGTTCGTCTTGTTTGACAGAATCGGGGAGTCGATGAAGCGATAAATTTACTGGGGAGACTGAGCGAGTTGTTAAAGGCATTGGAAAATAAGGCCTGAAATGATTAAAATTTAAGAGGGTACAGCCCAAGTAGGCGCGCGGCCATAACGGCGCAATGCCATAACTTGCTTCAAGATTTCCGAATCTTAACAAATTTAGTATTAAACGATTCTTCTCATCGAGCTAAAGAAATTGGTTCCAAAATTGATAAGTGCCAGAAATTTTCCAGCAAGTTATGGCTTGCGCCGTTATGGCCGCGCGCCTACTTGGACGTATCACAATTTAAAATTTAAAAAAATTAAAAAAAGGAAAAGAAAAATGAAAAGAAATAAGACTCAAATGCTCTTACAAAAGTTACCACTTTAAAATTTAACTCTGATTCTCTAACACTTATTCTACGGCTCCCATACAAAATCTCTATTCCTTAAAATCGCTATTCCTTAAAATCTCTACTAGGGTAAAAATACTTAAAATCTCTATTCCTTAAAATAACTATTCCTTAAAATCTCTACTGGGGTAAAAATAATTAAAATCTCTACACCGTGCAAATGGACGGTAGAGTCTCAACAAAAGTGTAAAATATGAACTATTCATTGGAAAACCCAGATTGGTAATGGATACGGATACAATTTGATTTAAAAATGGCTGCGGATATCTGCTTGTATCCGCTGTAAATATCGAAGATATAATACACGACTGCTTCGCTGCGGTCGTGTTCATTTTGCTTGCGGTGATCGTATCGAAGCGGCTGCTGTCGTTCCGCTGGACATGCCTGGGTTCATCCGCAGCGGCAAAAACAATACAAGCAAAATAATATCAAAAGATAAGCCAGAAATCAGAACAACGTTTCCGCACTTAACGTTGGCACTCAAAAGGCTTCCGAATGAAAAAATAGACATTTTATCCTATTTTTGGCCGTGTAGAGATTTTAAGGCATTTTACCCTTGTAGAGATTATGAGGAATAGAGATTTTAAGGAATAGTTATTTTAATCATTTTTAGCCGAGTAGAGATTTTAATGCATTTTAGCGGTGTAGAGATTATAAGGCATTTTAGCCCAGTAGAGATTTTAAGGAATAGAGATTTTGAGGGGATACGTATTCTACAATTTCTCTCATCTACACTTTTTCTCTATCCACACTATTTCGTTTAATTAAATTTAAATTTTTTGTAGAGTAAAAAAGACGTTAGAGTCTGAACTTATTTTATTTTTTATTTTTAACGTTTAGCACAGTTTATAGGATATTTTTTACAGTTTAAGCTAAACTTTTTTAATTTTTATCAGACGTTTTAAAATTCTAATTTTCGGTTTGGCAAATAAAATATTTAAGTATTAAATTAATTTTCTCGCTAAAAATTTTATTTTCGCTGTAATACAAAATATAATTTTTTTTATTCTATCGATTTTAGCTACGTGGAAGAAGATTTTTTTCTGGTTAGACTGAACATTTTCAGTGACTAATTTTCTCAAATTGACGCTAATTCTCTTAACTAAATTTTAAAATTATTATTTTTTTTATTTTTTAGAGATTCTTTTGTGTTCTATTGACTATATTTTCTTTGAAGTTTCACAAATTTAAAAACAAAATTTTATAAAATGGCTGCTTCTGGTTTTAGTGTTTATGGTGATTAAAAGTTTTATACATTTGTGGGAAAATAAAGGAAAAAAATTTGGTGTCATAATAAATAGATGGGCTAAATTTTTAGTTAAAAATATAGTGTGATGGAGAAATAACGAGAGGTTTTTGCTTGAATGTCTCTATGACGTCATAAAATCAAAAACACAATCACAGATGAGACTGGTCAGTGTCATCCCGGTAGAAACAGAGAGCAGAAAATAATTTTTAAGGTATGTTTGTGTGTATGTGAAATGCTCAATTTTTGTTGTAGAAATGAGTTGAAAAAGAATATTCTCTTTAATAAATTGGGAAATTCGGTCATACAACATCTGCAGACAGGCCTCCGAGAGGATGTCGGTAGACGTATCACACTCCGAAAATTTTCAACTCATTTTTCTTTCGTATTAAAAACATTTGATTATTGCATTCACTATAGAGCTATTTTCATCTGCTACCTCTTAATTTGACTATGAGACCATGAGAGTTAACTTCTTTGACTATGAGAGAACAAATAAAAATATTTAAAAGGGCTTAAAAACACTTAACATCTACAAGTTAATTTAATCTCATTAAATTTCAGTTGGAAACATTCCATATAATACTACAGAGAATGATATTGGCAATATGTTTTCGTCATGTGGTGTTGTCACCAACGTCCAGTTAGTTTCCATGTTTTTTTAGAAAAATTGTAATTGTGGTGTAGTGGGTTAATTTCTTGTCGGAGGGTTTTAGGGGTCGTGGGTTCGAACCCCGTTGGGGTAAATATTTTATTTCTTAGGCGTATAATATATCATTCGACGCGTTTCGTCGCTCTGAGTCCGATAGAATCAAAATTAATACGATTTGAAGCTTCCTAACAAAATTATAATCTAATTTTCTAGCATAGTCATTGATCGCAACACCAATCGTTCAAAAGGATTTGGTTTTTGCGAATTTCAAGACCAACAAGGAGCAGAAAATGCTGTTCAAAAAATGAACGGAGTTGAGATGAATGGACGACCATTGCGCGTTAACTGGGCTAACAGCAAGTAGATTTAAGAATAAAATTGGAAAGAAATGTGAGAGAAGAGATTGTTACAAAATGACAGTTAAAAAATTAATTATGATTAAGCAAATATTTGTGTAATAAATATTTTCGGCCATCTTATGGTGTGTAATTGGTAGCCTTTCAAGTTAAAAAAAATTTTTCCTTCAAAATTTTGGGCAATTTTTCGTTCTTAAGAGTCAAACTTAGTGGTTCCCTTTTTCTTTAGAATCTAAGAATCTGAGATTAGCTTTATTAAAATCACATGTATTTTAGCAATGAGTTTCAAAATTTTTAGTTCTTTTTAAAAATTATTCTTAAGGATTCTTTCCTTTTCCTCTAAAAAGGCGATTACTCATCTTTTCCCTCTTAAACTTGTACACGATTTATGGCAGTACTTATCCATCTTATCACCCCACATTCCATCAGAACAGAGTCCGCTTAACGCCAATTCTTCACAATTAAGTCCAATATCAACATTCAAAGTCCCCAACAGATCACAAGTATCTAAATTTATTAGACGTGACATTTGAGTCTGAAAGAGAGTACTTGTGTAGTTTACCCCCCATAAGCCTCGCCCCTTTTTCTTCTCTTCTCCTCTTTAAAAATGACATTTGGGTCAATATTTGCTTTTTTATTTATGATAGTCTTAAAGAAAGCAAAGGAGAAAAAGGGGTGGAGCTTATGGGGGGTAAACTGCACAAGCCTCCGAAAAATTTTTTAAAGAACCTTTACAGTGAGTAGTCATTTCCGTCATATATTCTTCAATATAGCATCGATGGATATATTTTTTACAAAAAGTTGAAGTGTATCCATATGTTAATTGTTCTCTTTCTTTTGATCTCCGCTCATATTTGTCTTCAGGTGATTCAGAAGATTCAGACTCTTCAACTAGTTTAGGTCCACTCTCGTCGGAATTTTCTTCGGGTTCCACTAGAAATTGAAAGGTTTGACTTTAGACAGTCACTGGGTGAAGGCTGAATAACTAGGAAGTACCCAAGGGCTTGGGAAATTTTTTTAGAGGTACAGGGATTGGACTCTCGATTAGTAAAAACTCTCTTCCCTTTGGGGTAATAACTAAATTTTTCAAAAAAATTTTTTCTCGTAATTTTTTACTAACCTAGCCTTATTCTCATTTGCGAGAAAAAAAATTAAATTTAATTTACCCCTATTTTGTCTTGAACGTTTATCTTCCTCCTCCTCTCTATTTCTCTCTCGTCTCTCCTTTTCCTCCTTTCTCTCTCTTCTTCTTTTCTCATCCGCTTCCGTTTCCGGCCAATGAACTGTTTTTTCACTTGGCAATTCTTCCGAACCGACAGGTGGACGTTTAACAATATCTGGACCATCTTCAAATTGTGCTTCTGATGAAGCTGAGGAATCTACTGAATTGCTATGGCTATTTATCCCTTCATTTCCTTCATTTACTTTTGCTTTTTCTTTTGAAATTTTGCCTTTTGAGGCTTGTTTAGTTTCTTTTTTAGTTTTTTCCTTTCCAGCCTTTTCTTTCTTTTCAGCTTTTCCAGGCTTCTTTTTCTTTTCTTCTAATTTTTGGAATTAATAAGGAAAAGCTTTAGCATATCCCCTTCTCCCATAAAAATCTCTTAGATACCCCATACCTTTAGGTCAAAAGTCATTTCGTCTCTCACTTATCACACCTTGTCTGGTCCACTCTCAAGTATCCCTATCCCTGAAACATCTCTTATAATGGTTGATAAGTCAGAGATTCCTTCATCTCCCACATATCACACCCGGTCTATCCCACTCTCACTTATCCCTATCCCTGTGACATTTCTTAAGGGTGTAAGTAAAAAATTATTTACTCACACACCACTCCCAACCTCTCAAGTATCCCTATCCCTGGGACATCTCTTCTAATGGTGTTGTTAAGTCAGTAAGTTTGTGTGGTATCTCAGAGATTTTTAGAATATTACCCTTTATTTTGGGCCCATCCTCATTCTCTTTTCCTTTATCCTCTTCAATTTTAGGCTCTTTCTGTTCTTCTTCAGTTTCTTTTGTGGGGGTCTCCCCACTTTCTTCATGTTTCGGCCCTTCTTCTTCCCCCTCTTTTTCTTCTTTTACATGCTCCTTTGGACCATCTTCCCCTTCTTCCTCTTTTGTTTCTTTACTGTTTTCAGTTGCTTCCCCAGAAGGTTGTTCAGGTCCTTCATGATTTTCTGCAACTTCCTCTTCTTCAGGCTCGGCATCTCCAGGGCCTTCTAGTTAAGAAAAAGAGAACAAACGTTATTTTCAAAACTTGGATGTTTCATGTTTAATTATTTAAAGTTTATTTTTTTGTTTCAAGTTAAGTTTTGTTTCAAGTTTTAATTTAAATAAACTTTGTCATGTTTGTTTCAAGTTTTTTTTATTTCTGCTTCAAGTTTTACATAATTTATTCCTTCAAATTTATTTTTCTTTCTTGATCCAAGTTTATTTCCACATCCAAGTTTTATTTTTCTTTTCTGCTTCAAGTTTATTTATCCCCCGAGTTTTCTCCCCCACAACATGTTTTTCCCTTAAACTTGCTTCAAGTTTTTATTTTTTTGCTTCAACTTTTTTTTTGCTTCAACTTTTCATTCTCCCATAAAATATTAATTAATTCTCCTTACCTTTTTCAACAGCCTTCTCAACAAGCTTCTCTTTAAATTCATCCAACTCTAAATTAATTTTATAAATCTTTTTTTAATATTAGAAGCAACTTTTTAATGCTTCATCTTTGTCTTCTTCATTTTCAGTTGCTTCAATTAATTGTTTAACCGTCTCATAATTATTTTCCAGATCCTCTCTAGTAAATTTTTCACCCTTTTTTAAGTGAAATACTTTGTAAGGGTCTTGTGTATTTTTTAATAAATTAATTACATCAACTTTAAATTTATTTTGGTTAAAAAAATATTGAAATTTTAATAAAAACCGTTGTCTACATCCAATCCAGCAACCAGAAAAAAATTAAAAATAAAAATTAAATTAAAATAAAAATTCAATAATATTTTTGGTAGCATGAAAAAGAGAAAAAAAAATTAATTTTAGAGAGATTTTAAAAAAAATTTTCTTTTATGGAAATTAAAGGTGAAGCAAAATCTGCTTCTGTTTGTTTATGCAGCTGTAAGCAAAATTTAAATAAACTTGAAACGCAAATCAGAATATTTTTTGTATTTTTTCTGTGTTTTAATAACAAGTTTTAAGACCAGAATATTTTTATTGGAGAATTAAATCAGAATATTTTTTGTGTTTTGTATTTTCCAGAAAGAATAAATTCTGATATTGCTCTTTAAAAATACAAAATTTTATTCTGATTTAAGTTTGTGTTTTATTTTGTTTTCCGGAAAGTTTAATTCTGATTTTATTTTATATTAAATAAACTTGTTCTGATTTTATTAAACAAGTTTGTATTTTTGTAAATTCTGAAATTCTGATTTTTAGATAATTCTGATTTTAAATAATTCTGATTTTATAATTCTGATTTTTAAATAATTCTGATTTTATAATTCTGATTTTACATAATTCTGATTTTTATCATTTTTTTTATTCTGAAAATAATTCTGATTTTCAAGTTTTATTAATGTGTTTCAGAAATATCAAAAATACATGAAACAGAATAAATAAACAAATGTGTTTTAAGCCGTATTAAACGCCTAGGCGCGCCTTTATAATGTTCATATAAACAAATGTTTTTTAATCTAAAAATACAAAACAATGCTCACACTTGTACTAGAAGATTAGTATCTTTATTTTTACAAAATAAATAATTTTTGAAGATAAAATTATTTTTATATATTTTTAGTTTATTGTTGCCATAATTCTTTTAATTTTCTTAAGTATATTTATAAAGGGGATTTATGTATTTCTCTTGAGAAATAGGCTAAAAATAATTAGACTAAAAATAGGCAGAAGAATGTTTTTTTAATTTTTTTGGGAAAATACTGGGAGACTTTAAATTATTTTTAAAATAACTTTTATCTTTTTAAATTTATTAAATAATTTTTCAATTTTAAATTTTGCTCCAAAAAAATCAATCTTTGTCCTGAACCTTTTTTAAAAAATTCAAAAAATTTTTAATTTTTCAATCCATTTTTAATTCTCTCCCTTTAAGCAACTTTAATTTTTAGTTTTTAATTTTTGACAGCTAACTAAATATTTTAATACAATTCTTTATTACCTTGACAACTTGCTTCAGATTTTTAATAAAATGGTAAAAATTAATTTAAATTAGTTTAAAATAAAATTAAACTTTTCCGGAAAATACAAAAATTAATTCTGATTGTTGAATAAACTCATGTTTTAATTAAATATTCTGATTTTTGTATTTTTTTGTATTTTAACTGTTAAATTATTTTTAAGTTTCCGGAAAACACACTTACTTATAGAAATCAGAATTAAATTTAAAACAAAATCAGAATTAATTTTAAACAAAATCAGAATTAAATTAAAATATTTATTAACTTGTTTTAATTTTATTCTGATTTTTATTACGTTGTGTTTTAATTAAAGTTTTGTGTTTTTCTGATTTAACAAGAATCCAAAAGGTTTTAATTTTTGTGTTTTTCCGTATTTTTATTGTATTTTCTATTTAAAACTTATTCCGGTTTTCTTTCTTTTTGGCGTTTACTTCTCTTAAACGCCAATGCACATTTTAGCTATTCTTTCGAGAATGGCACTTTTTTTATTTTTTCTCTTTTTTTCTTTTTTTTTCACGTCTCTTCTCATTTCATTTTTTCATTCCCTTGGCAGTTTCCAGCTTTATTGACAACTCAAAGTGCAAGCAGAGAAAAAGCAGTCAATTCAAGCGAACGCTTTTTGTTGGGGTATAATCATTATAACGTCAACGACACAAAAATTAGGTAAACAACTACCGTATTTACTCTTTTATAGCCCCCCTCTCAATTAGAGCCCCCCTCCTTAATAAAGCCCCCTTTTCGAGCATGGTTGAAAAATAGAGCCCCCCGTCTCTATTAGAGCCCCCCTCTTTAACAGAGCCCCCCTTTTTGTCAAATGTCAAATAAAATAATTTAAACAAAAATGTTGTTCCCGTTCCCCAGTCCCTCGTTATAGTCAGAGTCGCGCATGTTTCAATACTGTGTGAATAACACAGTTTATAAAAAATAGTTAAATCGTACGCAATGGGGGAATATAGAGAGCTCTTCCCTATAAGACTCGTGTATTGGCCAGCTGACAACTCTTTTGATGAATGAAAAAGTGATTTCCCTTTGCATATTCATTTAGGACGTACTTGTAGGCACCAGGAACGAGAAAAATTACCGATTTCGTGAAACGAAATCGGGACGGCTCTTTCCCTGATATTCACCAAATACTTTCCAATCGCTGTCCCAAGGATAAGTTAGTTGTGATGTTAAGCTTAGATAATGGGTATTATTCCCCATTGCGTACGATTTAACTATTTTGTTATAAAATTTATTATTTAATCCCTCATTAATTCCCAACCTGTTAACCCAATTAATAATAAATAAATTAAAATAAATGACTCATACATATCACTCCTGATCCTTGAAGCCCCTGATCTTCCAGATTACATTATTTCCTTCAGTCCTCACAAATTCCTAGATATACTTCGTACTCCACATTCCTCAACAATGGAATTCCAAAAATAATGGACTAATTAAATGTTATCCTTTATCCAAAAGTACATAAAACCTTAGCTTTATAACTTTTGGAGAAAAGGAAAACTGTTGCATGCATTATCATGCAATACTTATCTTGTTTTTGTGCTAAAATTACAATTGATCTTAAAAGTTAGAAAGTCTATAAATTGAATGAAAAACCTGTTCCTATTTTAAAAATAGGTTGAAAAATACAGCCCCCCGTCTCTATTAGAGCCCCCCTCCTTAATATAGCCCCCGTTTGGAGGAAGGTTGAAAAATAGAGCCCCATGGGGCTCTAATAGAGTAAATACGGTATGTAATAATTGGGGACAAATATGGCGGGAAATAAAAATAAATGATTTTGAAATACTAAAAATTAAAAACTAATTAAAAATATTAAAAAATAATTTTTAATATTTAAGCTTTAATTTCAATCTTTTGCTTCAACCTCGAATTTTCTACAACACTACAAAGATTTCTAAAGGACCGATTCTGAAACAAAACACAAACAAGTAAAGAATAAGTTTATTTTTAAAAATTAAAATCAGAATTTATTCTAAACAATAAACTTTCCGGAAAACACATTTAAAATAAATAAAAATACAACCGGAAAGTTATAATTATTCCGGAATGTATTTTTTTGAATATTTTTGTATTTTCTTTTGTTTTCCGGAAAGTTTATTTTAAATATGTAAATCAGAATTTAAAGAAAAACACATTTCCGGAAAACTTTACAAACTTTTCCGGAAACAAAGAAATAAACATTTATAAAAACAGAATTAAATTCAAACATGTTTATTAAACTTGTTTTAATTTAATTCTGGTTTTTATTAGACTTGTGTTTTAATTAAAGTTGTATTTTTTCCGGAAATGTATTTTTGCAAATTCTGAAATACAAAACTTATTCTGGTTTTAATATTTTGTATTTTTTTAATTCTGAAAATATTAAATTTTTCTCTCCTTTTCAGCGTTCAAGTTAACTCAACTGATAATAGTAGGTATATTTTAATTTTTTTTCAAAAATATTTTTGACTTTAATTATATTTTAGGGGCTTCTTCGAAAATGGGTAAAAACAATATTTATTTTTTAATTTTTTAAAAATAATTTTAGTGGATTTTTACAGACAATTGAGCCTTTTTACAATGGGTGGGTTTATTTGATAAAATCAGAATTATTTTTTATTTTAATTTTAGAGGCTTCAACAAATTTGTTAACGGGTAAATTTTAATTTTTATTTTCAAACATATTTTTTTTAAACTTAAATTTTAGAGGCTTCTTCGAAAATGGGTAAAAACAATATTTATTTATTTTTAAAAATTTTTTTTAAATAATTTTAAGAGGGTTTTCTCAGACAAGTGAACCTTTTTACAATGGGTGGGTTTATTTAAATTTAGAAATCAGAATTATTTTTTTAACTTTAGAGGCTTCAATAAATTTGCTAATGGGTATATTTAAAAAATAAAAAATTTTTTAAAATCATTTTTAGTAAAAATTAATAAAAAAATTTTTAGAGGATTTGAGGCACTTTCTGAAACTTCCAACAAAATTACTACCAATGAAGAAAATATAGAGGAGAGCAATAATGAAGAAAATATTGATGAGTCTATGTAAGGAAAATAAATTGGAAGAAAAAATGAAACGAAAATTTTAATTTTTAAAAATTAATTTTAACACTTAAATGTACCCAGATATTTAATTAACCTTTTTTTTCAGAATTTTAATCTTAAAGTTTTGTATTTCTTATAATTCTGATTTAATCTTAAAAATAAACTTTTATGAAAAAAGGTTTCAGAAATTTTAATCAGAACAAGTTTTAATAAAATCAGAATTTAAATAAAACACACATTTCCGGAAACACACAAACTTATTCCCAACCAGAATAAGTTTTTATTTTTAAAACAAAACCAGAATTAATTTTGAACATGTTTCTTCTAAATAAAAATCAGAATTAAATTCAAACACGTTTCTTCTAATTAAAAATCAGAATTAAATTCAAACATGTTCTCTTCTAAATTAAAAATCAGAATTAAATTCAAACATGTTTATTTTAATTAAAGTTTTTCAGAACAAATTTTGTATTTTTGTAAAATATATTTTCAGAATTAACAAAAATACATTTCAGAAAAACATTTAAATCAGAACTCCAAAACACATTTAACAAAAATACATTTTTATCCAAAAAATATTCATTTAAAATCCTACAATAAATCCAAAACAAAAATTAATTATTATTTTAATCTTTCCCATGCAAGAATTTGGAAAGAAAATCTTTCGGTTTAGGCTCAATATTCTCAGCAAAGAGCATATTACGCACATGGTATTCATTGTAGAAGAAATATTTTAATGCAACGAGATGCTGGCGAGCTTCTGAAAAATACAAAGTATTTTTTGAATATAAAATAGTAAACTTTCCGGAAAACACATTAAAAATAAATACAACCGGAAAGTTATAATTATTCCGGAATGTATTTTTTTGAATATTTTTGTATTTTCTTTTGTTTTCCGGAAAGTTTATTTTAAATATAAAAATCAGAATTTAAAGAAAAACACACTACCGGAAAACTTTACAAACTTTTCCGGAAACAAAAATAAAACATTCGTAAAATCAGAATTAAATTCGAACATTAATTTTAGACATGTTTTAATTTTATTCTGATTTTTATTAACGACCTTTTGTTTTCCAGAAAGTTTAAATAAATCAGAATTTTAAGAAAACACACATTTCCGGAAAGTAAAGAAATACAAAAATATTCTGGAATATTACTAGAAAACACATCAGAAATAAAACTTGGAAAATATTAAATAAAAAAACACACATTTTCGGAAAACTTTAAAATAAATAAATTACATAATAATTTTACCTTCAACTTTTCTATCAATAATTCTAACATCTTGTATATGAGCATTTTTCATAAATTCTTTTTTCAAAACTTCACGGAATACAGGCAACGGAATATCTTGAAGTTCTAGAAAAAATTTATATTTTAAAATATTTAGAAATATTTTGCGGACTAAATTTGCGGACAAAAAAATTTTGCGGACTAAATTTGCGGACAAAAAATTTTTTGCGGACAAGAATTTGCGGACAAAAAATTTTTTGCGGACAAGAATTTAACCCAAAAAATTTTTCCTATTAAAAACCCTTTAAATTAAAATTTTTAACTAAAAAATCCTTCAAAAACTCACTATAATCCCACCAATGTTGCTTAGCTACACGTTGAAATTGTTTATACATTTTTAAAACATTTAATTTTGCTTCAACCAAATCTTGAGAAATTATTGGCCTAACCATACGAGAAACAGCTGCGCCAGTATTTGAAGTTGACATTTTTTAGAAAACGAAAAAAAATTCTAAAAATTTTCTTAAAATTGAAAAAAAATTTTTTTTTAATTTGCGGACAAATTTTGCGGATTTTATTTTCTTGATTACGTAGAGGATAAACTCCACAAAATACTTGTTTGTTCAACAAAACAGCATTCTACCACGTCTTTAAATTTAAAAAAAATCTTAAAAGTCCGCAAAAAAAAATCGGCGACAATATAAAATCCGCAAAAAAAAATCGGCGACAATATAAAATCCGCAAAAAATAAAAATCCGCAAAATCAAACAAGAATTAATTAAATGATAAATAAATAAAAAAAAATATGTACGAACTTAAATTAAACAAATCGTTCAAAAAATCAAAGAAAAATTTAAAAAAAAATTAAAATTTATTTAATTTTAACCACAAGACGGACAAACTTGTAAAGATTCGTGTAAAAGAATATCACATTCTATACAAAATTGTGCATTACAATTTTTACAAAAATAGGCTTTAATTGAAGCAAATAGTAAAGGTTCATCGCAGGCAAAACATGTTGAACTTAAAAGAAAAAATTTTTTTATTAAAGAAAAATTTTTTTTAATAGAAGAAAAAGTTGAGGGAAGATCTTGGACCGAGCTTTCAAAAATTTTCCTCGGTCGGGTTTCGTATTTCGAGTCGGAAAAATACCGAGTTTTAAGCATTTGAGTTTCGGATACCCCGTCCCATCCCTGATAGGCATTGAATAATGAAAAAAAATTTTTCTAAAAATGTTTCGGAATTAAAAAAGGAGAATCCCCTGACCTTTGAAAAAATTATAAAAGAAAACCCTTCAATCGGTGTAGACTCCACAAATGCTGGCAAAGGTTCCAAATGTTGATGAGCACGTGCTAATTGTGGTGCAGTTAATAATAAAAGGCCTTAAAATTATTTTTTTTGATTATATGAAAATTAAAAAAAATTTTTTGGCAGTTCGAAAAATTTTTTTCTTGCTTCAAAAAAATTAAAAAAAAAACCACCAACCACAAACACGACAAGTTGTAGGAGTTTGACAATAATGAGAACCACATTGCGGGCAAATATAAGCATATTCATTTTGCTTTAAAAAATAAAATAAATTTATTAAAAAAAATAAATTTAAAAAAATACACTTTTGAAAGGTCTAAAGCATCACCAGCCAATTCATGACTAAAAATATTTTTTTTTAATTTGTGAAGATTAATTTTTGAAATTTAAATAAATTAATAATTAAAAAAAATCGATGTGGAAAGGTTACATGAATTAAAAAAAAATTTTTTCCTAAACTCTTTTCAAGTTTTTTAAGACCAAACAGAACTGTGTCAAAATTTAAAAAAAAAACTTGAGGTTAGTTTTGTTCGATTAAAAAAAATTTATTTTTCAAATTTTAAACAGAACTTTCCCTTCCTTTCGACTTAAAAACAAGAAATATTGAAAAAAAAAAGAAAACAAAAGTAATTTTGTCTTCATTTTTTAAAAAACACATTTTAGTCGAAAGAATAAAGTAACCATTTAAAGTCATAAATTTAAGGAAAATAAAATTTATTTTAATTTTACCAAGCACAAAAAGAAGGAATTTTCTTCGCCTTTTTAATTGGAAACCCCATTTTTACAATACTATCTTGATGTCCTTGTTTTGGTTTGAGAGGTGGAGGTTGTAAATGTTCAGTAAGTAAAAGGTCAAAATGTTCCTTGTCTAAAGCTACTCCATACTTCCCTTAAAAACAAAAAAATCTCTTAAAAAATGTTAAAATTTTTTTTCTAAAAACTCTAAAATTTTTTAATAAATTTTTTGAAAAATTTCAAAAATTTTTCAAAAATTTTTTTGACAAAAAAAAAATTTTTTTTCGATGAAGAAAAAATTACCTTGTGTAGTAATACAAAGTTTTTTAAAAGCATAAACTTCAGCCAAAAAAGAAATTATTGAACAACGAACAGATTGCATTTTTAATTGCTTAAAAATTAAAAACTTTTTAATTAATTTTTTTCTTAAAAGGAATTCCGTGGACTTAAGTCAGACTAGTTTTAAAGGGATTTTAAGATGTTAAAGGATTCTTAGGTCGAGGACTACAAGCTTGTCGGAGCAACAGGAGGTGATAGAAAACATAAATAGCCCTAATTTTGTAAAAAAAAATTTTTTGGAAGAAAAAAAAATACTTTAAAAAATAATGCAAAAACTTATTCTAAAAAAGTCATGAAATAATAGTTTTACTTCCCTCCCCAAAAATAAACCTTAGTTTTTAATTTTGCAATTTTTTTTCGAATATATAAATTTATAGTCGGAACAGCAGGAACTCTAAAAATTATAATTAGCCCAACTGTTGAGAAAAATTAAAAAAATGAAGCTATCTATATAAAAAAAAGACTATCTCTACCTTGATCCATCTCCACCCCTCAAAAATGGATAAATTTAAAAAAAACCTCATAAATTTGTTTTAAACTAGAAGCATCAATAGTACTCAAACTTGCAACAATAAAAATACATTCTTTGCTTGTGTGGGCAGGGACATTTCTTTTTTCAAAAAAAAATAAATTTTTAAAAAATTTAAAAAAAAACCTAAAATGATTTAAAGCAGTTTCCAGCATTGAATGTAAAGAAAATTCTGTTCCACCACAAGATGCTTCATTGAGAGAATTAAATGCTTCAGTCAATTTTTGAAGACTACCTTAAAACAGAATGTGGTTAGAAATGGGAAAATCCCAAAAATGTTGGGAAAAATTTACGAGGGAAAAAACGTTGGGAATGGAATTTATTGAACTTGACAAGACTTGTGGATCTAGTTTCGAGGATTTGATAACCAGGAAAAAGGGCACCCAAATAAATTTACCAAAAATTAGTAAAGTTTAAAGAATGAGTCCGCAAGCGTCGACTAAACGCCTTCAAGCCAAAAAAAGTATAAAGGAAATCACGAGAGGTTATAAGAATTTGAAAAAAATTCCCAAAATAGTTAGTAAAAAGAGATCCTAGACCAAATATAAGTATTCAGGAAAAAAAATGAAAAAACTCATGACTTAAAGTAGAGGTAGGCGCAGGACAGGATCCTGGAAATGCGATTTTACCGATCTCTAATTTCAAGAAACCCCAAAAGTAGGGTAAAAATGGCATGAATTTCTCGTCCATCCCAAAAAATAAACTTAATTTTTGATTTTGCCATTTTTTCGAGAATAAATACCAACAAAGACCAAGTGATTTTATTCAGTCAAAGAGTCAAAAATCAATTCCCTCACTGATAAATTAAAAAAAATATTTAAAATACTTGAAAATCCACAAGAGCAATCGCCTTTCTTGTCACGTCCAATTATTAGACCCATCTTAAAAAATTGAAAAAAAATCTTTAAAAGTTTACCAAAAAAACTTACAGCAGACAGAGGATTGAGCTCAAAAAATTTATTTACAAAATTTAATAGACATTCCCTCACAACTCGTAATCTACTAGGTTCAACATCTTTTGAAAGGATCGATGTTGAAAGATCAATACCAACAAAGACATGTCTCATCTTGAAATTAAAAAATTTTCTTGGTAAAATTTTGAAGAGTAAAATGGACACTAGGCAGTAGTGATGCTCGGGAGAAGAAAATACCCGGGAATCGGGAAACGGGAGTCGGGTCGGGATATGACCTCGGGAGTCGGGAATTACCAATAAAAAAAATTTTGGCGCCTTCGGCGCCAAAAATTCTGATTTTTTTACACCGCAAGCGAAAATATTGAGATTTTGTAGGGAAATAAGTCAGATTTCTTCCATTTTTAGCGCTGCAGGCAAAATTTTTTGAATTTTGGAGGTGAAAAATAATCCTAAATTTAAATTGTTCTCACGAGAAAGAAAAACGAAAAATAATGAGATTAATCATCTTCATCGTCCCAGACTCTCGGATAAGGTTATCGGATAGTCGGATAGTCTTTTCGGATATCCAAATCCGATATCCGAACCGAAAATTTAGGATACTCGTGTCCGAAACAGAAGTTTATATTTTAAAAATTTATGACTGTGGCACTAAAAATTTGAGTCCATTTGAGTGAAATAGAGGAAAAGAGAGTGAAATAGAGAAAAATATTTTCTGCGTTCAATTTTGGTGGAATTTTGGTGATTTAGCCCCATATCTCTTCATATCCCCTCTATCAATATTAACACCCCCCCATGAAACATTAATCACACAAATCCATTGATATCTCTCATTGATATCTCTATTTATTACTACAAATCCCTCGTTATCTCTTCAAATTCTCTATAATCCTAGTAAATCACCGAAATCTATACTTTTCCATTTCTAGCGCTGCAAGCGAAAAGTTTAAAATTTTGGAAGACCAAAAAGCCAGATTTCTTTCATTTTCAGCGCCGCAGGCGAAAATTTTGGGAATTTTGAAGACTAATTGTAAGAGGCCAGATTTCTTCATTTTTTGCGCGGCAGCGAAAAATAAAAATATAATTTTATCAGAAAAAGCCATTCTTAGGGGTGTAAAAATTTCCCGACTTAGTCGGGAATTGACACCGGGAGTCGGGATCGGGAGGCCAAAAACTCGGGAAATTTTCCCGAGTCGGGAGTCGGGATACCCGAGCATCACTACTAGGCAGGGAGAAAGACTATAAAACCCAAAAATTAAAATCAGAACGAAAAATCAAAAAAAAATTTTTGTAAAATCAAAGAGATGAAGGGAAATGGTTAGAAAAGGAAGAGGAACCTAAAAAAATAGAAATCAGAATAAGAAAAATTTCTAATAAAATCAGAAGGTAAGGAGAACATAGAAACCCCGAGAATTAAAATCAGAACAAAAAATCGAAATGAAAAATCAGAAAAATTCTGGTAAACAAAAAAACTGGCTAGTAAATCTGAAATGGAAAACGAAACAGAATAAAATTAGAAAAATTCTGATGAAATCAGAAAGGAAGGGGGAACCCCATAGAAATAAAAAAAACAAACCCTGAATAAAAATCAGAACAAATTCTGGTCAGCAACCCCCCCCCCCAAAAAAAATTAAAAAAAACCATTCCAAGACGTATTCTAGTCGGTCTTCCTTCATTTCTTCTAAGTCTCTTTTCTTCAGAAATGATTCGTCGAATTGCATTTTCCATGGAACCATTTTCATCTTCTTGAAGTGCAGATTGTATACAAATATCTTTAAAATTTATTTTTAAAAAATTTTTAATTAAGAAAATAAAAAAACCGTCAGTATAAGCCTCTTCCCATTTAAATGGATCTGTAGTCATTTTTCTTTCAAAATTAACTAAAAAAAAGAAAATATAGGTTCATAAATTGATTAAAAGTTACTTTTACAAGTCTGAATAAGGACTAGAGATTGAAACGGGTCCGGGAATCCGAACCCGTTTGCCGGTTTCGGGTCCCTTTTCCCGGTTTTTTGAAGCAACCGGGATAACCCGGGAACGGGAATTCCCGGTCCGGGTCCCTCACGGTCAACCTTCAGAACCCGGTTCCCGGACCCGGTTTTTTTCAAAATTCCCATCTCTAATAAGGACTCACAAACTATCCCTGAGACTAAATTTTACAACTAACTAAAAATTATTTAAAAGAAAAAGTTTTTGGCACTTAATAATTTTTGGCGTTTTGTTTAATATACCATTAGAGTCTGAAAATTTGAATGATTGTTTGTGGGGTTTCCCAAAATTGGGGGTTTTTTCTGGAATTTTTGTTCTGAATTTTAGCATGTATTTTTATTTTTTTGTTTTTCTAGATTTATTAAAAATAATTAAAATTTTAAAAGAATAAAATGGCATCAGATTCAGAATTATGGAAAAAAGCATCAGAGGCCTTTAAATTTATTGATATTCAAAAATATTTAAATGTGGAAGAACGTCAACTTAAAATTTATGAGACGGCTGAAGGGACGCTGTTTAATCAAGAAGTTATTGAAAAGTTTGTTTTTTTCTTTTTGGGGTATTTTGGGGAAATTCATGGAAATTTCAGTCAAATTTTCTAAAAATATTGCTGAATCTTTACCCGTTTTGTGCTATTAGTTTAACATTTTTTTTATTTTTTATCTTTAAAATACTTTCCAAGTACCTCTCTCTTATGGCTGAAGGAGTGACAATTTTGAGAAATTTTTTGCGGACTTTATTTGCGGATTTTTTAAATCAGTACGGCTCTGGTTTTTCTGCTCCATTTTTTGTGAAAGGAAAAAAGTCTGAAAATGACTCATTTTTAGGGGTTTTTACTGGATAGAGGAGTTATTCAATAAGAAGATTTTTGTGAGGGATGGTCATAGAAGTTTTGGCAACTTTTTTCTGTCATAAAATTATTTTTGAAGGTACTTGTGAGTCATCTCATACCATTTCTTGTGGACACTTTTTGCGGACTCATTAATATGTACAAAATGGACTGACTTATTTTAATATTTACCTATTCTATTCCCATGGGGCCGTAACAATGAGAATAGTCCGTCCGCAAAAAATGTCCGCAATAACTCACAAGTACCTTTTTAGAATTTCGTTTCTTCCCTCTTTCAAAAAAAATTTTTTTCTTCAAAGAAATGCAGATATAATAGAAATTCCAAAAAATATCAAAAGAGATTATTCTTTTGCATCATACAAAGACCAACTGGCCGATTTACAATTACGAAAAGAAATTGCTGATAAAAATAGAAAAGCTGGAATATTAACTGAAAAGCAGAAGAAAGCTGTTGAATTGGAACTTAAAAATGAGGAGGTTTTTTTGAAATTTTTGGAGAATTTTTAAAAAATTTAATTTTTAGGAGATTCGTAAGTCGCTTAAACAATTGCATGATTTATTCGAAGGAAAAGTCAAATTACTTTTTATGGCTTGTAAAAAGGAACCTCAGGTTTGTTTGTTTATTTTTGGGGTTTTTGGTTGGGAAATTAATTTTAAAAAATTTTTTTGGATTTTTTTCAAAATAATTTTTTAGACATGGGCACTAGACCTGGCTTAAATTTATTTAAAAAAATTTTTAGGAATTTTTTGAAATTTTTTTTCTGAAAAAATTTTTTAAAGGGATTGACCAAAATTCATTAGAAAAAATTTTTCGCAATTTTTCGAAGTTTTCTTTTGAAAATTTTTTTTAATGATTGCCACTAGACTTGACCTCGATCTATAAAATTTTTTTCTTTTTCAGTTTGCTTTCACCTATATAAATATATTTTATGATTATATTGTTCCTTTAATCAAGTCTCCTTTGGTTGCTAAAATTGCTGTTAGAGGCTATCTTTCTTATAGAGATGCTATTTTTGAAGTGACTTCTGATGATCTTTGTAAGGTTTTTTTGTTATTAGAATAAAATTGGAAAATTAATTGTTTTATCAAAAAATTTTTTTTGGAAATATTTTTAGAAAATGAATGACAGGGACGAGAATTTAAAAGATAACATACAAATTTAAGAGTTTTAAAAAAACTCGTCCAACAAACCTGCATTTTTTGTATAGGGCAGAATTAGTGTTTGGATCTTTTATTGAAATTGGTATTCTTAACCACGTTCAATAAAAATAGCCAGGTCCAAATACAAAGGAAAAATAAGGCACTAACAATAAATACGAATAGGAACAAATTTTTACATTTCCAAACAAATAGACGCTTTCCTTTAACATCCATAAAATTTTTTTAAATTTTAAATTAATTAGACAAATAATTTAAAAATTAATTTTTAAGACAAATTAATTTCCCATGCAACATTACGAGTTTTGGATTCAAAATTTTTAATGGATCATTGGTGTGAAATTTCAATGGAAGAACAAATACGTCAATCATTTCATTTACTTTCGTCCTCATGTTTTTTATATTTAAATTTATTGGAAGAAGAGGAGGAGGGGGAGGGAAATGAAAATTTGGAGGAGGAAGATGAAATTGAAATTAAAATAACTTCAGCAAAATTAGCCTTCTTATTACCCTTCTTTGAACAATTTTTAAAGAAAACACCAGAAAAGTTTGATGTTGATTTGAGAATTAAAGTTGCAAAGTTTTTACAAAATGCGGTCAATAATAAATTTATTAAGGTAAATTAAATAATTAAATTCTGATTTAAAATACAAATTTTTTGTATTTTGGTGTTTTTCTGGTTTGATTGAAGAAAATACAAAACTTCCGGAAAAAGAAAAACACAAAAATTCTGATTTTATTAAATACAAACAAACTTTCCGGAAAACATTTTATTTTCTTTTATTTTTTTTCCGGAGAATACATTTTGTATTTCTACTAACACTAAATAAAAATACATCATTAAAAAATACAACGTTTCCGGAAATATTAAACACAAAAATTTTTCCGGATTCTTAAAAGAAAATACAGCAATAATTCTGATTTTATTAGTTGTGTTTTCCGGAAGCAAATAAAATTAGAATTTTTGTGTATTTTCTTCTATTTCTTTCCGAAAAATACATTTTTTATTTCTGCTATATAAAAATACAATACTTAAAACACAATTTTTCCGGAAGATATTAAACACAAAATTTTTCGGATTTTAAAAATAAAATACAACAATAATTCTGATTTTATTAAATGTATTTTTCGGAAAGAAATAAAATAAGAATAAATTGTGTTCCGGAAAGTTTAGTTAGTGTATTGAATAAAATCAGAATTTCTTGTGTTTTTTTTTATTTTTTTGGAAAATACATTTTTTTCTTTTAGACAAATAAAAATACACATTTTAAATTCTGATTTTAAAATTCTGATTTATATACACAACAAAAATATTCCGGAAAACACTTAATTTATTTTTTTCCGGAAAATGCATTTTATATTGATAGATATCGAATAGCTTTCCGGAAAATGGGACACGACTTTTTAAAAAAATACACAAAAATTCCTGATTCTATTAATTGTGTTTTCCGTAAACACATTCTGATATTCCGATAAACGGGCGGCGTTGGACTCCGCCACAACTGGGGCGCGCCTCTTTAAAACTCCAAATAAAAGAGCTCTTTTTAATAAAATTTATTTAAATAAAAATGTGTGAAACAAAATTGGGGGGAGGGGGATGGAGAGCCGGCCAAAGGTTCTCGAAACTAAAAACTAAGACTGAACTTATTTGGCCAGTTTTCCATCCCCTTAAATAAGGCTAAAAAAAGGTGTGACACACATAGTAAGACAAAAATAAATTTTTATTCCCGGAAAGTGTTTTTTCTTTAATTTCTTTCCGGAAAATACATTTTTATTTTGCTAAATACAATAAAAATACATTTATTAACAGAAAAATTTCTCTAAATTAATTAAAAGAATTTTTTTTTTTAAATTAATTTTTTTTTAATTAATTTTTTTCTATTTTAATTTTTAAAATTTTAGCCAGAAGAATTAACTTCACCTCCACTATTAAAATTAGCTTCGCTTCTAGTTGACTGTATTTGTTTGGATTCATCAATTGAGTATATTAATGATTTAAAAACAACTTTAAATCAATTTTTGGACATGTTTAATTCAAATAAAGAGTTGACAAATACAAAAGATGTTGAATTGATTAATTTTTTTAAAAATATTAATTCACATATTTTTGATGATAATGTGTTGAAAAGAATTGCGATTTTAAAGGTTTTTTTTTAAATTTTTTATTTATTTAGAAAAAATAGAGAATTAAAAATAAATTAGGATTTTTTTGAACTAATGGAGAAACACAAAAGTTTTTCTGAAAACTAGAGCGCGGAACGTACCGTACTACGGCCGTATTTTATCGGTATTTATCGGTATTCCGTATCGGTAATACGGTACGGAACGAAATTCCGCGCTCTACTGAAAATTACTGATTTTAATTTTTCCGGAAACCGCAAATATTCTGATTTTTAATAAGAAATACGTTTATAATAATAGTAAAAGCTTCCGGAAAAAATTATTTACTTACTTCGATTATTCGAAAATACACAATTATTCTGATTTTTCTCCTAAAAATATTTTTGTGCTAATTTTTAATCCAAAAATGGATTTTATAATAAAATAAAAAATACCAGAATTATTTTGATTAATAAAGTTCTTATGAGTAAAATGATAGTTAAATTATTAAATTTTTTTTGTATTTAATTTTTAACTTTTTTTTTTAAATTTAATTTAATTTTCATTTTTTTCAAGGCAATAAATTCAATATCACCATTATTAAAGCTAACATTTGAAAACAACAAAGAATTATTTCAATCATTTATTCGTGATATTTATTTATCTAAACATGATTCAAATTTGGAATGTTCACAAAATGCTTGTAATTGTTGGGAAAATTTGGAATTTAATTTGTCTCCAACATTTTACAAGACATTACTTTTATATTTACATGATGATAAAAAATTGAAAACGGAAGATGCTGGAAAATCAATGCAAAGTTTGGCTAATTTATTCCCTTTAGAAGTTGATGGAATGCTTAAACAAATGGGAATACTTTATAAACAATTTGAGAAGGTTTTTTTTGAATTTTTTTTTTGGGGGAAAATTAAAAAAATTGGTATTGAAAAGGTGAGGGTTATTTAGTTTGGAGGACAATTTTGTTGACAAATTGTTCGTCCAAGGGCTTTGAACTACAAAGACCCGTTAACTTAAAGAAAAAAATGCTGTTTGAAATTCAAATTTATTTTTTTTCGGAAAATAAAAAAAAATTAAAAAAATTTTTTTATTGAAAACGTGAAACCCCATTTTAGCCCCCTCCTCCCAAAATCGACACCTTGATTACGCCATTGAGTTTGTATGCGGGAATACTTAAAGTTTTGGTGAGTCCCTTATGTCCAAAGGCTCTGAACTCCATAGACCCGTGGAGTTGAATTATACTGTTAATATTTGGTCATATTATTTCCCTGATGGTTTAAAAAGATACTTTGGGAGTAGATATTTTATAAAAATATAGAATTTTCAAGAATTTATTTTTTTCTTTCAGTTTCAACCAGCTCAATTTGACTCTGTAGGACGCAAAATAAAAGAAGAGTCTGATCCTTATGAAAAAAGAGAAGGAATTGCAACTGGTATTTTTTAAATTTTATTTTTAATAACTAATCTGAATTTTTTTAGGTATTTTTTTAATAACCGATTCACTTGTCTCTCCTCAACAAATTATGTCTCTTTTACACTTGGTAGTCCCAGATGGTTTAAATGATAGAGCTGAAACTTGTAGAAATTTAATGAGAAATGCTGCAGCAAAAGCTATTCAAAATGTTTATTTTTTTGAATTTTTTAATTTTTTTTGAAATTTTTTTTCCAGCATGGCTCTGAAATGGTCGATACACTCTTTCCATTTATTGAAGAACAACTCAATAAATTAACAAAGGAGGCAAAAAATGATAATTTAAGACAAGGACTGGTTGTACTAATAGGAACGTTAGCTCAATATTTAAAAGAAGACAATGCAAAAGTACGAAAAATTGTTGCGAGATTAATTGAAGCGCTTTCTACTCCGTCTCAACAGGTTTTTTTTGAGGAAAAATTTATGTATACTCACACATTGAACTGATGTGAGTAATAGGGGAAGGTGTTCAATAAATTAAAATTACCGCTTAAAATTACCGCACGCAAATTTTTTTGAGCCTATATTTTATTCTTTCAGCGCCGCAGGCGAAGATTTTTGAGGAGGTCGTAGGCGCAAAAACTTTCCTTTTCCCTCATTTCTTATGGAGAATGGGGGAAAAAGACTTCCTCCTCATTTGTCAGCCCTAAAAAAGGCTTTAGCTCTCTCAGCCCCACTGGATAATCTTAGCCCCAATTCATGGGATGCCTCTCAAGGGGATTTCAAAATGATGGTAAGGTTCGGCTTCTAATAATTTTGAATTTTTAAACTAATAAACTAGTCTTCAAACACATTTATGTATAGGTCCAAGAATCAGTTGCTGGTTGTCTCCCAGCACTTATTCCATCCCTAAAAAATGATGCAAGTTCACTCATTGAGAATATGTTTATGTTACTTACAAGTGCTGAAAGTTATGGAGAACGAAGAGGTGCTGCTTATGGAATTGGAAGTATAATAAAAGGACTTGGAGTTGCTTCAATTAAACAAATGAATATAAATTCGAGATTAAAAGATATGCTGGCACAGAAACAAAAACCTTTGTTTAGGGAAGGTGCTCTTCTTTGTATTGAAATTCTCTGCAGGTTTGAAAAAATTTTTATGATTTTAAAATTGGTTTATCGGTTGAGGGGGTATCTGACATTTTAAGTGACCGTCTAGAAATTTTTTGTCATTTTTTGTTTTCCGTTTTTTGGATGGACTCTTAAACTCACAAAAATATTGTGAGCTTTTATAATATGAGTCTATCAAAACATCCAGCTAAAGCTTAATTTAAATTTTTTCTAAATTTTTAGCACAGTTGGAAAATTATTCGAGCCTTATCTAGTTCATTTACTTCCTGATCTTCTCACGGCGTTTGGAGACACTTCTGAAGCCGTTAGAAGAACTGCTGATGACACTGCTAAAGCTATGATGTACAGATTTTTTTTAATAAATTTTTTAAAAATAAAAAATATTTTTTGAAGGCGTTCACTTTCTGCTCACGGAGTTAAATTATTATTACCTTCGTTATTAAAAGGCCTTGATGATGATTCTTGGAGGACTAAATGTGCATCTGCTGAACTCTTAGGTTTATTTTAAGGATTTTTCAAAATTAAAAATTTCTTTTTAGGAGCAATGTCAAATTGTGCTCCTCGTCAACTTTCCACTTCCCTTCCTGCAATTGTTCCAAAATTGTGTGAGGCATTGACGGATACACATGGAAAAGTGCAAAAAACAAGTGAAAGGGCACTTAAACAAATTGCTCAAGTTATACAGGTTTATAAGAAATTTTATTTTGAAAAGGCTTCTTTAGGGATCTTGTGGTTAGCCTCTTCAAAAAATACCAAAATTCAAAGGCCTGTTACTATCCAAAATGGTTCCGTAGGAAAAAAGTTAAAAAGTGACAATAGGAAAGTGACCATGTTCTGTCGAATAATACCAGAAAAAATACAAAATACTTACAAAATACCCCAAAGGGTTCGGGAATAAAAAATACAAAATACTTACAAAATACCCCAAAGGGTTCGGGAATAAAAAATACAAAATACTTACAAAATACCCCAAAGGGTTCGGGAATACTCACACTAAGAGTGGGTCTCTTGTAAGTTTTCGTAATAAAATTTCTATTTTTTAAAGAACCCAGAATGTTTGGCTATCAGTCCTCATTTAATTCAAGCTTTGGCTGATCCACCAGGAAAAACTTCTTCATGTTTACAAACTATAGTAAATAATAAATTTGTTCATTATATTGACTCGCCTTCTCTTGCATTAATGATGCCAATAATTTATAGGTTCGATTTTCATTCTAAAATTCTGAAAAATTCAGAAAAAATTTTTCAGGGCGTTAGCCGACAGAAATACGGAAGCTAAAAGAATGGCAGCTCAAGTCCTTTCAAATATATATTCATTAGTTGATAATAAAGATATGGAACCTTATCTTGATTCTCTTATTCCTGGTTTGAAAAAGGCTTTGTGTGATCCTGTTCCTGAAGTTAGAACGGTTTGTTTTTTTGTAAATTTTTTATTTTGGTAAAAATGATGAAAACAAGAAATTCAGCCCTTTTTCTAGTTAGATTTTTTGGGGTTTTCCATTTCGTACCTTTTTTCAGTTTACCCGAAGCCAGCCCACTTTTTTACTAATCCTTAACTTCTCTGGTTCCCACTATATGAAATGCCTCTACTTGGTATTTGATCCCTTCCGAAATCTACTCCCTTTAATAGCAAAAATTCTACCTTAAAGACGTACTTGCATTTTTATTTTTTTTTTATTTAATTTTTTTTCAGGTTGCTTCAAAAGCAATGGGAGCGATTGTCCAATATTCTGCTCCAGCAACTTCTGAAAAAATTCAAGTAAAATTTTCTTTTAAACTTTCTTCATTTTCCCAATTTTAAGGCAGATATAATGCCTTGGCTCAAAGAAAACTTAGTTTCTGAATCCTCTTCAGTTGACAGACAAGGAGCGGCACAAGGCCTTTCAGAATTAATTGCAGCAATTGGAGGAGACTTTTTGGAGCAAAACTTGCCTGGAGTAATAAAAATAACAGAATCTGCAACAACAGAGCCTTATATTAGAGATGGATATATTCTTTTATATATTTATTTACCTATTGCTTTGGGGGAGAAATTTGCTCCTTTTATTGGAAAAATTATTCCTTCGATTTTACAGGTTTTTCTTTTTTTATTAAAAAAATTTTTTTTAATTAAATGGGCTCTAGAATGTGATAGGTTTAAGAGTTTTTGATTTTGACTCCTAGGAAATGACCGAATTTTAGTTATGATTTTTGACTAGGGTTGCTAAAATGAACCGACTCGGACCGAAAGATCGAATCGGGCCTAGATGTTTGGCCCGAAAAAGTCTCGTACTGGCCCGACTCGATAAAGTTGGGCCCGAAAAAATTGTCTCGGAAAAAGTCGGCCCGACTCGAAAACGGCAACCCTATTTTTGACCGTTGTGATACTTTTTATTTTTTGACCATTCTGGCCATTTTTGTTGGACCCTTTTGCTTTTGACTATTTTGTTACTCGACCTTTCTGATTTTAAAACTTCTTTCGATTAAATTTTAATTTTAAAGGCTCTAGCTGATGAAACCGAATATTTGCGTGAATCAGCTTTAAGAGCAGGCAATAGATTAATTACTGTTTATTCCAATCACGCAAGAAAACTTTTACTTCCACAACTTCAAGCTGCTTTAATTTACCAAAATTGGAGAATAAGACAAGCTTCTGTTAAACTAATTGGAGATTTTCTTTTTAATATATCAGGTTTTTTAACTTAATGAATAAAGAGTAATTGGGACTAGAGACTCCCCAGAGAGAGAGAGCAGGACTCCTTAGACTCCCAACTAGAAACTCCCTAGCCTAGAGACTCCCCAACTTTTCGTCAAACTGACACAATTCGACATTTTCCCTGATACGAATTTTGATTTTCCTTGAACTCGGTGTCAAAAACAAGGTATTTTTTGGGGTTCCGCAATGTTTCCTTGGTTAAAAAGAGGATCTGGCCAAGAAATTAAGTCAAGGATTAAGGTCAACCATTTTTATTTTTAAGGTGTAAGCGGTAAAATGACTTCTGAAACTGCTGGAGAAGATGATACAATGGGATCTGAAGCTGTGAATAAAGCAATCGTTCGCTGTATAGGCCAACGGTCTAGAGATGAACTTTTGGCTGGTATTTATCTTGTTAGATATGATGTTTCTTTGGCTGTTAGACAAGTGGCTTCACACGTTTGGAAGGTTTTTTTAAATTTTTTTGAGAACTTTTTTTGTTTTATCCATTTGTGAATAAAAATCCCATATATTTAGGATTTGGATCTTCCAATGGAATACGCCTTTTCCGATCTTCCAATGATTTGGATCCTCCAATCTTCTCATATTCCACAGGATTTCAGGCCAAATCCCGAGTTCCTTCTAGTTTTTCCCCCGCTTTTCGTTCCTTTCCCCCACATACTCGAAGAGGCCGTGGTATAATCGTACGAATAATTTCCTCTCATCCTTCCTAGTCCTTCCTAGTTTTCCTCCTTTCCTACCTCCCAAAAAATGACTAGGAAAGAGTCTCATTTTTTCGGTTCGAGCATCGAGTCTTTTTCGGACCAGAATTCAAGGCCCGTCTCATCTTTCGGACCGGGCCGGATCGGGCCCCCAACCCTATTCAATAACCTAACATTATTTTCTCCCTTATTTTTAATTTGAAAAAACTTTTATTTTTTTAAAAAGGTTATTGTTTCAAATACTCCACGAACATTAAAAGATATTATGCGTCCATTATTTGAATTATTACTTCATTGTCTTTCAAGTTCAATAGAAGATCAACAACAAATGTCTGTTCGTTGTTTATCTGAAATTGTAAAGAAAATGGGTGAAAGAGTTTTGGCTGTTATTTTACCTATACTTGAAGATAGATTAAAAAATGGTGGAGCAGATGATCGTCGTGGTGTAGCTTTGGCTTTGGGTGAAATAATTAATAATACACATAGGTAATTTTAAAAAATTTTGGGGGAGAGAGAGGGTTAGGATAAGGGATGGGGGAGCTGTATAGCTGGCAAGGGCGCAGTCGATTTTTGGGGGGGGGCTTACATTGGGGGTGCGCCAAAATTTTTTATATTCAGCCCCCAGCCCCCACTCCTCGGGTTATATAGGAGTTGAAGGAGAGTAGGAGTACACATATTTAATTTTTTAAATTAAATTTTTAGAGAAATTATTGAAACATATTCTACCAATTTTATTACTTCAATACGTACATGTTTATCAGATACGGATAAGTCTGTTCGTGAGGCTGCTGCCAAAACTTTTGTTACATTTTATGGAATGGTAATAAATAAAAATTAATTTTTTTGGGTTAAATGCCTAGGAATATAACTGACAGCAGAACAAGGTCACAGGATTTCGATTCGATGCTGTCTGGGTCTAAACAAGGGATGAGAGTTGGGACGTGAACGGGTTGAGGAATAAGTCTGGGTTTCGAGTCGGGTCTTCGATATTTTCTTAGGATTGGGTTGTAGAGGAAAAAGTCTGAGGTTTCCGTTATCGGATTTTGGGTAACCCGTCCCCTGGTCTGAACCTCTCCTTTATTTATTTCTCTTAATATAATATGTATTTTTTTAATTTTAAATTTATAGCAAACAAGCAATTATTGTGTTGAAAAGATTGTTGGTCCATTATTTGATGAATTTAATTTAAATAATCAACCACATATTTTGGATGGTTTATGTTCAATAATGGAAGGAGGAGGACAATGTGGACGTCAATTATTCTCTTCAATATTACCAAAATTGTCAAAACCTCCAGTTAATTCTTTAGCCATTTGTAGACTTGCAATTTGTACTGATGCTTTAAAACGAAATATGAGGGAAGTTATGGCTGCTTTGTTGTGTGATAAATTAAATGTTGATATGGAGGAGGTTTGTGTTGAGGAGGGGGAATTTTTAATTATTGGAATGTTAGGATCCTAAGAAATCCTAATCGCATGTATCTTGAAATGGAATATTTAAGAGCTTGGGATACTTTAGCTAGTTGGAAATTTGGACTTTTAAGAGTTATCTTTAATTGGGGTATTCGGGAGATTAATATATCTTGAGAGTAATTGAGAGCACGGGATATCTTGGAACGGACCAAGGGATAAGAGGGAGGTCTTACACTTTAGTTATCCTTAATTGGTATAATTGAGAGGTATGTGGAAGGACTATAAGCACAAAGATACAAAGTGATAAGATAGAGAATAGGACCCCAAAAAATAAAAAAAAGTTAAAATTTGTAGCATGTCCAAAATTGTATCCCTGTTCTTTTTTCTGTTGCTGCTGAAGAGGATATTCGCGCAATGCTTTCTTGCCTTTTAAAAAGTATTTCAAATCAAAAGAATGCCTTAACTGCTGTTACTTTATTGAAAGAATTTATTGAGAATAATGAGGTTTGGAATTTTTTAAGTTTGTTTTTGGACCGGTTTGGCACTTGACCATTTTGAGATTTGATCATTCTGTCTTTTAACTGTTCAGAAATTTTACCGATGTGGGTCTTTTGGGCTTTTTTAAGGTTTGGCCGTTATGGTATCTTACCTTTTTGTACTTTGACCATTTTGGCCATTTTTGCCATTCTTGAGATTTGACCATTTTGAGACCACATGATTTTTTAAAATAAATTATTTTAATTTTTCTAGGATGAATTTTCTCTGGAACAATTAGATTTATTAGTTTCTGGTTTCATTTCATTATATAACCAACAGGATTCTGATGTTATCTCACTAGTTTTAGATACATTCAATTCCTTAAATAAACAATTGGAAACTTCAGAATTAATTGAATTAGTTTTGGTATTAAAGAGGGCTTTGAAAAGTTTACATTTGGATGTTAAAAATGCCAAAAATGAATATGCTAATATTTTGTGTATTCCAAAAGGTTGGAAACCTTTAATTGTTATTTTACGTGAAGGAATACTTGCTGGATCTGTGGAAATTAAAGAAGTATAAATTTTTTAAAATTTATTTTTTTAATTTTTTCTTTAAATTTTTCCTTTGTAAAAGGGAGGTGATAATGAATTCTTTAAAGTAAATACTATTTTATGTTAGCTAAAAGGGGGTATGGTGACTTTTAGGTAGGATTGGTGTGTTCGAGTTGGGCCTACGTTTGAGTCATTTTTTCGGGCCGGCGCGCCGTTTCCTTTTCGGGCCAAAATTCAATGCCCGACTCGATTGTTCGGATCGGGCCCCAACCCTAATTTTAGGTTTTGGGTTTGATCATTTTGGGGGGTTTGACCATTTTGAGTCCTTTCTATTTTAATTTTTAAATATTTTTTAAAAATAATTTAAAAAATATTTTTAGGTAGCTGCCAATTGTATAACTCAAGCAATTCAATTAAGCGATGAAAATGGTCTTAAACCACACGTTGTGAATGTTGCCGGTCCTTTGATACGTGTACTTGGTGAGAAACAACCCGTGCCTGTTAAGATTGCTGCAATTAATGGATTGAATAAACTTTTGGAGAAGGTAGAGAGAAATTAATTGATAAAATTGATTTTAATCTCTAGGTTATCATCCCTCTAAAGATATCATCACATAATTAGGGGTGGGTGATAAGTTGGAGTGGTATGGGATAGGATGCGATGGGAGGGGTTTTAATTAAGATCCGGAATTTTGAGAATTTTTTAGTCGAGGTTTGGGATAATGCAGGGATTTCAATTAAGGTCCGGGATATGTCAGCTATTTTCAATTAAAGTTTGGGTTAAGATGGAAGGAGTTGAGAAAAGGGTGAGAAACTAGACACAGATTTTAATTAAATTCTTTTTTAAATAAATTATAAATTTTTAGATGCCCCTTCTTCTAAAAACATTTCTTCCACAAATGCAAAGTGTATTTATTAAAATAATTCAAGACTCAACATCTCCTAATCTTCGACAACTTGCTGCTCAAGTAGAAATTTAATTTTATTTTTTCAAAAAAAATTTTTTTTAAAGGGAATTCGACATCTTTTAACATTTCATACAAAACCAGAAAATTTGTTAAAAGAATTAAATAAATTAAAAGAATTTGAAATTATTGATAATAATGGGGGAGGAGAAAGTGGAGAGAAAATAGATTTAAGGACAGATAAATTATTAAATGAATTAATAAATCAAGTTGAAAATATTTTGTGATTATTTTATTTTTTATTTATTTTTTTGTTGCAAAAAAAGATGCTTTTTTTGTTATTTTTTATTAGTAAAAAATATTAAAAAAATTTTTTTTTTAATTTTGGTTTTAAAAATAAAAGGCTCGCAAAAATAAATTTAGACTCTAATATTCAATGTTGAAATACATTACTTTTGTGTTTCACTTCCGGAAGAATTTCAGAATTTATTTTTGTGTTTTTTAATAATTCTGTATTTTCCGGAACTGTCTAATAAACAAATAAATACAACCGGAAAGAAATAAAGCATCCAAAAACACTCCGGAAAAACAAAATTACTATTATATATTAATTCTGATTTATTTAAATCCAGAATTGATAGTGTATCACTTCCGGAAATATTTTCCGGAATAATTTCAGAATTTATTCTTGTGTTTTTTAATAATTCTGTATTTTCCGGAAATGTTTTAACAAATAAAACAAATAAACACAACCGGAAAGAAAACACCAAAACATTTTCCGAAAAATACACAATTTTTCCGGAATAATTTCAGAATTTATTCTTGTGTTTTTTTTAATAATTTTGTATTTTCCGGAAATGTTTTGGTGTTTTCTTCCGGTTGTGTTTGTTTTACTTATTAAAACATTTCCGGAAAATACAGTTATTAAAACAAATAAACACTACCGGAAAGAAAACACCAAAACATTTTCCGGAAAATACAAAATTATTATATGTATATTCTGGTTTATTTTAATAATAAACACATTACTTTTCTGAGAGAAAAAAATACAAAATTGTATTTTCTTTACTAATTTTTACATTAATTACAAAAGACAGTTATATTTATTAAGTGTTCTTTAAATTAGGTTATAGGTCTAAAAAACCTATTTTTTGATAAAATATTAAAATTTAATAGTACATTGGAGGGTGAACAGCATAAAAATTTATTTTTCGTCTTTTATAAATACCGCCAAAAATCGCCATTTTTTTGGATAAACGTGTTTTTTATTGAAAGGAGAGAGTAGACTTGAATTTGTCTACCTGTAATAAAAGGGTATATATAATGATAAATTATGTTATTTTAAATATTAATAATTTGAAGAAAAGATATATCCATTAGAGATCGCAATTTTTGAAAAGCCTGGACCTGTTCCTGGACTCTGGAGTTTGATTTATTTACCTGGACTGGGCCTGTAGTAGTCTCAGGAAAAACCCAAGAAGGCCAAAAAATGCCTGGACCTGGACTCTTGGTACAGGAAAAACCCAGGCTTTGGTCTAGGTCCAGCTTGATCTCTAATACCCATCCGTCCAGTTTGTTTTAATTTTTAAAATTATTTTTAAAAATCTTGTCCAACTTTGTCTTCAATAATTTCATCTTCCACTATTTTTAATTATTTTTCATTGACAAAAAATCCCAGAAAAAAGCCTAGAAAAAATTATAAATAGTCTCGAACCATGTGCTTTCTATAAGGGAGGGGATAAACTAATAAAATAAAAATAAAAAGAAGATATACTTCCTTTTTTATTTTCACTTTTCTTCCTTTTATGTTTACCTAAAAGGTGAATAAAAAATAAAAATAAAATTGATGATCACTATTAAAATAAAAATCAGGAAGAAGGAAGAATATACTTGTACTTCTTCAAAAAAATATTTTTCTTTTAAACAAATCCAAAAAAGGAAAAAATATTTATTTACTTAAAAACGAACACTTTTTAAAATAAATATGTATACTTTTATTTTTTAAATTTTATTCCTGTTTTTAGAATAAAAATGTTGCTTCTCTTAATATTTTTGTATTTTGTATTTTCGATGAATTCTGGTAAATATATAAATTAAATTCTGATTTTTAAATTGAGGAAAAAACACATTCCGGAAAAGACAAAAACACATAATTCTGCAATAAATGTTTTCCGGAAAGGAATATGATTAAATAAACTTTTTTCAAAATTTTTCCGGAAAACACACATGATTAAATTTTTCCGGAAAACACACATGATTAAATTTTTCCGGAAAACACACATGATTAAATTTTTCCGGAAAACACACATGATTAAATTTTTCCGGAAAACACACATGATTAAATAAACATTTTTCAAAATTTTTCCGGAAAACACAGATTTCCTTAATAAATTTATTCTTAAATTCTGTATTTTCCGGAAATGTTTTATGTAGCTTCTCTCCTTCTTTTTCCTCTTAAAATAAAATTATAATTACTTAAAATAATTTTTTAAAGTAAAATCAACTGTTCTTCACAAAATGGAACAAGAATTGAACAAATTTGATAAATTAAGAGTTAATCCCGACAATTTTGAAAAAATTAAAAATTTACACGAAAATCTTTATTATGGAGCTGTTAAGGCTTTGCTTGGGCAGGTAAAATTAGCTGATGACATTCCGGAAAGAAAAATAAATTTTAAAAGGTTTTCGGAAAATACGAAGATTTTTTTGCAAAGAAAACACAAATTCTATAGCTTCCGGAAAAGAATAAAAATATTCCGGAAATCAGTTTTAACAGGAAAACAATTATGATATTTAATTCCGGAAAGTTAACTAGAAAGTTATATTTTCCGGAACAGGTCTATTATGTATTCCGGAAAAGTTGACGATGTATTTTCGATGTATTTTCCGGAAAAGGTTGTTGACATTTTAATTCTGATTTGTGTTTTCCGGAAAACTTGTTGTCATTTTAATTCTGATTTGTGTTTTCCGGAAAACTTGTTGTCATTTTAATTCTGATTTGTGTTTTCCGGAAAACTTGTTGTCATTTTAATTCTGATTTGTGTTTTCCGGAAAACTTGTTGTCATTTTAATTCTGATTTGTGTTTTCCGGAAAACTTGTTGTCATTTTAATTCTGATTTGTGTTTTCCGGAAAACTTGTTGTCATTTTAATTCTGATTTGTGTTTTCCGGAAAACTTGTTGTCATTTTAATTCTGATTTGTGTTTTCCGGAAAAGGTTGTTGACATTTTAATTCTGATTTGTGTTTTCCGGAAAACTTGTTGTCATTTTAATTCTGATTTGTGTTTTCCGGAAAACTTGTTGTCATTTTAATTCTGATTTGTGTTTTCCGGAAAACTTGTTGTCATTTTAATTCTGATTTGTGTTTTCCGGAAAACTTGTTGTCATTTTAATTCTGATTTGTGTTTTCCGGAAAACTTGTTGTCATTTTAATTCTGATTTGTGTTTTCCGGAAAACTTGTTGTCATTTTAATTCTGATTTGTGTTTTCCGGAAAACTTGTTGTCATTTTAATTCTGATTTGTGTTTTCCGGAAAACTTGTTGTCATTTTAATTCTGATTTGTGTTTTCCGGAAAACTTGTTGTCATTTTAATTCTGATTTGTGTTTTCCGGAAAACTTGTTGTCATTTTAATTCTGATTTGTGTTTTCCGGAAAACTTGTTGTCATTTTAATTCTGATTTGTGTTTTCCGGAAAACTTGTTGTCATTTTAATTCTGATTTGTGTTTTCCGGAAAACTTGTTGTCATTTTAATTCTGATTTGTGTTTTCCGGAAAACTTGTTGTCATTTTAATTCTGATTTGTGTTTTCCGGAAAACTTGTTGTCATTTTAATTCTGATTTGTGTTTTCCGGAAAACTTGTTGTCATTTTAATTCTGATTTGTGTTTTCCGGAAAACTTGTTGTCATTTTAATTCTGATTTGTGTTTTCCGGAAAACTTGTTGTCATTTTAATTCTGATTTGTGTTTTCCGGAAAACTTGTTGTCATTTTAATTCTGATTTGTGTTTTCCGGAAAACTTGTTGTCATTTTAATTCTGATTTGTGTTTTCCGGAAAACTTGTTGTCATTTTAATTCTGATTTGTGTTTTCCGGAAAACTTGTTGTCATTTTAATTCTGATTTGTGTTTTCCGGAAAACTTGTTGTCATTTTAATTCTGATTTGTGTTTTCCGGAATGTTTATATAAAATTCTGATTTATATTAAAACAAAACACAAATTTATTTTTAAAGCTAGGCAAACTCCACTTTAAACAATTACCAGAATATGAACGCCTTAAATTAGCCAAATGTTTGGATAAAATAGAAAATAGATATGACCTCGTTTCCCCTGCAAAATGTTTAATTCAGAGCAGGGATAGGCTTATTTTGCTTCAAAAAGAAGAAAATAAATTAAAAGACCAAATTTATTTTAATTTTGATGACGAAAAAGAAATTTTAAAAAATAATGAGGGTAATAAAAAAATTAAAAAATTGAAATTAATTTTTTAAATTAAAATCCTCCCAGTAATTGTCACATTTGGAGGGATTAAAGTCGCCCAAAAATTACCAAGCAAAAGAATGGAGAAACTTAGAAAGACAGAATTAAAGGCAAGTTTATTTTGCTTAGGTTACTGTATGTTTATAGTAAACAGAAAGCAGAATTATTTAAATAAACCTTCCGGAAATGTTTCCGGAAAGGTAACAAGGTTGGAAAATAAATATAAAAAGTTTCCGGAAAATAAAAATTGTTTAATAAAATTATGTTGGTTACTTCCGGAAAACATTTCCGGAAGGTTTATTTGTTGTATAAGTATGTGGTGTAATGGTTAGTGCGTTTGAGTGGGTGATTATGGGGGTTGGTGGTTTGAATCCAGTTGTTGGTAAATCATTTCTTTAATGGTTTCTGACTTGATTGGTGACAATATTTTTTGTCTAATCACATAAAAATATTTTTAGAATTTTTTTTGAATAAATTTTATATAAAATAGGCAGGAATCTTATTTGTACTAAAATTTCTAGCAACATTTTAATTAAAAAATTTAAAGGATTTTACAAAACATCCACACATGTTAAGTCGAATTTTAATACCTTTAGCACAAATGAGGCTACAAAAGTATGGTGGAAATATTTTAAGACGAAGGGTAAAAAGGTCGAGAATTGAGGAAAAAACAGAAAAAATGATTGGAATTGAGGAGGTTTTTGAATTTAAAAAATTTTTAAATGATAAAAAAATTTTAAAGATGAAAAAAATAAGAGAAGAAATACAAAATCAAAGGGAAACAGATCCTAAGGAAAATTTCAAAGTAAATTTTGAAACGATTTTTGAAGGCGGAAAAATTTTCTTTCAAAAGGTTAGAACGGCGAATAACGTTGACCCGTTGCCTAATGGGAAGGAAAATAATTTGGCTGCTAAAGTAGTCTATTTTTTTTTAAATTTTTAAAAATTTTGAGTTTACCAGATTTCTAGTCTTCTTGTAAAATCGCTTGGACCTAAAACAAAAAATGCAGATATTAAATGGGCAAAAACATACAAAACATTGCAAAGGCTGTCAGAGCAGATTGAGAGGGGGAAGAACTTTCCAGGCTCCAATCTCTATGAAAAACGAATGTTTGTTGAAATTTAGAAAAAATATAGTGGAAGATAGTTTACCTTACTTCCTCAAAAAATACCTAATTACCCCCGAGAACCGTTTTGTTACCTATAGTCTATTCTGAATTGTTCCCTACAGACTACCTCTTTTGTAGTGGTCATGTTCCTTACGGACTATCCTATTTGTTCCCTACACACTACAGTCTACCATATAATGTTCCCTACGGACTACCTCTTTTGTTCTACGTTCTTTACAGACTACCATCTAATGTTCCCTGCGGACTACCCCTTATGTTCCCTACACACTACAGTCTACCATCTACTGTTCCCTACGGACTATCCATTTTGTTCTACGTTCTTTACAAACTACCTTGATTATTCCCTATGGACTACCCCTTATGTTCCCTACATGCTACCTCTGTAAAAACACACTACCCTACAGACTATCTCGAGCTTTTCTCTTGATAATATTCTATCAAAAAAGTCTGTTAAATAATTTTTCTATTCCTCACAGGTATGACATTGTATTAGAGAGAAAAAACCCTTCTCTAAGTCCAATGGAAAGGGTAATTTGTCAATTTTTATTTTTTAAATAGTAAAATTTAAATAAGAATTCAGCGATCACCTCTTGGATTGCTTCAACAAGGAATGAAGGTAAAATTTCATTAGAATCCCCTCTAATCTTCCTCTCACTTTAAAGTTAATTGACTTACTTCCTGGCAATAAAAACAACAGAAAGAATGGAAATGTGACAAACAATGTAAATTTAAAACCCTCAAGGTCCCTCAATAAATCTCTTTTTAGATTCGCCTTTTTAGTCCCAGATTTATGCCTTTAGCGCCAGATAAGGGAGGTCCAGCAAATCCAAAAAGCTTGCTTTCCCCTACCCTTTTTGCAATGTATGACGAGAAGGATAATCACAGCTTTGCAAATGTGCCTGAGGTAGAAAATTATTAAGATTCTGATATACCCAAAAGATAAAAATACGACTCGAATAAATCGTTCAGATGATGAGAAAAGCTGGAGTCCCAGAAAAATACCGTCAGTCCATAATTGCAACATTAATGGAACTTACCGGAACTACAGAGTAAAGAAATAATTTATTAATTAAAATGTAAATTTAAATTATATGTAGTCATTTGGAAAAAGCTTTCAATCTTTTAAAAAAAGTTGACTTTTTTGATGAAGGTAAATAATTAAATTTAAATAATTCCGTCTCGTCTAAAATAGGAATAAGATACAATACAAATCAGAATTCTGATTTATTAAAAGGAAAAACACAAAAAATAAACTTGAATTAAATAAATAAACTTATTCTGAATTAATAAAAACACAAAACACAAGTTAATTCTGATTTAATAAACTTGAATTAATAAATAAACTTATTCTGAACAAGTTTTTATTAATTCTGAAAAATACAAAAATCAGAATTACAACTTGTTTAAATGAAATACATAGAAAACACAGAAATTTAATTCTGATTTACTAAGAAGGGATAAAAATACATACAAAAAATACAAATCAGAATTCTGACTTTTTTTAATTATAAATAAAACACCTAAAATTCTGATTTTTACAATTTAAATTAATTAAAAATACAAAAGGTGTCGGCCACCCAATAATGAAGGCTACAGATAAACTTTTGAACAAGTAAAAGAATTATTATAAATTAAGAAAAATTATTTATTCTTCTAAAAACAGCTTTTTTAATCTGGAAGACTCATTAGACAAACGGCAAAGACATGAATTTAAAGAGAAAGGATTTACTTTTGGAAAAAAGAGTCAATTATTGAAGATATATAGGGATGATCAGAGTAATTGAGAATTAAATTGTTAAAAAATTCCAAAAAAAATTTTTTAAAGGCCAACAAAAGCTTTTACCAGACTCAGAATTGGACCGGTTTGACAAATACGAAAAAATGAGTGAATCAGAAAAAGAATTGGCCTTATGGGAAACTATAAGAGAACTGGCTGAAGGAAGGGCTATTAGTTTAGCTAATGCTTCTAAAATTGTTTGTATTTTTTAAAATAATTATTAAAATAAAACACAAGTTTAATAAACATTAATTTGTGAAAATACAAAAATCAGAATTTTATTTAAGCGAAGAAAATACTTTAAAATACAAATTCTGATTATACTAAAAAAAGAAAACACAAATTAATTCTGATTTGAAAAATAAACTTGTTCTGATTTAATAAAACACAAAAACACAAATTAATTCTGTAATTAATTCTGATTTTAATAAATAAACTTGTTCTGAAACACAAAAAATACAAGTAATTCTGATTTTAATAAATAAACTTGAATTAAATAAATAAACTTATTCTGAAACACAAAAAATACAAGTAATTCTGATTTAATAAATAAACTTGAAAATAAACTTGAATTAACTAAACAAACTTATTCTGACCAAGTTTATTTATTAATTCTGATTTAAATAAACTTTTTTACATAAACAGCCAGAAGATCACCAACAACAACATCAACGCACAAAACGTTTTTCTACGACCGTTTTCTCTCCTATAATTTTATCACCTTTCCATTTTGCCCCATTTTTTGGGCTTTCAGTTTTTGGGCCAGTCATACTCTCACCGAGCACATTCTCTCGTAATTTAAAAATTATTTTTAATTTATTTTTTAATAATTTTAAAGCTTACATTTTGAGCCCTAGTGTGTAAGTTTATTAAAAGAAATTATTTTTTAAATTAATTTTTTAAATTTAAAATTCCAGTTTCTCACCTTTAATTCTCTCACCTCTAGTATTCAGGCAAATTTTAAAAATTAAAAAAATAGTTTAAAATTAAATTTTTTTTCCAGCCCTCTAATACTCAGTCCTAGTGTGTAAGTGAATCTATTCTGATTTTTATTTAATTATATTCTAAATTTATTTTGAAGTGCCTCTCCTTGGATTATAACTCCAGGCGTTGGAAATCCTTACATTCTTAGGTAAAAAAATAATTTTAAAATCAGAATTTAGAAATTAAACACAAAATATTAAAAGAAAACACAAAAAAGGAAAACACAAATCAGAATTAAAAAAAACACAAGTCAGAATTTAAAACTAGTCGAAATTCTGGTTTTAATTATCCAAGTTGTATTTTTCTTAGGAAAATACAAATCAGAATTTTCTACCAAAAATACAAATTAAATCAGAATTTTAAGTTGTATTTTGTGTTTAAAAGAAGAAAACACAAATCAGAATTTTAATTAAACTTTAAATTCTGATGTGTTTTCACGTTGTATTTTTCAATATTCTGGTTTGTAATAAAAAAGAGAAAACACATTAATAAAACCTTAATTTCTGATGTGTTTTGTATTTTCCAATATTCTGTTTTTAATTAAAAGGAAAAACACAAAATCAGAATTTCTTTTACCAAAAATACAAATTAAATCAGAATTTCAAGTTGTATTTTTTTGTATTTTTCAAAATTCTGATTTTATATTATTTCAAAAACACAAATTAATTAAAATCAGAATTAAAAATCAGAATTAATTTACAGTCCTTACGTTTTTGGTCCTTTCATCCTCGGACCTCTTGTTCTTCATCCTTTCATCTTATCGCCGTTTGTTTAAAAATTAATATTTTTTAAATTAATTTTTAAATTAAAGTTATGTGTTGTCTCCGAACATATTAAATCCTTATGTTCTCTCACCCATTATTTTAAACCCTATAGCTCTTTCTCCCGACATTTTGTCTCCACAAGGTAGGAAGAATTTTTCTTCAAATTTTTCAAAAAAATTTTTTATAAAAAAATTTTTTCAAAAAAATTATTTTATGAAGCAAATTACCTTAAAAATTAATTTTATTTAAAATTAAAGTCCTTGGTGGTGCAATTCTTTCTCCAGGAATACTCTCACCTGCAATCTTCACTCAAACCTATTTTATGGGTTAATTTTAAATAAAAATTTAAAAAATTATTTTAAAGTGAGCCTTTTTTCGCCAACATTCCTCTCATAACACTCAAATAAAATGAAGCTGAGAATAAATTATTAAAAAAAGAAATTCAGGAGATTTATTGTAAAATGAAGAATAATATTTCTATTAGAGTTCGAGATTTTTAAATTACCGGGTCTGGTATCCGCGTTTTTTCTTTCATGCCCCGGGACTGTGTTTTCCGTGGTAAACCCGTAAAATCATGAAAAATTGGATTTTATCACAATATCTCGGTCTCCGAGCTCTGGCCCGGTCGGGAGCAGGCCAACGTACCGCGAACCCAACGTACCGCCGAGCTATAACCTCGTTCAGAATTGTCGAATCCTGGACTCCTTGATATGGTTCGATGCATTTCGCCGAGCTGAATTGAACCATATCAGTGTGTCTGGATTTTACTATTTTGAACGAAGTTATAGCTCTGAAGTACGTTGACCTCGCGGTATGGTGGATTGTACTCGACCCGGCTCAATGTCGAATTCTAATTTCTATTTTTAATTTATTTATTTTTCCATTCAAAAAAAATTTTTTTTTGATTTAAAAAATCATTAAAAATTTTTCTTAAAATTTTTCTTAAAATTCATCTCCTTTTAACTCGTTATTTTTAAAAATAAAAAATCTCGGCATTTTTTCTTCTTCTCGCCAGCTGTCAGTCACCTCCATTCTCTCCCTTTCAACCCCTCTCCCTTTCAGGCCTTTTAACATTCTTAAATTGTAAAGGGATTCGCTGTCGTCAATCAAGTACACACAAACACCGATTGGCTTTTGGAGAAGCTTTTTTTCTTTTATTTTCCCCTCCCCCCTCCCCTTATTTTTGTGGGCAAAAGAAGAATAAATGCTTTATTCCCTCCAATAAAAAAATTAATAAAAATTTGCATAATTTCTAGTAAATTGGATAAATAAAAACAATAAAAGAAAGAATCTCTTTTATTTTTTAAATGCCGCTTTTTGAGTGTGAAAATATAAATCTTATTTAATTTTTAAATTTGTAAAAGGTTTTAATTAATAAATTAAATTCTGATTTTTTTAAAACCAGAATATTCTGGTATTTATTCTGGTACTTTAAAATTATAATAATTAAAATTCTGGTTTTGTTGTGTGTTTTATTTTGTAAAAACACAAACTTGGTTTCTGTCAAGTTTTAAGTTTTATAAAATACAAGTTTGTGTAAAAACACAAACACAAACTTACCAGAATAAATATCAGAATTTAAGTTTGCAAACTTGAAATTCTGATATGAATAAAAATATATTTCTGATTTATTTCGCAAACTTGAATTTTTAATTCTTTTCCAAATGATATTCTGAAAATTAGAATTCTGATTTTTAATTCTGATTTTTAATTTTAAATTCTGATTTTTAATTTTAAATTCTGATTTTTAATTCTAAATTCTGATTTTTAATTTTAAATTCTGATTTTTAATTTTAAATTCTGATTTTTACTGGTTTTTAATTTTAAATTCTGGTTTTTCGTGATTTAGGTTTCTTTTTTATTTTATTTGTTGATATTCCCTCTTAAATTTTTTTTTCAATTAAATAAAAAATCCAACACCTCTTCCTTCCTATCCAATACAAAAATGTGTTGGATCCCTTTTGTTTCTGTCTAAATATATTTATTTAATCGTCAATTACCCCCTTCATTTCCCCTTTAATCAAACACACCTTCCCGCCTTTTTATCTATTTTTAATGCTTTTTCTTTTTAAATAAGGTCCCCAAAATGGGGGAATTAAAAACGTTTTTTTGTAGAAAAGTCATTCCCCCAGAGAGGATAAAAAATATAAAAGTGTCACGTCCATCATTTACAAAAACCAGGAAATGTAAAAAACGGAAATACTTGAAAAGAATAAATATCAGAATCCTGAGTCTTCAAACGAATATTTTTTCAGAATAAAATCAGAATTTTAATTTCCAGCTCAGTTAGTATCAGAATAAATAGAACAATCCTGAGTCTTCAAACGAATATTTTTCAGAATAAAATTTTCATAATTTTTTCAGAATTTTGAAATTCAAACTCTTTCAGATTCCAAAATTTTTCAAAATTTGTCAGAACATTTTTTTCAGAACAATTTCTGAATTTCAAAATTCAGACTAATTAATATAGAATAACTAATTATTATTTTTAATCAGAATTTTAAGTTTGCAGAAATAAAAAAATAAAAATATTTTCAGAATGCCTTCCTTAACGTACACGTCTTACTTCTTAACTTCATTTCACATTTGACTTCGCATCAAATAAAAAAATTTTAAAAAAATTAGAAAAAATTACCGATGCGCGAATTAAAATTAAAAATCTCTCCCATTTATTTTCCCCTTAAAATAAATAAATATAAATAAAATAGCAAAATTTCTTTTTAACACCCTAAGGGATTAAAATTTATACTATAGGCCTAAAACTGACACTTTTATAAAACAATTCTTCTTCATTTCCTTCACACAAGTCTCTCTTCTCTCCCTCACTCCTTCTAAGCCCTCAAGTATTCTGTGCTTTTTGGGAGGGAGGAAAAGTCGGGGGGCAGTCTTCAATCTTTTTGAATTATTTTAAAAAGAATAATGCGAAAATAAAAATAAAGAAAAATTGCTAGAGGCAGTTAGAAAGGCTTGGCACGAGCCGTTGACATGGTAGTTATTTAAATATAGAAATTTTTTAAAAGCCTGGACCTGTTCCTGGACTCGAGTTTCATTTCTTGACCTGGACTGAATCCTGGGCCTGTAGTCCAGGAAACACCCAGGAAGGTCAAAAAATGCCTGGACCTGAACTCTGAGTTCAGGAAAAACCCAGGCCTTGGTTCTGGTCCAGCTCGATCTCTAGTAGCTAAGTAGGTATATTTTGGGGATAAAAAAAACAATTCAGGCTTCAAGTCTATAAAGTTTCTAAGTTTTAAAAGTTGAAACAATACTAAAAATAGGTAGTTCAGAATAAAAAATACCAAAAATACCCTAATAGAAGTCCTGGTCTTATTTCTCAAGTTTATTGTTCAATTTCTGTATTTTACAAACTTAAGTTTTAACAAAAAAAGTTTTAAAATTGCAAACTTAGATCAGAACAAAATTAAGTTTTAGAAACTTGTTTACACTTAAGTTTATTTAATTCAAGTTTGTAAACTTGAAATTCCATATTTTTAGAGTTATCTTATAATTAATTATATTTTGAAATTTTGGCTTTCTAACAATAAGCTTAAAGTGCTTGTAATTGTTTTTTTTTCATTTTCCCAATCAGTCTAAATATTTATTTATTTACCATTTTCTTTTCTATAAAATTCCCAAGCTTAAAAAAATTTTTCTTCTCAAAGCTTCCTACACGTTGTTTAAACAATAAAATTAAAAGGAAGTTATTTAAACTTAATTTAATTTTCTAAAGCTTTTCGTTATTGTAAAAAGTTTAAAAATATTTAGAAGAAAAAACGAAGGAAAAGCCAATGATCACAACAGCCGGAAGCTTAGGCTGAGAAAATAGAAAAGTTCTTTTATTAAGCTTATTTTATTTAAAAAATCATAATTGTATAGAAATATGAAAACTTAAGTTTGCAAACTTGATTTCTGATATTCTAATTTTTAAGATATCAGAATTTTAAAAAATCAGAATTAAAAAAAAATCAGAATTTTCAAAAAAATTCTGATTTTTAAAAAATCAGAATTTTTTTAAAAATCAGAATTTTTAAAAATCAGAATATATTTAAAAAATCAGAATTTTTAGTCTATAAAGTTTAAGAAATCAGAACTTTTAAGTTTGCAAACTTACTTAAGATTAACTTTAAAAATATATTCCTTTCTATCTTGATTACTATAATAATATCCTTTTTGTTTAAAAATATTATTTATAATTAAATACACTTACCTTTTACTACTTTTATTTTTTTTCCTAAATATTTTTTCTGACCACCAAAAATTGGGAGAAAATAAGTTTTTGAATGATTTATCCCTCCCACCACAATAATAAAAAATTTAATATTTATTATTATTTCATTCATTATTATTTTTTTCGTTGTAATCTCCTCATTCATTTATTATATTACCTTTTTTACCGCTTTATCTCATGGACATCTAATCTTATTTTATTATCATTTATTTAATATTATTTAAGTTGGTGCGCTAATATTCTTTTTTTCTTAAAGTTTAATATTCTGAAACTTTAAGTTTGCGAAATAATTCTGAAATAATTAATTAAACTTGAAAAGAAAAGTTCTGAAACTTGAAACACTACATATTTAAACAAAGTTTTAGATATACAAAAACTTAAGTTTGCAAACTTGAATTAATAGTAAAAATAAACTTGATATGGAAAATAAACTTTCTTTATAAACTTAAGTTTGCAAACTTAAATTCTTAAATAAAATAAACTTGGAATAGAAAATAAACTTATTTTGCAAAAACTTAAGCTGGCAAACTTAAATTAAATAAACCTGAAATTAAAATAAACTTTCTTCCAAAAACTTAAGTTTGCAACTTGAATTATTAAATAAATAAACTTGAAATATAAAGTTTTTATATAAACTTAAGTTTACAAACTTTAATTATTATCAAAAATAAACTTTATTTAAAAATAAACTTTTTTTCTTAAACTTAAGTTTACAAACTTGAATTATTAAATAAATAAACTTGAAATATAAAGTTTTTATATAAACTTAAGTTTACAAACTTTAATTATTATCAAAAATAAACTTTATTTAAAAATAAACTTTTTTTCTTAAACTTAAGTTTACAAACTTGAATTATTAAATAAATAAACTTGAAATATAAAATAAACTTTTTTTTTACAATTAATAATTCTGATTTGTATTTTTAGTATTTCCGCCTATTCTTAATCCTTTAATTCTGAAACTTATTCTTAAAATCTGTATTTTTTTCTTTTAAAATTCTATTCAGAAATTCTGACTATATTTATTCATTTGTTTTATTTTTTCTCTATTGTATTTTGCCCACAACAAAACATTTTTATGCGCGCGTAAAAGGATAATTCCCCCATTTCTTTGTTATTGTTTACTACCACACACGTGCCGCCATCTCAAGACAAAAAAGATTTTTAAGTCAAGCCCGAGGCGTTCAAAACGCGGCCTAAAAAAGAGAAAAGATGAAAGGACAGAATAATCGGTGAATTAAAAAAATAAATAAAAGAATTAGGAATGCTTATGGCAATTGATAGGGAAATAAATGGGTGGGGAGGACAAAGAAAATGAAGCCAGAATTAAATAAATATTCTTTTAATTTTAATATTTTAGATTTTCAGAATATTTTCAGATAACATACATATATAGTCCTTAAAATTTAATTTTAGATTATAATTATTACTTAAAATTCTGATTTGTATATTTTACAAATTCTGATAGTTAAAATGTTTACAAATTCTGGTATTCAAAAGGTTTTACAATTCTGGTTTTACAAATTCTGATTTATTTTTTACAAATTCTGGTATCATTTAAACCTTTTAAATACCAGAATTTGTAAAAGTTTTACAAAAAAGTTTTAATTCTGGTAATTCTGAAAAATATTAATTGTAATTCTGATTTGTACATATTTTACAATTTCTGGTAGTTAATATTGTATTTATTTATAATATTCTGATTTAATAATTCTGATTTGTGTTTTTAAGTTTACATCTATTATATGTACTTGTTGTATTTTCTGATTTTATTTTTTACAATTCAAAAATTGTTTTCTGATCACTTATATTTTTTTCTGTTGTATTTTCCGCTTTTAAAACTATTTAAATAAGCATACCTCCCGGAAAAGTTTTTAATTAATGCGCGTGGCACTTTTTCTTATTTTTTACCTATTTTTTTCTTCTCTACAGCGAATTTAAAATTTTTACAAAAAATATCCACAGCATTCCAATATTGTTTTTTATTGGAATTTTTTAAAAAATAAGAGAAAAAAAAGGGAAAATGGCGGTTAATGGAAGCAAAACAAAAATTTTAAGAAAAAAATTATTTATGCAAATGGACGATCAGGAAAAAAAGTTTTGTTTAAAAATAGAAGGTGGAAATGCCAAACAATGAGACTGGGAGTTAGATAATGGATCGAGGGGCTAAGACGGAAATTAAAAAAATATTTTTTTATTTAAGCTTTGAAAATTTTTTTTCCTTTTCTTTTGAAATAAAATAAAAAATATTTTTTTTTCAGAAAAAATTTTCAAAAAAATATTTTTTTAAATAAATACAGTAATTTTACAAAAATTAAAAAAAATTTTTTTTTAATTTTTTTTCATTTTTCTACCAAAATTTTCTCCCACGAACGCCCATTACTTCCCTTAGGGCAATGTTCCCAAAAATCTGTTCCTTTCCAAAATTATTATTTTTTTCTACAATTTTATAACAACAATTAAATATTTAAATTATTTTTATGAAAATTATGAGGTAAAAAATTTTATAGTTGAAGATAATAAACAACCACTTGTTGTAAATCTTTCTTTATTCTTGTAGTAAATTACTGATATGTAAACAAGTTTTACAATTTGACTGCAAACTTGAATTATTATTCTATTATTTAGAACTTGCCTCAAGTTTGCAAACTTGTTTAAAACTTGATTTAAGTTTATAAACCTATCAGAATCTGAATAAAGTCTTAAATTAGGTTTGAATCTTAATCAGAATTTAAACTTGATTTAAATCTACAAACTTAATTCTGATATTTAAAACTCATTATTTAAGTAAGCAAGCTTGAATTATTATTCTGGGAAAATTCATAAACGAAAATTTTATAATTTTTCTTAAAATTTTAGCATTTATGTATTCTGTTAATCTTAAAAATTTTCAAAATAATTCTTAAATTAATTTAACCTTGTTATTTACCCATTTAATTTTTGTGAGAATATATTTTAAATTAATTAATTTAATTCTTTAATGAGTCAATTCCCTACATTAATAAAAGTTAAGTTTATTATACAACTCGCGCAGATATAAAATTTTTGTGTAATAAACAATAAATATAGGAGAGAGTTTTATTTTTATTTTTAATATTTTCCCTCAGTAATCCATATGATCAGTTTATTTACTTTCTTTCAGAATTATTTGAGATTTAATATTTTCAAGTTTATAAACAAGGAGGAAAGGAAAAAAACCATATTTCAGAATAAATACCAGAATTAAAAAAGAATTTAGAATATTATCAGAATAATAATCAAGTTTGCAAACTTGAATATTAAGTTTAATTATTAATCAGAATCAGAATAAAAGTTTGCAAACTTGAATCAAGTTTAATTATTAATCAGAATCAAGTTTATAAACTTGAATCAAGTTTTAAATAATTGAAACAAGTTTGCAAGCTTGAATTAAGTTAAAACTTATAATTCAAGTTTGCAAACTTGAATTAAAAAAATAAACTTAGAATTCAGGTTTATAAACTTAAGTCAAGTTTTAAAATTCGAATTCAAGTTTTCAAGCTTTAATTAAGTTATAAACTTATAATCCAAGTTTATAAGCTTTAATCAAGTTTTAAACCTAGAATTCAAGTTTGCAGACTTGAATTAAAAAATAAACTTAGTCTCTCTTATTCTCTCACTATTTTTAATCACTTATTGTCTTTTTCTTTTTTCTTCTAATATTTATCCCCCCTCGGTTTATTTAAATATTTTAATGTATATCCTATTTTCCTCAGTATTCCGTATTTTTTTTCTGATTTAATTAATGAGCGAGAAGGGCCGCACAACAACTACTAACTATTATTTACATTCTACTTGACAAGCAAGAATTGAAAAAATAAAGGGAGGGGCGAGGTCCGTGAACGTTTTTAGGAGGAAAATTAAGAAGAGGAGGAAAAAAGAAAATAAAACTGACTTGAATGACTTGAGGAATTGTGAAGGACGAATAGCGCGTAAATTTGCTTGTAACACAATTCTCGATTATAATGAAAAGGAGGGAAATTTTTAGGGAAGAAAGAGGATAAAATAAATTACTTATATTTTTAAAAGATAATATCAGTAGCATCGCCAATATTAAATTAAAAGGAAATAAATAAAAATAGGGGGAAGGGGAGGTATAAAGGGAGGGAAGATGGAAAATGGGTAAAATTTGTTAAATTTTTAATAAAATTAATTTTTAATGAAATTCCAGTTTTGTAACAGAATTGTATTTTTAGAATTAAATTTCAAAACTTTGCAAACTTGAATAATAAGTTTAAAACTAGATTTAAGTTTATAAACCTATTATAATCAGAATCAAGTTTGTAAACTTGAATAAAGTTTAAATATTAATTAGAATCAAGTTTATAAGTTTTATAGGCTTAAAACAAGTTTTAAGCTAATTTTAGGTTTTATTCAAGTTTACAAACTTGATTCTACTTTAAAACTTAATTTAAGTTTATAAACTTGTTTTTATTAATAATTCAACTTAATTCAAGTTTGCAAACTTGAATAATAAGTTTAAAACTAGATTTAAGTTTATAAACCTATTATAATCAGAATCAAGTTTGTAAACTTGAATAAAGTTTAAATATTAATTAGAATCAAGTTTATAAGTTTTATAGGCTTAAAACAAGTTTTAAGCTAATTTTAGGTTTTATTCAAGTTTACAAACTTGATTCTACTTTAAAACTTAATTTAAGTTTATAAACTTGTTTTTATTAATAATTCAACTTAATTCAAGTTTGCAAACTTGAATAATAAGTTTAAAACTAGATTTAAGTTTATAAACCTATTATAATCAGAATCAAGTTTGTAAACTTGAATAAAGTTTAAATATTAATTAGAATCAAGTTTATAAGTTTTATAGGCTTAAAACAAGTTTTAAGCTAATTTTAGGTTTTATTCAAGTTTACAAACTTGATTCTACTTTAAAACTTAATTTAAGTTTATAAACTTGTTTTTATTAATAATTCAACTTAATTCAAGTTTGCAAACTTGAATAATAAGTTTAAAACTAGATTTAAGTTTATAAACCTATTATAATCAGAATCAAGTTTGTAAACTTGAATAAAATTAAAATTAAGCTTAAAACTTGATAAGTTTATAAACTTGATTCTGATTAATATTTATTCAAGTTTACAAACGAATTCTGATTCTGATAGGTTTATAAACTTGAATCAAGTTTTAGACTTATTATTCAAGTTTGCAAACTTCAGTTATACATAAATAAAAATTGTATTTCTCTCTAATCTTGTATGTATATAGTATCTAAATGTGATGATTTTAAACAAAAATAAATATAAAATAATTTTGATTAATAAGCATATTAGCAAGGGGATTAGCCGGTGAAATTGGTCATTTTCTATATGTTTTTCTTGGCATTTAAAAAAATAAACAGTTTTGTTACTCAATAAACAAACTAAATAATTATAATATTTAGTGATATGCCCCTCAAAAAAATTTTTGAAAAATATTTTTTTATTATTTCTGCACTCTAAGCCTCTAAAATTTATTTTTTTTATTATTAAACATATTTTTCAATTAAAATTTTTTTTTAATTTTATTGTTTTCCCATCAATTGTTAAAAAATAAAAAAAATAAAGGAAGAAACCTCCGCCCATAACAACACATTTTTATTTAAAAATAAAAATACTGTCTCTCTAAAAATATTTTTTTTTCTGCTATTTGTTAACAAGCGACAGAAAATTGAGAGAATATTTGAAAGAGAAAAAAGATTTTTTGACGTCCGTGTATGTTGTTGTTGTTATTTGTAGGTATATACTCTTTCTCATTCCCCTCCCATTCCCCTCCCATTCAACAACAATTTTTTTTCTTTTTAGTCAGCCGATTACACATTTTTATGATTATTAAAATAATTTAGTAAAATTAAAGGGCATGCTCAAAAAAAGGGGAAAAAATATTTTTAAGGACAGAAAAACCTAGGGAAAATACAAAGCTAACATTTATCCTGACGAAAAATAAACTTGAAAGAGACCAGAATTTTTTTCCAGAATTTTTATAATTGTATTATCCTTATTTTTAGTGTGTTTAATTATTTTCAGAATTTTCTCACCCTTTTTTACAATTGTAATTTTATTTATTCTAATTAATTAAGCAATTTCAGAATATATTTTAAAATTACAATTATGTAATTTTCAGAATATTTAAGTTTGCAAAAATACAGAAAAGAGCAAACATCAGAATTTCAAGTTTCTTTGTATTTTACCAAAATCAGAATAAAAGAAAAGTTTGCAAACTTGAATATTTCAGAATTTATTTTCCAACCTTTTTTTCCAACTTTTTATAAGTTTGTAATTTATCTATTCTGATTTTAAATAAACTTTAATTAAATAAACTTTTCAGAATATAAAAAGATTGTAAACTTGAATATTTTCAGAACTTATTTTTCTAACCTTTTTTCCAACTTTTTTTACAATTGTAAATTTTATTCTGATTTTAAATAAACTTTTTCTGTCTGTCTGCCAAGTTTATTTTTCATTTAACCTTTTTAATAATAACAAATACCCTTTTAATAGCAACAACATTTTCCCAACTTATTTTTCCAGCCTTTTTTGTTCTGATTTTATCTCCTTTTCCCAATTGATTGGAATATCAAAGGGAAAAAATTTTTTTCGATTTAATCTTTTTTAATTTAAAATTAATTGATTAAAAATTAAAAAATAAATCCTCAACTTGAATTTTCTAAAATAAATTTCCTTCCTTAAAAATTTCCTCCCCCTCCTAATTTTTCAAGGTTAACACACCTTTCCCTATTTATTTTTTAAAAAATTAGTTGACTTTAAGGCATCTTTTACCTCCATTTATTTTATTTTTATTTAATTATCCTTCAAAAAATCTTCAAAAAGTCTCCCAAAAACCTCTCCAAAAATCCTTCAAAATTTAAATATTATTTTTTATCCTCTCTTTAATTTTCCTCTTTTTTACCGTACCCCAATTAATTCCTTCTTTCTCTCAATTGTCGCCTTTCAACTCCTCCTCCTTTCTTCTTCTTCTTTCAAAAATATTCATTGGTTTCTTTATATTGTTTTTAAAATTATTTTTATATTTTTTTGGTGTTGTTTAGATGTTTTTGGCGCGCGGCATTAGAAAAAAATTTTTCTAAAAAATTTTTTTTAGAAAATTAAAAAAATTTTTTTTGAGGGTTTTTGGGCTTTGTATGGACCAGGAATGGGGACGGGTTAACCGAAATCCGCTTCATAAAAAATATTTGTAAATCGAATCAAATCCGTCTCAACTTTTTTTCTTAACCCTTCTCCCTTCTCTGGTATGGATGTGAGCCTATACCCATTCCTAAATTTTTTGAGGGGTCTTCTATGCGATACCAGAGGTATGGGATATCCATCAGGGATGGGCGCAATTCAAAAAAATTTTCCGCAGCCGCAATAAAACATCCAATTTTACATAATCCGCAATTGGGCCCAGCCCTGATATCCATTACTAAATTCCATTCCTAAAATTCTCAAAAAAATTTTTTTTAAAGAATCTCAAAAAATAGAATGACCAATGAATTTAAATTTAACATAATAAACTCACCAATGCAAATGACTGCTACAAGCATTATGGGAGATATGACAACAAACGATGAAGTTAAAGGAAGGGAACTGATTGGGGAAACAGTTGGAAATGATGAGGTAAAATGAAAAAAAACTTTTTTTTCTGAGAGAGGGGAGAGGGGGGGGGGGTGTGTTCACACACTGTGTGATCATTAATATTGTTAAAAAGATTTAATCTTTATTTTTTTATCTTTTTTTTGTAGCATACGCCGACGGCTTATGAACATTTTTATTATACCCAGCAACAACTACACACAGATTATCAACGTAAAAGCAACTTTTATTTTAATTAAAAATATTTTTGTATGGGACATTTACTTGGGACAGATGGGATTCATTAGAAGCTGTGCACAATAAACACGCCTTATTTTAAAATACTTTTTAAAGTTGGTTGACCATTGGGTGGAAGGAATTTTCTGAGCCTTTATATAGGATGTACTCTAGAGCATACATTTTTAGTTCCAAGGGTGTTGTGTCCGCACCAGAGCTGCTTCGGAATTTCGATTTCCCATTTTCGAGGATTTTCCTGTCTCTAACCAGCTCTGGTCCGTAATTTCATAAATGGAACATAAATGAATAAAAACAACCCATCTTCGGATTGGAGCCTTTTCATGATGCCCTTTCATGATGTTCTTTCTAGCCCTTTCATGATGGTTCTACTCCATCTCCCATTGAAAGGACCTTTCTACAGCCCCTACTATTGTCTAAGTGAGAACCTCTCCCGTACTAAAACTTCTTTAAAAAATTTTTTTGAACCCTCATTTCCCTCATATTAATATTCCAAACTTTCCAGACTTGTGGTACAACATCCCATCTATGGGTATCCCCGATTTAAGCAGTCAACTACTATCACAAGGAATAGATGCCTTAAACAACAACCCGTCCTTTACCCTATCAAATACATCAACTACAACCTCTTCTAGCCATTCAAATCATCAACAAAATAATTTTTATTCGAATTATCCCCTCCATACACTACCTCAATTGCCCCCTCATCTTCCCTCTTCTACAACAAATAATTATTATAATGGTGATAATTATGGAGCTTATTACGGAGCTAATTTCCAACAAACCTTTTTAAATAATTCTGCAACACCTTTATTACATTATAATGATGGTGGAGGTGGAGATAATGGGGGAGGAGGAGGATTGTTAATTGATGGAGGGAATAGTAATATTAGTTTAGCTGTAGTTGAACCAAAGTAAGGAAATTTAAAAAAGGACAAAGATGTGGGGATATGTCTAGGATTTTTTGAGTTTCGAGTTTCGAATTTCGAGTTGTTTCGAGTTATCACCCAAAACCTTTCGGAAGCTTGTGAGAAGCTTTTGAGAAGAAGTCATTGATAGATCTGTCACTCTGAAGCTGTTGATTGACCCTTTGAATATTCATTTTGAGAGTTATTAACTGTAAAAACCAGGGAACAATGAGCGCAGATGAAACGGAAATTTTTGTTTCGTGTTTCGCTTTGTGTTTCGTTTTGTGTTTTGATGAAATTTTCTTTTCATCCTCTGATAGTTAGACAAAATCGCGTAAAAGCAGAAACAAGGGATGGTATTTTTAATATAGGTGGAATTTATAGTGAATCAACGAAAATTCAGTATTAGTGTCGTTTACCCCCCATAATTCTTATTACTCCAAATTTAAAAATTTTTATCAAAATCTTATCTATTTTATTTTTCCCTCAAAAAGTGCTCTCCTCAAAGGCTACTTCCCCGATTCAATCCAACAACCATCAACATCAGAATCTTCATCAGAAGAAGACAATATTTCAATACCTCAAATTCAACAACATCAAAATTTTAATTCTAATAATTGTGGACAGTCAAGGAATAATCATAAAAATTATAAACGGCCTCTTCCTTATAAAGCGGCAAACAAAGTTAAAAAACTGAGTGAGTTGAGAATTTATTTTAAAAAGTATGCTTTTGAAACATGCTTCTGATTTCTTAAAAATGCTTCTGATTTTATGAAGCATGTTCTGATTTTCACAAATATTGCTTCTGAAGCATGCTTCAGGTTTTGTGAAGCATGCTTCTGATTTTTGGAAACATGTTTCTAGTATTTTAAAAGTTGCTTCTGATATTTAAAATGTTTCTGTTTTGCTTAGGCATGTTTCTTCTTTCAAAATTATTTTTTATTTTCTTGCATGGATTTTTTAATTTTCTGCCAAGTCTCTTTAGGTCATATTGACATGGAAAATCGTCAATGTGTAAATTGTGGAGTCACCCAAACCCCTTTATGGCGACGTGATCATACACATGGGCATCACTTATGTAATGCTTGTGGCCTCTATCAACGAATGAATGGGGGACAGAATAGGCCGCTTGAGAAGCCTAAGAAACGGCAGGTGAGGAAATTTAAGAGTCAAAATAAGTAAAAATAAGCATTATTTAAAATAAAAATCAGAATTTCTTAAAAAATCAGAATCTTCAAGAAAAATCAGAATTTTTCTAAGATCAGAATTTTAAGTGAAATCAGAATTTTTAAAAACACAGAAAATAAATAAAAATCAGAATTATTTTTAAAAACACATTAACACTTAAAATCAGAATTATTTAAAATTAATAAAACACAAAAATCAGAATTTCTCGAAAATACAAAAACCAGAAAAAGTTTATTTAAACTTTGTATTTCTCGTTATTTATTTAAAACTTGAAAGCATTTTCTGCCTCATTGGCTACAGTTTATAGACGGTCATACGACACTTGCAGATATGACATTTGCAGACCCGACATTTGCAGACGACTTTTGCAGATCGACATTTGCAGATACCGACACTTGCAGATATGACACTTGCAGATCAGACATTTGCAGATCCGACTTTTGCAGATATTAATTTTTTAAAAAAATTAAAAAATCAAAGGATATAGTATAGTATACCGGTGGAAAGGTTTTGATATAAGACCCATACAAATTTGTCTCGACGAGCTGAGTCGAACGGCACCACTCTTTTTTCCGGAAATTCTCTTTTTTCATGAGGTTCAACATGTTCAACGTAGACCTATGGAGCGTCGGCGAGGCGCTTGTGCAAAACCCCGCGCTTCGCGCGGGGTTTTGCGGCACGCGCCTCGCGGGGAGTCAACGGTCGCTGGGCTCTGGGCTCGTAACATGATCCTATTCCTATCATCGATGAGATGGGCATCCCAGGATTCCTCCAAAGCAGCAAACACTCCACGGTGTATAGGTAAGGTAAAGAAGCGAGAAAACGGGTCTGATCTGCAAAAGTCGGATCTGCAAATGTCTGATCTGCAAGTGTCATATCTGCAAGTGTCGGGATCTGCAAATGTCGGGTCTGCAAAAGTCGGGTCTGCAAGTGTCGGGTCTGCAAATGTCATATCTGCAAGTGTCGTGACACGTTATAGACAATTGTTGGGTATTTTGGGAAGGGCAAAAATAAATTTTTTGGGTATATTATTATACTATATTATAATATTTGTCGGTATAAACAAAAAAATTACGGAAGTTTTGGACAAGAAAAAAAGTTTTTTGAAGAGGGGGAGGAGGGGGGATGAGTGATGACTTAAAGAGGAAAAAGCGACGGCTTAGATCTTTTTTTCTGTTAATTGTTTTGTGGGAAAACGCGGGTATTTTTAGAGATTTTGATCATCAAGTCTTTTAAAGGACACACCACCAACAACAAAAAAAAACAATTTTTCTGTGATCTGATAAATATAAATAAAAATATAGGCGGTAAAAGCGTTTAAAACAAAGGAGAATAAATAATAAATTTGTGTTTTTGAAAAAATACAGTTAAAGAATAAAAAATACAAAAATTAAATAAAATACATTTTTGCCTAAAAATAAAACACAAATTAAAATTCTGATTCGTTTTAATTTGTGTTTTCTCGAAATTCTGATTTTATAAAGTTGTGTTTTTAATAAATAAATATTCTGGTATTTGTGTTTTAACAAAAACACTGGTTTTTCTAAAATTCTGATTTTTTTTAATTTGTGTTTTCACAAAATTCTGATTTTAATGTTTTATAAAGTTGTTTGTTTTTAATAAAAACAAATATTCTGATTTCTGTTTTTTAACTAAACAAACAGAATAAATTAAAAACATGTTGTTTTTCTAAAATTCTGATTTTAACTAAAACACGTTTTTCTGAAATTCTGATTTTAATTAAACAAGTTTTTATAATATTCTGATTTTAATTAAAACATGTTTTTCTAAAATTCTGATTTTTAAAATAAAAATTCTGATTTAAAATAAACTTTATTTTAGACAACCCAGAAAAGGACAGGAATTATCTGCTCAAACTGTAGGACAGAGCAAACAACACTTTGGCGACGGAATGTTCGTCAAGAGCCTGTTTGTAATGCTTGTGGACTTTATTATAAATTACACAATGTAAGAAAATTTTAATTAAAAAAAATTTAAAAAATATTTTTAAGCAACACCGACCTATAAATATGAAAAAAGATCAAATACAGTCAAGAAATAGAAAATTAGGAAGTAAATCAAAAAAATTAGCAGCAATGTCTTTAAATAATATTGAAGAATATAAACAACAACAAGTAACTGAAAATGGAATATTAGAACCTAAATGCGAGCAATCAGAATCAGAATTTTCTAATAATAATGTGAGTGTTTTGTTTTATGTTTTTAATTAAATTCTGATTTGTGTTTTAACTGAGATTCTGATTTGTTTTATTGAAATTCTGATTTTGTTTTAATTAAATTCTGATTATGTTTTAATTAAATTCTGGTTTTTGTTTTAATGAGATTCTGATTTTGTTTTAATTAAATTCTGATTTTGTTTTAATTAAATTCTGGTTTTTGTTTTAATTAAATTCTGGTTTTTGTTTTAATTAAATTTTAGTGTTTAACTGAAATTCTGATTATTAACAACTAAAATTCTGATTTGTTTTTTAGTTAACTTGTTTGTTTTATTCAAATTCTGATTTTTAATTTGAATTAAATTATGTGTTGTTTTTTTGTTTGTTGTAATTAAATTCTGATTTGTTTGTTTTTATTAAATTCTGTTTTGTATTTTTAATTAGAATGTTTTGTGTTTTACTAAAATTCTGATTTGTATTTTCTAATGTATTTTTTCTTTTACATTTTAGCTTGGACATATCACTTCTGGAAACACCCCACCTCTATTAATTAAAGATGCCCACAATATTAGCAACAATTCTGACGGAATAAATACATTAATAGATTCACAACCTTCAATTGTTCCATTTTCTGATAATCAACAACAACAACCTCCACAACTTTTCTGTTCAAATTCAATTAATATTCATCATCATTATCACCACCATTCTCCCTCTGCCTTTCAACAGTTTGCAACAGCTGCGCTTTCTTCTGCTACTGGGCAAGTAAGGAGGGGGGAATTTTTTGAAAAAAAATCAGAATTTTCGAAAAAAAAATTTCAGAAATTTTTAAAAAAGTTTTCAGAATTTTTTAAAAATTTTTTTTCTTAGACAGCATTTTTCCCAACTCCAAATTGTGTTGTAAATCCACAATTAACAACAACAAATATTTGTCCAATAACAACTACAGATGTTGGGAATTTTTTGCTTAAAAATGATAAAGCTACGAATAGTGGGATTTGGTGAAAATTTTGTAGAGACTTTTCCTTTTATAAAAAAATTTTTTTGACTTGCCAAATAATTTGTATTTTCTTGCCAAAATATATAGGTAAATATTTCTATCATTTATTTTCATTAAAGTACAGTCGGGCCTCTCATTATAAAAATAGGTACTTCTTTAGGTGGGGTTAAAAAATTGTTGTATTCAAAAGGGTATAATTTGAAAGTGAAGGTAGGCTAGGAGGATAGAGTGAAATCGAACCGTATTTAAATTTTGTAGCTAAAAATTAAATTAGAGGTCCGACTGTACTAGAGACTGAGACTGGACTTGAAAGAGACTTCGAGATCGAAAACTTGGAAATTTTGAAAAATTTTAAAAACACAAATCTCGGTCTCTCATAAAGACTCTCCCTTATTTAAAAAAAAAAAATTATTAGGACATCTTAAGGAGAAGGTTAACCCCCCTAGTATTTAATAAAACATGTTCACAAACTCTCTTCCCTCATTTGAATTCAATTTTATTTTAATGGTGCCATTGTTGTAATTATAAAAGAAAATTTATAGACACCCCACATTTATAAAATAGTCGAAACCCATTATAAAATATCCCCTCAGGGCAGAAAAAAATTTTTTTTACCTTATAATGAGGTGTTTATTATATAGAGGGTATCGCTTATATAGAATGTTTGTTATATAGAGGTATTGTCTCAACAAAGAACGTCTCCTAAATAGAGGTGTAGGTATTATTAGGGGTATTTTACAGTGAGGTTTCGATTCTATTTTAATTTCCCTCTTAAATTTAATTTATATTTCTCTTGTGATTTTTTAGGTTAAAAATCATTTTTAAATATCCTTCCCTAATTTTTGACTTTTCATATTTCAATTAATTTTTGAAAAAAATTCTTTTTCACAATTTTTGACAAATGTATAAATTATTTTTGATAGAATAAAAATTAAATTTTATAAATTTTTATTAAATTTTGAAAAACAAATGTTTAGCATCTAGCTGGATTCGAACCTTTCTGACTTCACCTCAGAAAATCAAGAATTTACCCACTTAACCATAAATTCACAACAATCAGAAAATCAACAGAAAATTAAATTTTTTTTTAATTTGAAAAAATTTCCAAAATTTTTTAGAAAATAAAAATTTAATTTTTAATAGTTTCTAATCCTTCTTGCCTTCTCCAATTTCGCTCCTAAAAATTAAAAAAATAAAAACAAAAATTTAAAAATTATAATTTTGCGGACTAGACAAAAACACAGGGAATTGAAATTCAGTCGATATTGATAATATTGATGAATGATATCTTTATGACCGACATATCAGTATCAGTCCGATTTTTAATAAAAAACCTCATCATACCACAATTTGACACTCATTTTAAAAACTTGCGGACAAAAGATTTTTGCGGACAAAACTTGCGGACAAAAAAATTTTTTGCGGACAAAACTTGCGGACAAAAAATTTCTTGCGGATAAAGATAAAGAAAAAAATTAAACTTTTTTGCAGACAAAACTTGCGGACAAAAAATTTCTCACAGATAAAATATTGAATAGTATTTACCTCACGAGAATATCTTCTTTTCCTTATTATTTTATTTGTCATAGCTTGAGTAATTAATTTATTACTACCAGTATCATTGTCTCTTCCTTGTTGTTTTTGTTGGTAATACTGATTTCTTTGATTTTTTACTTGTTGTGATTGACTCTTTTTAATTAAATTATTTTTTTGTAAATTTAAATTAATTAATGCTTCTTTGACTAACTTGAGAAAAAAAATTTTTTTAATTAAAATTTTTTTTTCAAAATTAGAAAAATTTTTTTCTTACATTTAAATTGTCTGTTCTCCTTGCTTTTATTTTTGCAAAATTTTCAGGGCTATTTTCTGTTGAATTTTTCCAGGGACTTGGGAGAGCATACAAATCCTTTAAAAATTTTTGTAAAAATTAATAATAAATAAAATTTTTTGCAATTTAGAAAAAAATTTTTTTTTGCGGACAAAAAAATTTTTTGCGGACACAATTTGCGGACAAAAGATTTTTTGCGGATTCCTCATCCTCTCAAAATTTCTTCTAACAAAAAAATTTAAAAAAAAACCTGTATTCTCAAATTAGGCACTCTATTATCTATAGCCCAATCCCAACTTGAACTACGTCCAGAAATTATAACTCTCAATAATTCAATAAAAGTTGAAGGAGGCATAAATGTTGGTGGACGGAAACTTTTAAAAATTTATTTAAGTAAAATTTAAAATAAAAAAAATTACCCCAAATATTTTTCTAAAGGAAGTCTGTAAACTTGAATTTGATCATGTGGAGCATAAAAACTTTAAAAGAAAAAAATTAAAAATTTGCGGACAAAAAAATTTTTGCGGACAAAAAAATTTTTTGCGGACAAAAATTTTTTTGCGGACAGAATAAATTATTTTGCGGATAAAATATCCCTAAAAATATTTTTAAACTAAAAACATAAATAAAAACCCAAAAAAAATTTTTTGAGACTGATGGATTCGAACCTTAACTACCTTTCCCTACCTGCTAGACACCAAAACTAACAATTATCCAACTACACCACAACTTTAATAAAAAATAAAAACTAGAGATCGGCTCGATACGATTTTTCATCGATAATTATCGATATTTTTCGATATTTTTTTTCGATATTATCGAAAAAATATCGACCGACAAAATTTTGACTTTTTCGATATTTTTCGGTATTCGATATTTTTTCGATATTTATCGAAAAATATCGACCGACAAAATTTAAAAATCGAAACAATCGACCGACCAAATTACAAAAAATCGAAAAAATATCGAACGTCATTTTTGACAAAAATTTGGATTTTTGGCGCCAAAAAGGATGCATTTTTGCTTCTTGCTCATCAGAAATTCAAAAAATTTTCGCCTGCGGCGCAAGAAAGGAGGAAGGTTTCTTCTATATTCACGATTTAGTTTGCCAAAGCGAGACGAGAGTGTGATAATATACAGTGATGTCAAAGTTCCAGTTCCAGTTCCGGAACTAATTAGTTCTAGTTCCAGAACTAGAACTACGGAACTAGTAAAGCCTGGTTGGATATTTTTCGAATCCAACTTAATCCCAGTGAATCCCCCGATATCCCCCTTCATCCACTATTGATCCGAAAATGGAAATATTATATAACTAACAAAGGATTAAGTGGATAAAATGGATCTCGAGGGATCAAGACGACTTGGGAGAGCTAGATATCAAAACGGATATTAAATCCAAGATTTTTTATCCTCTGATATATCGTTATCCCCCGATATCCCTCTTAATACACAAATCCCTTGATATCCCTCCTTATCTCATAAATCCACAATATCACACTTACTACCTCTAAATTTCTCGATACACAATCAGCCCTTCAATATCCCCCTTAATTCCTTAAAATCCATTATCCCTGGTTAAAATCCACTTATATCCCACTTGATCCTTTGATATCAAATACAAGTCCATTGATATTACATTTAATACTTCCAAATCCACCAATATCCCATTTAATCAATCTTAATCTCATTAGACTACTAGGTCTATTCTGTTATTCATTGGTTATAGAAAAATTTTTGAAAAATCGAAAAATATCGAGACTTTTTTTTCGATATTTTTCGGTTTCGATATTTTTCGATATTTATCGAAAAAATATCGACCGAGAAAATTTTGATTTTTTCGATATTTTTCGATATTCGATATTTTTCGATATTTATCGAAAAATATCGACCGACCTCTTCGGCCGATCTCTAATAAAAACTTAAAGGCACAATTACTTTGGCCGTTGTCTTGGATTGTGTCTATCTTCTAAAGGTGATAATACAAAAGCCTTAAATCTTTCTTTAATAATTTGAGGATCATCAGGCAAATATTGTGTTGCACTGCTGCTTATATAGGCAATTTCTTCTGAAAATTAATTTAAGAAAAATTGTATTTTTTTTAATTTCACCAAAAATTTTTTAAAAAATTCTAAAAATTCCCACGGAATTTTGAAAAATTCTCACAGAAATTCTCAAGGCCTAAAAATAAAATTTTTTACAAAAATTTTATTTGTGCAACAGAAAAACATCATCTTAAAACAGGGCTCGGATCGACAAAATGCCACTCAAAAGTATCAAAATCTTGTAAAAAAAGTACATAGGGAGAAAATTTGCTAATAAAAAGTACGCTCCAAAAATTTCGGGTACGGGTTTCGAGTTAAGCGAAAAATTCTTGTTATTTTCTGGTCATTTGGGTGATATAGAGAGAGGCAAATTTGAAGAGATTAAAAAGAAATTGCGGGATTTGGGGACTAAGAGGGATATCTTGGTATAATTCCACTATATACTAATATCCCTCCGCCTTATCTTTATTAAAATCTCCAATTTCCTCCCGTTTTCAGCGCCGCAGGCAAAAATTTTGTGAATTTACGAGACCAAGAAGCCAGATTTCTTCCATTTTTTGCGCCGCAGGCGAAAATTTTGAGAATTTTGGAGGTCCTTAAGCCAGATTTCTTCCATTTTTTGCGCCGCAGGCGAAAATTTTGAGAATTTTGGAGGTCCTTAAGCCAGATTTCTTCGTTTTTTCAAAAATGTTGATAAAAAAGTACATACTTTCAAAAAAGTACAAATTCAATTTCTTAAGTATGGAGGTCGATAAAAAAGTACAATACTTTTAAAAAAGTACGAATCCGAGCCCTGTCTTAAAACCAATTGGGATCGAACCCTCAACCCACCATAATAAAATTCAAGCACTAACCAACTACACCAACACCGACTTAATTAAATTTCGAAACTTTTACCACAAATATTTTTATAAAAATTAAAACCTTTTTTAATTCCATCTCTTTTACAAACATCCAAAATATTTTTTGTAGTAATTTCCGGTATAAAAGGATGAGGTTCATATTTATAAATATTTTCTTTAACATTAGAATTTGTCTAAAAATTAAATTAAAAAAGTTTTTTTATAAATTTAAAAAATTAAAAATTTGCGGACAAATTTTGCGGACAAAATTTGCGGATGGCAAAAACAAAAAAATTTTATGTGGACAAAATTTATGAACAAAAATAAATTAAAAAAAATTTTTTTTTTTGCTCAACAAACCTCCCCACTCCTCTCTTCTCCCTCCTCTCTATCCAAAAAATCATTCAATTTTGAATATAAATTTGCATTAATAATTTCTGGAGGAATATCCAATTCATATTTATTTAGCATTGTTGGGGGTCCAAATAAAAAGTGTAAATGTCTTTAAAAATTAAAAAAAAATTTTTTTAATTAAAGAAGAAACTTTTTTAAAGCATATCCAACAGATTCACTTGAAAAAAATTAACGATGGAAATAGGCATTGGATAATCACTTAACATATTGTAATCGTGCACTTGTTGGATTCGACTAAAAAAATATAGAAAAATAAAATTTTGAAATTTAGTGAAGAAAAAAATTTTTTTTTAATTTTTACAAAAAATATCCTAAAATTAAAAAAATTTTCAGGTTAAAAAATTAAATATAAGTTTCTGCAAAAAATGTCCGCAAATTTTGTCCGCAAAAATTTAGATAACCCAAATTTAATAAGAATTGTTAATATTAGTTGGTTATTTTAAAAAATGAAAAAAAATAAAAAATTGAATGAATTTTAATGTGAAACTTAATTTAAAAAAATTTGTTGAAGAAAAAATTGCGGACAAAACTTGCGGATTTTTAATAGAAAGAGGCCTAATAACCTAAATATTCAGAATCATCTAAAAAAATTTTTAAAATTATTAGATGATTTTTAAATGATTTTTTGAAGGGGAAAAAAGATAATTAATAAATATCCGCAAAAAAGTTGCGTACGAAAAAATTTTTTTTAATTTAAAGTAAACAAACGAAATTGCAGTATTCAAAAATTTAACATGTAACTGATAAACTTTTCTACAGTCAATAATAATTTTAGGAATAAATTCATTTAAAGAAGCATTTTGGCAACAACGGGATCCATAAATAAGAGAAACTTTATCTAAATTTATAAAAAAAATTTTTTTGCGGACAATTTTTGCGGACACTCCCCCAAATTTCACTTTGGTCTGCCTTTGCCTGCCTGACTTTTTCATAGGCAAAAAGGATTAAAATAGGAGGATATACTTTTATATTAGGTCTTTTTTGATTTAATTGAAAGGCCAGACCAAATGGAATAGGAAGAAAAGTCCGCAAAATTTGTTCGCAAGTACGGGAAATTGACGCAAATTTTTAAAAACCCCTCAAAACAACCAAAAATTTATTTTAAAAAATTAAAAAAAAATACCAATAAATTTTCTAGCATGAAAATATTCATCACCAAATAGCCTGTAAAATTCACTACCATAAACCATCGACCCATTTTCAAAAAGTTGATTTTTAATTTTTAAATCCTTTGAAAATTATTGTAAAAAAGAGAAAAATTAAAATAAACCTCATAATAATTATTTCGAATTTCAGTCATTTTTTGCTCACCCTGCTGAATTAAAAAAGACTTATTGTTAAATTTAAAAAAATGTAAAAATCAGCAAAAAAGAAGAGGGGGGAACTTTATTAAAAAATATAATTTTAGGGACTTTCTTTTAGTTCAATAAATTATTGAATTGATCAAAACTAGGGTTGGGGGCCCGATCCGAAAGATCCCGTCGGGCATTGAATTTTGGCCCGAAAAAGACTCGGTCAGGCCGGCCCGACTTGAAAACACCAACCCTAATCAGGACAGAAGTTTGAGGATAAAATTTTTCTATTTTTTCGCTATTAAACACTCATTTCATAACTTTTCAAGTCTACAATATCAACAAAAAAAATATCAACAAAAAAATCGCAAAAAAAAAGTCCGCAAGAATTTCCGCAAATATTTTTCAGCAAAAATACATGCTTATTCCTTGTTTGCTCCCATAGAAAAAATTTGTCCTGCAAAAAAGACGATTGGAAACATTACTTCCCTAAACCCAGACTTCCTCCTCTCTTAAAAATCTCCAAAAATCTTTATTCGAACCTTTATAACCACTTCATTATTCGAAAGATGAAACAAAAATTCTTCCTTTTCCTCCAAACTGGTAGCATCCATCAATTTCTGCCAATTATCATCAGTTAAATGGGTTGGTAAATGTTGAGAAAATTTGTAGAAAATCTTCAAATTTGTGATTAAAATTAATTTTAAATTTAAAAGGAAACCTCAATTTCACCAATTAAATCAGATATTCGCTGCTTTGGAAATTTTTTGATAAATTCTTCGCTAGGATAAGTCACAATTGGGGGATTTTTTGGTGGTGTTATTGTTGTTGCAGTAGTTCCAGCAATTGAAGAACATAAACGAATGGAACGAGACAAATAACGATATTTGAGCATTTTCTTTTATAAATTTCTAGCAAGAAATAAAAAAACTAAAAGGCGAATAAATATTCAAAAGAAAAAGTCTTTTTGGCGTTAGAATAATTTTTTGGCGTTGTGTTTAATGTGTCAGTTGAGTCTCAAATTCTAAAATTATTTTTTAGGAAAGCGTTCTGTTGAATTTACTTTTTGTTTTTTGACTTTTGTTTTTGTAGGGCTGTAGGTGTGACCTTCAACATTTTAGATATATCAACGGGTCTTCTATAAAAAATTTTTTGGGATAAATTGTCATCAATTTTTTTTATTAATTTCTGCTATAAAATTTTATTTTTTTTCAGTTCTTTATTTCCAATCTCCAAATAAAATTTAAAAAATGACAACTGAACAATTAATCAAGATTGCCTCTGACAGTGAACAGGAAGAGAAGCCACAAGAATTCTTTGCGGTGACGCCACTTAAGACGTGTCCACATTTGGGACAAATTGCGGTATTTTTGAAATTTTGGTTAGGGGATTTTTGAGGGTATCCACTTACTTTAGATAAGTCACCCACTTTAGGATACCCAATAGCGACTGAAAATTCGTTTCGGGACGTTTCTTGAATTGTTTGTATCGATCAAAGCGCCCTCCACTGACTGGCATTATTTAAATGTGTCTTAAACTGAGTGAAGTATTCGATTCAATGGTAGCTTATAGCTAGGCCCGACTTTAAGAACAACTCTGGGATTCTTCAAAATAACGATTTTTACCATTAATTTTAAATTTATAGGATAGCAAATTGCCTTCTGATGGACTCAACACTAAAGCTGCTTGCAACAAGTGTTCTAATACTGGCGAGAATTGGGTGTGTCTTAAATGTTTTGAGGTTTATTTTTAAAATTTTTATTTTTTTAAGTTAGCTTAGGCACTTAAGAGAGGCTCTCTCACTTGGAGGCTAGTTTTCTGCAAAATTATTTTTGTCCGCAAATTTTGTCCGCAAAAATAAATTTTGCTTTTTTTTTGTTGATTTGACCGAAATTTTCTTTTTATTTTTCCCTTCATTTACTAAATTTGTTTTTTAAAAGATCTATTGCTCTCGTTATGTTGAGGGACACGCTTTGGGTCACACCGAAGAGACAAAACATCCACTGGCTCTAAGCTTTGCTGACTTTTCTGTTTGGTGTTATCCGTGCAACTCTTATATTGACAATAAAGTGTTTGATGAGGCTAAGGAAGCGGCTATTAAATCTAAATTTGGAGGAAAGACTGAAGGTTGATAGGAGAGAAGATTTTTAAAGAGGAAAATGTGGAGATGTTTTATGGAGGTTATATTTAAATATTTAATTTATTTTTGACACAAAAAAATTTTTTAAGCATTTTTTAAAGCTTTTTATTGCCCGTTAAACGATTTTTCACGACCGCTGAGAAATTTATTTAAGTTTTTCGATTACTCCAAATTCCAAACTCCTATATTTTTGGTCCAAATACATAATTTTTCTGCTGAAATTTTTTTAAAATAAAATCGGTCATGAATAGTCTTATTATATACATATTTATTAATGGAAGCAATGGGGGAAACTCGAATTATATACCAAATTAAAGACAGATTTTAAAAAGAGGAAATAAAAAATTTAAAAACCATTTAAAACAGTTATGTTTACTACAGATATTCTAATTCGAGTTCCATCATTTCCCCAAAGTTTTGGGAGCCAGGGATGGGGGATTATGTTTGAAATCTCCGGACTTTTCCAACTCGAACCCGATTTAAAGAAAAAATTTTTTAATTCGCTCTGAACTCTGTTTTATTTTTTGGAAAAATTCTAGACCCGTTTTGAAATAGAGACCAGATCTATACGATATATCGATGGAAAATATCGTTATATTATCGAACGATATTTTTACCAACGTACCGCGAGGCCGACGTACCGCAAAGTTATAACTTCGTTCAAAATGGTCGAATCTGGAACGCCCTGATATGGTTCAATTCAGCTCGTCGAGATGCATCGAACCACACCAAGGCGTGCCGGATACGACTATTTTTAACGAAGTTTTAGCTTTGCGATACATTGGGCTCGTGGTACATTGACCTGCTCCCCGATACTGATATTATTGAACGACCACTAAAAGTCCGATCTCTACTTTGAACTCTGTTTTTATTTTTAAACACCCCCCTAATCCATCCCTGTTTTTGGACATTCTTTTAAAATATTTTATTTTAAATAAAAAGAAAATGAGGCATAAATAAATTAAAAAATAAATTTAAAAAAATTCTAAAAATTGGAAACTCGTTCAAATTCTTCTCTTCTTTCAATAAAAGGAGGCGAAGTCAGTCTTCTTGTATTCCTCCAATTTTCTTTAGATTTACTATTTTCCTCAATAATTTGTAAATCTCTCGTACAAACATTATAACCTAATGACAGTGTAATTACAATTAAAATAATCCCAAAAATTAAACAAATTCCAAACAATCCTTTAAATAAGGTTAATTCATTCCGAACACTTCCCTCTTCTGGTGGAAATGTTGTTGTCATATAATTGACTAGCTATTGAGTAAAAAATTATTTTTTTCATTTTTTATAGTGAAGTTTTATGAAGGTCTAAACTCTTTAAGATATCTCTAGTTGGCAGTAGGGTTGTTTCCCACGGGGGGGGGGCACGGGGAAAATTTTCAGCGCCACGGGGGGGGGGGGGGACGGGGACGGGGGAAAATTTTTTACGGGGAAATTTCGGGAAAAAAATCTCTCAAATTCCCCGATTTCGGGGATGGGGAACAACCTTACTTGGCAGTCCCGTAACCAGGATTTTTTTCGAGGGGGGGGGGAGCAAGGGGGGAAAATTTTGATTTTAAGCGCAGTGGGCGAAAAAAAATTTTCACCTTTTTGCTCAATTCCTCCCCAAATTTTTTCCTTTTCCCCATTTCGGGTGGGGGTTCTAGAACCTCACCCCTTTAAGGTTCTTAGAAAAATATTTTTTAAATAAATATAAAAAATATATTTACAGCAGGCAAGTAATTATTCCAAAAAGCAACTTCTTCAAAACGATAATCTTTTTTTAAAATGCCTGGGGAATGAAGACTTTGGCCACTAGAATAATTAAATTGAAGAAACCAATGAGCTCTAGGTTGATGGGCTAACCAACTTCCATCTAATGGCAAATTTGGATCTCTAAAAAAATAAAAAAAAATTTTTTTGCCTTAAGAATTGCCCAAAATCCTTAACAATTTTTCTCAGGGTAGAGGTTTGCGGTTCAGCCCCAAAGTCATATTTTGGTCCATAACTTTTTTGATTCCTAACCGATTTAGGTAATTATTGTATCAATCAAAAGCTCTGAATATGCGGATTATTTTACCTACCAGGATTGATTTGATCAGATCATTCTACTTCAAGTTATAGCCAAATAAAGCTCAAAAATCACGATTGCGACCACTTAATCAAATGTAACTTTTTGTAAGAAGATCCGATCAGATCATTCCTGTTAGCTAAAATAATCTACACATTCAGAGCTTTTGATTGATACAAAAATTACCTAAATCGGTCAAGTTTGAAAAAAGATATGACCAAAAATACGGCCCAGGACGGAGACATTCTCTGCCCAAAAGACGTCCTCCTACCCTCCTTCCTCTCATTTTTAAATTTAATTAAAAAACGAACGAGTATTTAACAAATTGTCGAATAAAAGAAGAAAACAATTGACTAGCATTTTTATCAACGTGTAACCATTCAACAGAAGCAAGTTGAGGGGGAAGTAAATGTTGAGGCATAAAAGGGAAGCCAAATAAAAGGTACAAGTCACACTCATGGCAACTTCCTTTTAATTAAAAAAGAATTTTTTTTTGAAATATTCTTCATTCTATACCAGTCCAAGAAGGAAATAAAGGTGAAGGTAATACCCCCAAAGCTTCTCTCTGAGCAGAAAAATTGTAAGAATTAACATACATCCAAGTTCTCGAGCCACTTTCGGAGTGTAAATGGGCTGATTGAGAAATTGGTTGGACATAGAAGGTATCGGTTATTAATTCAATAAAACGTTGTCTAATATTCCAAACATCTGAAGGATCTGGCCAATAAGTATAAAATGATTCTATTGCTTCGATTATTGCCTTGAATTTAATTATGAGTTAGAGGGGATTTTGGGGGAATTTCTGATTGTGGGGGGACAGAATGTATTTTTTGTATTTTTCCAGAATTTTTGTATTTTCTAAGTTTATTTGAAATTCTGGTTTGTTTTAATTAAATTCTGATTTGTTTTAATGAAATTCTGGTTTGTTTTAATGAAATTCTGATGTTTAACAACTAAAATTCTGATTTATTTGTTTTGTGTTTTTACAAAATTCTGATGTGTTTTTATTGTTACAAGTGTTTGTTTTATTGAAATTCTGATTTTTTAAAACCAGAATTTATTTTTAAAAACAAAGTTTGGATGTTTTTTTTTCGAAATTCTGATTTAAAATAAATAATCAGAATTTTTGAAAACACTTAGATTTAATAAGGGAAAATACAAAAAATACAAGTACCTCTCTATTCATTGTGTAATTGTGTCTGAAGGCATATTCAGTTATCCAACTTCTCATGTATAAGTGGGTTATTTGAAGGAAATCGGTGAATTCACCTTTGAATTTTTAAAAAATAATTTTCTAATTAAAATTACCCAAAGTCCTATCCTCTAAAATAGCTTCAATTCCATCTTCTTTATTTAATCCAGTTAAATACGGCACAGTAAAAGGGTTGGATAAACCATTTTTAACATTATTTAATAGCCATAAAGGGTGGGCTGTTAATTCTTTCCCGTCAACAGTAGGCAAAAATAAATAACGGTTAAATTCAATCTGTGAAAAATACAAAAATGTGTTTTAGAAAAATGTATTTTATTTTAAAAAATACAGGAATTGAGGGAACTGATGTAGGAGATACAGCCTGTACAATATCGTCTGTTGAGCGAGTTAAAATACAACTCCAAACTTCGCTAGCAACAGGATGAACACATCCTAGATAACGGCCAAGTTTTATTGTGTTGTTAAAAGCTAGAAATGAAGAAAATATAAAAATCAGAATTATTACAAAACACAAAGCAAAATTTTTGAGAAAACACAAAAATCAGAATTTTTGAGAAAATGCAAAAATCAGAATTTTTGAGAAAACACAAAAATCAGAATTTTTGAGAAAACACAAAAATCAGAATTTTTGAGAAAACACAAAAATCAGAATTTTTGAGAAAACACAAAAATCAGAATTATTATAAAATACAAAATCAGAATTATTATAAAACACAAAAATCAGAATTTTTAAGAAAATACAAAAATCAGAATTCTGATTTGCTTACGAAAAACAAAAAAAAACAAAAGGAATATTAAGAAAAAACACAGGAATATTAAACAAAGTAAAACACATATTCTGATAACTAAAATTAAACAGAACTTGCCCAATGCAGGCTTCCCAATAGTAGAATGATAAGAAACTTCTGCCCCAGACATTGCTACAACACTACGGAATAAATCCAAAAAATAAATATTTTTTTAACTTTATTTAAATTTAATTTTACTTCTAGACAAAGGACTTAGCATATGAATACCAGCACTTACGGCACCAGAATCATGTCCAACTTTAAAAAAATCAGAAATATTTTCAGAACAAATCAGAAATTTTTTTTCTGATTCTGATTTGAAATTAGAATTATTTTCAAAAAATCAGAATTTTTTTTTCTGATTCTGATTTGAAATTAGAATTATTAAAAAAAATCAGAATTTTTTTCTGATTCTGATTTGAAATTAGAATTATTTTCAAAAAAATCAGAATTATTTTCAGAATTATTTTCTGATTATACTGATTTAAACATCAGAATAAAATCTCTTTTGAAAAATACTCCAACACACACCTATAGTAACAGCATTAGGATCACCCCCAAAACCATAAATGTGTTGTCTAACCCAATTTAAAGCTGCCCGTTGGTCTTGAAGTCCATAATTACCTCTTTCATCACCCAAACTCATAAAACCTTTAAATAAAATTTTTTCCAGAATTTTTTAAATTAAAAAACCGAAAGGCCCCAATCTATAATTAACATTAACTACAACAATCCCGCGAGAAGCTAAAACATGACCAGGCCAATCTTAACAAAAAATCAGAATTTATTTTTAAAAATCAGAATTTTTAAAACCATTAGCTGATCCTGTCTGAAAGTTCCCACCATGAAAGAAAACTATGGTGGGTAAAGCATTTTCTGCTGTGGAGGAGAATTTCTGAAAAAATTTTGAAAAATCAGAATTTGTATTTTTAAGAAATCAGAATTGTAATTATTTATTGCAATTGTCAAGTTTATTTTAAAATTCTGATATTTTATTCTGATATATAAATTAATAAAGTTTTACAACTTGTTTTTACAATTGTTTAAAACTTGTTTTACAAATTGTAATTTTATCGAGTTTTAGAAAAATCAGAATTTGTATTCTTTGAAAATCAGAATTTAATTTTTAGAAATAAGAATTTTAATTAAAATCAGAATTTGTAATTTTAAAAATCAGAATTTAATTTTTACAAATCAGAATCTAAATCAGAATTTGTAATTTTAAAAATCAGAATTTTTAAAAATCAGAATTTTTTAAAAACCAGAATTTAGTCTTTACAAATCAGAATTTTTAAATCAGAATTTAATTTTTATAAAACAGAATTTTAATTAAAATCAGAATTTATTTTTAAAAAAAACCAACCAAAGCAGGAGTATATATATTTAAATATAAGCAATCTTCACTTGATTGATAAGGATATGGAGAATTAACAAATAATGTTGGTCTAGTCTCCACATCTTGTGCACACACTGGGGGTAATGTAAAAGCAACAAAGGGGGAATCACCCGGCAAATCTTTTTTTAAATTGTTTAAATAAAAATTGGTGAAAGAACGAACGAATGAGTTGTTGAGGTGCCTTAAATTTTGAGGAGAATTAAAAAAAAATTTTTTTTGGAAGATCAGAATTGCTTTTTTTGAGAGTAAAATGATGAATTTAAAAATCAGAATTATGGTTTAAAAAAGGAATATAAATCAGAATTATCTTATAGTTGTGTAAACCAGAATTTTTTAAATCAGAATTTTTAGAATCGGAATCGTGTTCTGGTCTCAAAAATCAGAATTTTTAGAATCGGAATCGTGTTCTGGTCTCAAAATCAAAATTTTTAGAAATCAGAATTTTAAGAAATCAGAATTGTATTGTGGTCTTAAAGATCAGAATTTGTTTTAAAAAATCAGAATTTTTTAAAAAAAAATCAGAATTTTTTTGAAAAAATCAGAATCTTCTTATAAAAATCAGAATACAGGGGAACAAGAATATACCTACATAATAGCCAGAATTTTATATAAAATCAGAATTCTGATTGACCTAAATTAATTTAATAGTAGTATTTATTTTATTTTTACCTTAAATCGCCTTTCACCCAAAGGAGGCTCTGCATACGGGACACCAAGAAAAGTAAATATAGTAACATTGTTATTTAAAGGAAGTGGATTAGGTTCAGGTACATTCCTGTCAAGCGGAATTTGTTCATTAGGATCTTGAGTAGCCGTCCAGGGCAAATTTGGAATTATTATTTTTTGACCGACCAATTCTTTAAATATTTTAATTTTTTAAATTAAAAATAAAATTTTGAAAAGACAAAATTTTTTTTGAAAGTTGGGTATTTTTAACGAAAAATATGGGTGACATTTATTTAACAAAAAATAGTAACTGGCTATTAAATCAAAAATTTTCGATTTTAAAAAATTTTTAAGTAGAAGCAAAAATTTTTTTGAGAAAGATAGAGTCAGAAAAAAATTTTTTTTTAATAATTAAAAAAATAAAAACCACCTCCAATAGATAATCGAACGATTACTTCCTCTCTACTGTGTTTCTTTTAAAATTATTTTTAAATTTATTTTAAAAAACAGCCTACCAGTCCAACCCTTTTTGTAGTGGACGTACTTAAATAATTTTTACAAATTAAAAAAAATTTAAATTAACCCAAATAAATCCCACAAATCAACATTTCTAGTAGGCGGTTCAATAATTTGGGAATTAATTAAGGAAATAAATAAAATAAAAATAATGACCATTTACAAGTCTAAAAGGGGGTATAAATTTAGCCTTAATGGGAAAATTTATTTAAATAATTTTTAAATTAAAAAATAATTTTATAATTATTTTTGACCGAAAATGGCCATCTAGCATTGCTTATTGAATCAATGAGGAAATAAATGAATATATTTTAGGCAAAAAATAAGGCAAATACGAGAGTGAAAGGAGTAAAAAATATATAAGGTAAATACATAAATATTTATTTAACCTCCTTTCAAGAGTAAAAACAGAAGTTTTCTTATAGAAAAAGTTTAAAATATACATATACCAGAATATAAAATATTTGAATTAAAAAATAAATTAATAATTAATTAAATATTACAAAAAATAAAATTCTGGTTTATTAATTTTAATTTTCACTTAGAAATTGTAAAAATCAGAAATTGTAAAAATCAGAAAACTTGTTTTAAAATTTGTAAAAATATTATTTACAATTTTATTTAAAAATAAAACTTGTTTTACAATTATTACAACTTGTTCAGCAGCATTTTACAATTTGTAATTTAACAAACTTGGAGTTTTTTAAAACTTTATTTAAGAAAACTTGTTTTACAAATATTAAAACTTGGTTTAAAATTTGTGATTTTTTTCTTTAAATTGTAGAAAATATTTGTAGACACGTGTTACCTTAAAAATTTTTAAAAATTTTTTCTTGTTTTCTCTTATTATTTATTTTTACCAAATAATATTTATTTCTCTTTTTTTTAGTTTGCCTACCCCCACTCTCGACCATTTCCCGAGAATTGATTTTCTCTCCTTTTTTCCTCTCTACTAAAACAAATCAATTTATTTTTGTGAATCATGCAAATAAAAATTATTATTTTTTGTTAAATAAAATTATATATTTTTTTATCTCCTACATACTTTTGTTTATTTTATTAGTCATCTTTTTAAATTAAAAAAATTTTTTTTATTATTTTTGTAGTTTAATATTTTTTACAATTTGTAAAATTCTGATTTTCCAAATTTTACAATTTCTGATTTTCTTAATTTCCAACTTGTTTTCGAGTTTATAAGTTTTACAATAATTAATTACAACTTTGTTTAAAAATAAAACATGTTTTACAATTATTACAACTTGTTCAGCAGCATTTTACAATTTGTAATTAATTAAGTTTTACAATTTAAGTAATTTGTAAAATTCTGATTTTATTAATTCTCCAAGTTTATTTTCAAGTTTTACAATTTGTATTTTCTTTTTCAAGTTTCAAGTTTTATTTTTACAATTTGTAAATTCAAACTTTATTTTTTCAAGTTTCAAGTTAAAGTTTTTACAATTTGTATTTTCTTTCCCACATTAAAAACATGTGAAGAAACAAGTTTTTCTAATTAATTAATATCGATAAAAAACATTATTATTTGGAAGTGTACATCGATTTTATTTATTCCCCCGTTCTTTATTCTTCCAAATATGCATGTATTTCTTCTCAGCATTATTTTTTTCATGTTCATCTTTTATTTAAAATTAAAAATTATCCTAAAATTATTTTTACAATTTTCTGATTTTTACAATCCTTCTCTAAAAACACTTGATTTATTATATATATCAAGTTTATTTTCAAGTTTTACAATTTGTAATTATTATTACAATCCAACAAAAACTTGGAAAGAAACTACAAATTGTAAAAACTTTAACTTAAAACTTGAAAAAATAAAGTTTGAATTTACAAATTGTAAAAATGAAACTTGAAACTTGTGGAAAAAATTACAAATTGTAAAACTTGAAAATAAACTTGATTTATTTACAATTATTACAATCCTACAAACTTTGTGTCTTAGTGAGTTAAAATACAATTCCTAGTGACTTCTAAATTGGGTATTTTAGGCAATTTATTTTTATCTGTTGTATAAACTACACACAAATTTTTTAATTTTAATTTGTATACCTAATCATAATTTTTGTTGAATTTTGTGACTGAAATTTGTTAATCTTTTTATTAATTTTACTGATAAAAAATTGTTTAAAGGGAAATTAATTTAATAATTTTTTATTTAAATAACCAAAAAATTTTTATTAAGAAATTATAACTTTTGAACAGAGGTGGGTTGAAGTTATGAAAAGGGAACAGGAACAGTCCGAGGTGTCGGAAATCGGAAGAGCCGGAAATCGGAACTGGCACAAAACTCGGAACTCGGAAATCAAAATTTTTTTCGGAAATCGGAAGGAAAAAACGCTGGAAATCGAAATTCCGAATTCCGACCAACCTCTGGTTCTGAACAAAATTTTTTTTCTTAAGAATAGAGACTTTTTTGGAAATAAAAAATTTTTATTTGTTCGTGCCTTAACAACGGTTAACGCGCCTCCCCCTCATTTTTATTTAAATTAAGCATATCAAAGAAACCAATACAATTGTAATAATGTTTTACTATGGAAACGAATATTTTTTTAAATTAAAAAAATGAATGATTGGCTTCTTATAACCAAAACTTTTCATTTTTACTTCCTTCATTTTCTCTTTTAATTTTTACAATTTGTAAAAGGCTGTCAAAATTGTTTTAGTTCCTTTAATTGTCATGTAATTTTAAGGGAGCAAGCCAACCTACCGCAGCACAACCTACCGCCAAGGCTATAACTTCTTTCAGAATTGTCGTATCCGAGACGCCTTGGTATGGTTCGTTACGCCTCGACGAGCTGAATCCAACCATACTAAGTTGTCTCAGATTCGACAATTTCGAACGAAATTATAGCCTCGGCGGTAGGTTGGGCCCGCTGTAGGTTGGGGTGTACTCTAATTTTTTGTGTTGAATTTATTTTTTTTTGAAAATTTTTTTAATTTTCTTTTCCTTAATTTTAATTTCAAAATATTTTTAAAAATTAAAAAAAAATTATTTTTTGTTGAAAATTTTTAATTTTTAAGATTTTCAGGCTCTAAAACAACTACATACCCTACTTTAGTAGTTTGCCTAGCTATTTTAATTTATTTGTATTCTTTTAAAAAAAATAATTTTAAAATTATTAAATATTTATTATTCTAAATTTATTCCATCATTTTTTAAATAAAATAATTATTTTTTGTTAATTAAATGTCTCAAGAAGCTTTTGGCAATGTTGAAGATTACCAGTCATCCAGTAGTGTTGTTGTTATTTCCCCTGAACCGGGGCCGTCTGGGGAAGCCTCCCCAAACTTGGAATTGGATACATCCTTAGCTGACACACAATTTATTGCTGCAACTCCCCCTACCCGTTTATCTTTTGGTTTTGGAACAGAACAATTAGCAATACAGAGGATATTTGCTTGTTGTGGAATTTTATTTATTATGGGCTGTTATTTGTTGCATATTGTCTCTATTGTTTATGGGTAAGGGAAAAACAAGTTTTTTATAAAAACAATTGTAAAACAAGTTGCAATTTCAAGTTTTATTAATTCTAATTTTATGAGTGGGGGGAAAACAAGTTTATTAAAACAAGTTGTAAAACAAGTTGCAATTTCAATTTTATAATTCTAATTTATGGGGAAGGGAAAAACAAGTTTATAAAAACAAGTTTATACAAACAAGTTGCAATTCCAAGTTTTATTAATTCATGTTTTATAAGTGAGGGGAACAAGTTTTTAAAAAAATTTTTAAAAACAAGTTGTAAAACATGCTGTAAAAACAAGTTGCAATTTCAAGTTTTATTAATTCTAATTTACTGGAAAGGAGAAACAAGTTTATAAAACAAGTTGCAACTATGTAAAACAAGTTGATAAAAGGTTGTAAAACATATTAAAAATTTCTCAAACTTGTTTTATTTAAAATTGTAAAATGTTTTTTGTTTAATTTTGTAATTGATGTTTTTATATTTTATTAATTTTCCCAGAAGACGTCGTTTACACAAAACTGGCTTATCTATCAATAGAGAGGAGGAAGAACAAGAGGACATCAGTCATGAAGCAAAACAAAAACAACAACAAAACAAACTTAACAAAATAAACTTGTCTTCCCAACTTCCCGGTGTTTCAATATTAAAACCTTTGGTTGGAATGGATGAAAATTTGGAAGAAAATTTGGAATCCTTTTTTCTTTTGGATTATCCACAGGCAAGGAAATTTTAGAAAAATTAAAAAAAATTTTTTTTTCCAGTTTGAATTGCTCTTTTGTTTGTATTCCCGTCAAGATCCAGCTTATGATTTAGCCCAGCGTCTCTGTGCAAAATACCCCAAAGTGGATACACGCATATTTATTGGAGGCCAACGAGTAGGATTAAATCCAAAAATAAATAATATGTTCCCTGGATATGTGGCTAGCAAGTAAGGAAATTAGAAGAAAAAATAGGGGATAAATAAAAATATTTTTTAGATATTCCCATTTATTGATAAGCGATCAAGGAATCTATATGCGTCAAAATGCTCTAACTGATATGGTTTTGTGTATGTTGGAAAGGACAGATATTGCATTAGTCACACAAACACCTTTTTGTAAAGATAGAAGTGGAATTTGGGCAGCACTCGAACAAGTAGTTTTCACAAAAACATGTTTTTAAAAATTTTAAGGGAATTGTAAAACAAGTTGAATTACTAAAACTTGTTTTTAATAAATAAACTTGTTTTATCGTCATAATAAATAAGTTTTAAAAACAATTGTAAAACAAGTTGTAAAGGTTGTAGAACTTGTTTGTAAAATCAAGTTTTATAAGCAACAACATGTTTTTAATAAATAAACTTGTTTTTCTGCAAACAAGTTTATTTAATAAAAACAAGTTTATTTAATAACTTGAAGAAAAACAAGTTTACATTAAAGTTGTAAAACATGTTTTTGTGAGAATTGTAAATTGTTTAAAAATATTATTAAGATTGTAAAAATCTTTTTAAAAACATTTGTAAAAACATTTTACAATTTTTAAAAAATAATCTAATATCTTTTCTTTTTTATGTCTACTTTGGCGGTGCCCATTCTCGTATATATCTAGCCAGTCATGCTTTCCGTTTTGTATGTTCAACAGGAATGAGTGCTTTAATGCTAAAAGATGTTTTGGAACAATGCGGAGGATTTAGACAATTTGGAGGATTTTTAGCCGAAGATTATTTTTTGGGACAAGCATTTGCTAGAGCGTTAGTGATATTTTTGATAATTGAAAAAAACTTTAATTTTAATTTAAGTGGATATCGAAATGTTATTTCTCATATGCCTGCACTACAAAATTCTGCAAATACCTCACTTTTTACTTTTCAAGAACGAATATGCCGGTGAGAACAATTTTTAATAATAAAACATTTCGAATGTAAAAAATAGAAGAAAACAAGTTTTTACAACGTGTTTAGAATTTGTAAGCTTAAGTTGTAAAAACAAGTTTAATAGCAAACTGTAAAACAAGTTTTAAAAACATTTATAAAACTTTTTTTTAAACAAGTTTTATAAATGTTTTTAAAACTTGTTTAAAAAAAAGTTTTATAAATGTTTTTAAAACTTGTTTAAAAAAAAGTTTTATAAATGTTTTTAAAACTTGTTTAAAAAAAAGTTTTATAAATGTTTTTAAAACTTGTTTAAAAACAAGTTTATAAACATGTTTTTAAAAACTTGCTTAAAAACAAGTTTTATAAATGTTTTTAAAACTTGTTTAAAAAAAAGTTTTATAAATGTTTTTAAAACTTGTTTAAAAAAAAGTTTTATAAATGTTTTTAAAACTTGTTTAAAAAAAAGTTTTATAAATGTTTTTAAAACTTGTTTAAAAAAAAGTTTTATAAATGTTTTTAAAACTTGTTTAAAAACAAGTTTATAAACATGTTTTTAAAAACTTGCTTAAAAACAAGTTTTATAAATGTTTTTAAAACTTGTTTAAAAAAAAGTTTTATAAATGTTTTTAAAACTTGTTTAAAAAAAAGTTTTATAAATGTTTTTAAAACTTGTTTAAAAAAAAGTTTTATAAATGTTTTTAAAACTTGTTTAAAAAAAAGTTTTATAAATGTTTTTAAAACTTGTTTAAAAAAAAGTTTTATAAATGTTTTTAAAACTTGTTTAAAAAAAAGTTTTATAAATGTTTTTAAAACTTGTTTAAAAAAAAGTTTTATAAATGTTTTTAGAACTTGTTTAAAAAAAAAGTTTTATAAATGTTTTTAAAACTTGTTTAAAAAAAAGTTTTATAAATGTTTTTAAAACTTGTTTAAAAAAAAGTTTTATAAATGTTTTTAGAACTTGTTTAAAAAAAAGTTTTATAAATGTTTTTAAAACTTGTTTAAAAAAAAGTTTTATAAATGTTTTTAAAACTTGTTTAAAAAAAAGTTTTATAAATGTTTTTAAAACTTGTTTAAAAAAAAGTTTTATAAATGTTTTTAAAACTTGTTTAAAAAAAGTTTTATAAATGTTTTTAGAACTTGTTTAAAAAAAAGTTTTATAAATGTTTTTAAAACTTGTTTAAAAAAAAGTTTTATAAACATGTTTTTAAAAACATGTTTATAAACAAGTTTTATAAATGTTTTTAAAACTTGTTTAAAAACAAGTTTATAAACATGTTTTTATAAACTTGCTTAAAAACAAGTTTTAAAATGAAACATGTTTACTATATGTTTGTAAAACATGTTGAAATGTTTTATAAAAATTATGATTAAATAAAATAAACTTTTTAATTAAATTGTAAAACAAGTTGTAATATTTTTAAAGCTATAATGTTTTTTTAATTCTAGTTGGATCAAACTCAGAATAGCAATGTTACCCCACACAATAATTCTTGAACCTGTTCAGGAATGCATTTTTGCTTCTTTTGTTGGCGCCCTATCTTTCGGGTATTTATTTGGACAACAAGCAATGTTTCCCTTTTTGGCATTTCATTTTATTTATTGGGCTACTTGTGATTTTATTTTAATTCGAACACTTCAAGTAAACAAAATTTTTTTATTAAAAAATTTCAAATTTTTTAGAATGGACAGTTACCCTTTTCAATTTCCCAATTTTTATTTTGTTGGATACTCCGTGAATTAATGGCTTTCCCAATTTTTGTAAAAGCCGTATTGAACCCTCACATTGGGTGGCGCTTTGGTACATATCAACTATGTTGGGGTGGAAGAATAAAACCGATGAAAGAAAATTAAAATTCCAAAAAATAGTTGGAAAACTGCCAACTAAAATTTAAAAAAAAACATTCCCCTTCATTTTCATGCTCATTTGTTATTTTTAATTAATTTTTCATATCATTTTAATTTTTTAAATTTCCCTAAAATCCAACTAAAGCATTGTATTCGTTTAATTTTCATATCCTAATTAACTAAATAAAATTACAACTTGTTTTACAATTGTTTTTTTTCAAGTTTACAATGTGTAAAAAGTTGCAACATTTTCAAACTTGAAGCAACACAAATTTTCCGGAAAAGAATATATTTCCTGAAGTGTACTCATATACTTTCCGGAAAAGTTTAAATGTTTACTCATTTCCGGAAAATACTATAGTTAACTAATATAAACAGTATATTCCGGAAAAGCATGTTTCCGGAAAACAAGAAAATAAAACTTATTTGAACAAGTTTATTAAATAAACTTTGATCTGAACAAGTTTATTTAAACAAAACTTTGTTCTAAACAAGTTTATTAAATAAACTTTGTTCTAAACTAGTTTATTTAAATAAACTTTGATCTGAACAAGTTTATTTAAACAAAACTTTGATCTGAACAAGTTTATTTAAACAAAACTTTGTTCTAAACATGTTTTATAAAATCCAACTTGTTTTACAAATGTTTCTTCAAGTTTACAATTTTTTAATATTTGCAACACTTTAAAACTTGAAGCAACATAATTTTGTTCAGAAAAATAAAACTTTGATCTAAACATGTTCGTAAAAACAAATAAAAACATTTACAATTTGTAATATTATTTTACAAATAGAAACTTTTTTAAATATTAATTACAATTGCTTATATTTTATATTTCTGCCAATAAAGTTTCCAAAACTTTATTCACTGGTTTATTATCAAAAGCTAAATTAATAAAGACTGCTTCAATTAATTTGGGGTCTGCTACCAATCTTAGAGTAGGTAAGAATAAAAGAATACGTCCAAAACGGGTAATTTGGGGGGAACGGCGCATTGATTGTTGCTGCAGGCCTAACTGAAAAAAATTTTTTTGAAATTTTTTTGAAATTTTTTCGAAATTTTAAAGTAAACGAACAATGGACTGGTCTTGTAATTGCTGCACTAATGCCGAATTCTCAATTCCTGGTAATTCTAAAAATTTAATAAAATTATAATTTGTAGGGTTCTTTACCCGGGCGATATAGTAAAACCCCTCTAAGCCATACAATTTCTGACTGATCCATTTCTAGTCGTTTAAAATTGTTTTGTAAGGCATTCAAAGCCTGCAGTAAACGAGGAGGTACAAACTTGGATGTTTCTTCAAAAAGCGTTGAGCTTTCAAAAGCAAAAAGGAGGAAAAGCTCCGCCCATGCGCCCTCCAATAAGGATAACTGAAAGGGGGAAAAATTAAAAATTACGTCGTCAATTCAAAATTTCCGGTCCAAAAAATTTTTTCTCTCAAAAAAATTTTTTCTCTCAAGAAAACTTGCCCTGTCATTCGCACAGATGTTATTAATAAATGAAGGCATTCCTTTAACCCATTTAATTAATAAAGTCATTATTCTAGCAGTTGTTTCACTAAATGCCAATCTTTCTTCAGTACTTGACTCTACTGAAGATATTAAACTTGAAAGATTATTTGGTTGGGGAGGGTAGATAAGTGGGTCTTTGTCATGAAGAAATAAAGGAGGATTTGAAGAACTGAACAAAAAATATTTTGAGGAGAAAATAATTTTTTGACCTTGCAAAATGTTGATTTTGATCTCTTGGTAAATGTACAAAGTCAACGGCTGAAGAAAGCACATTTGAACAATCCCTTTAAAAATAAACTTTATAGCAAGTAAAAATAAAACTAGCCTAAAAAAGTTTGCATGAGAATACAAAGTTTCAAAATCGGTAGGAGGCTGGATGGTTGCAGAATTACGAGGTTGGCGTTCGTTCTGGACGGCTAGAGAAGAAAAGACAGAATTACAATAGTATACATATAATTTCCGGAAAAGTATAGAGGTATGGGGTTTTCCGGAAGAGCATATATAATTTTCCGGAAAAGTATATAGGTATTGGTTTTCCGGAAAAGCATATAGGTATGGGTTTTCCGGAAAAGTATATAGCTATGGGTTTTCCGGAAAAGTATATAGCTATGGGTTTTCCGGAAAAGTATATAGCTATGGGTTTTCCGGAAAAGTATATAGCTATGGGTTTTCCGGAAAAGCATATATTTTATGAAGGGAATGTACTATAATCTTCCGGAAAAGTTTAAATATTTATACTCATTATCGGAAAATAAATTATATACCAGAAAATACTATTGTTATTCAACATAGATAATATATAATATATTCCGGAAAATTATGTTTCCGGAAAAGTTTGTATTTACGAAGATATTTTCTGGCGAGTATCTATATATTTCCAGCTTGCTTGTTTGTTTTCACTGACCGTCCTTATTCATTCCCTTTGCCAAACATTTTTTGAGACGACAAGCTTGACATTGGTTCCTATGAGCTTTGTCTACTACACATGTGCCTGTTCCAGCCTGACAGCGGTAAATAAGACGTCGTCGAACACTTCGCTTGAAAAAGCCTGAGCAGCCATTACAGGCTAAAATACCGTAATGGCGGCCTTAAAAACAACTTTTAATTGAAAATTTAAAGTCTCTACCGCTAGAAATATCCCCACAGACGGAGCATGTTAACGAGGCAGCGTCGATACATTTTGAGGTCTTTGGACTTGGACTAATTTGGGGGTCATCGATGGCCTCAATAGGTGAACAACTCCCTTCCGACTAGAAAGAATAATTTTAAATAAAATTTAAAAATTAACTGAAAGCTGTGCCACAGATTCGGAGGTTTTATTTATTAAAGAGGATGTTTGACTAAATTTTTAAAAAATTTTAATTTAATTTTGTTTAATTTATCAACTCGTTCGGTTGAGTATTTTGTTGTTGCTTGTTTTGCGGGTTTATAACGGCAGATGCTGCACTAATTACTGCCGCTAAATTACCCATAGGTGCTATAAAATATATAACAATTAAATATTCCATATAAATATTTCCGGAATTGTATTTTCCGGAAACTATAATATACAATTGTATTTTCCGGAAATTATAATACTTTCCGGAAACAATAATATTTTCCGGAAAACTATAATTTTGATGGGAATTTCCGAAAATACAGGAATACAACTATCCGGAAATACAGAAATATACTTTCCGGAGAACAATATATAATATTTATTTTTTCAGGAATTATACTTTCAGGAAACTATAATATGTATATTTCCGGAAGACTATTTTCTGAAAGTATAATCTTTACGAGAATAATAACTATCCGGAAACACATAAATATACTTTCCGGAAACAATATATAATATTTATATTTTCCGGAAATTATATTCTTTCCGGAATTATATTTTCCGGAAAACTAAACTCACAAGATTGTCCGTTTAGAGGCAATCCAGAAATAAAATTAGGTGGTTGGTGCAATCCATGAAGAAAATGTATTGGATGGCCATGTGGAAAAGAGTGTTGTGGAGGTAATAAAAAGGGTGGGAAGGGAGTGAATGGATGGTTCTTTAAGATGTTATTTAAGTCTCTCCAGCATTGTTGTCTTAAGTTTTTTTATGTAAACAAGTCTTGTACAAAATCTTAATTTATAATGCCGAGGAATAGGGTAAAGAACGATACAAGAACAAGTGGGAGTAGATTCCGAACACGAAGAACTGTTACGGAATCCAACCCTAACTTTAAAACATAAAGAAAAATCAAAATTTTTGGTCCGTTGAGTTTTTAAATCCGATTTTTCGAGTTCTCTCCTTTCTCTTTTCTCTCGTATATTTTCTTTTTTTATTGTTCTTGTGTTTATTATTTTTGAGTTTTTTATTTATTTTATTTTTAACACAAACACACAAGAAATAACATGGCCGACTGTTTTTTTCTTTGTTCTCATTCTCTCTTTTTTATCTCTTCTCTCCTATTTTTTCTTTTATTTTGTGGTAATTTCGTAATTTAAAAAATTGTTTTGCTTTTTTATTCTGGTTTTTTAATTCCGATTTTAGAAATTCTGATTTTTAAATTCTGATTTTTAAATTCTAATTTATCTACAGTTCAAGGTTGGTTTAGTTATATTCTGGTTTTCTGAATTCTGGTTTCATTCTGGTTTTTTTAAATTCTGGTTTTTTTTTGGTTTTTTTAATTCTGTCTAATAAAAATAATTTTTGTTTTGACTTTTTTCCCGATTAAAAATTTTTATGTTTTTTATTGTTCTACTGACATCCTTTGATACCTCTTTTGATTTCCCCGATTTTACAACGGTCAATGAAATTAATTGCCTCATAAGTTAATGATGGAAAAAGAAATATAAAGAAAAATCCAATTTTATTCTAATTACCTTCCATCTGCTTTTGTTCCATTTGGATTGGTTAAAAATGGAAATCCTCCAAAATTTTTTTGTTCTGTTTGAAAACGTTGAGAAGGTAAAGGGGGGAATAAGGAAGAGGAGCAAGTAGAGGATTGGGGAGGAGGAAGAGTTTTAGGGGATTCAGAGGACGAGTAAGAAGAGGAAGAAGATGATGATGTTATAGGCTTTTGCTTGATATCCTGAGTAAAATAATTTTTTTGAATTAATTGAACTAAATTTGATCACCTTAACATCTACTATATTTTGTTTCTCCTTTATTTCATTTTCTTCTAAAATTAAAAAAATGTTGGGAATTTTCTAATCAAAATGTTTCACCATTTAATAATTCTTCCTTTACAAAATCCAATTTAATTCTGTTTTCCTCCCCTCCTGCCAGAAATGTAGCGTTAAATGCTTGGGTATTGCGCGCTATGAATTTTAATTAAACGTTGAAAATTAAATTAATATTCCTACCCTTATCAGAATGACGTGAACGTCGAGTATTGGCGATTAAAGCAGAGAGTAATTTGCCTATAAAATAAATATATTTGCATGTTTCCGGAAATTTATACTATTTTTGTTTATTGAAGTATATGTATTTTTATGTCTTTTCCGGAATTTTCCGGAATATTTTAGAAAATTGACTGAACATTTTTCCGGAAATATAATTTCTTTCCGGAAATTTCCGGAAAATTATTTTCCACCAAACTAATGTATTTTCGTATTTGTTTATAAATGTTTCCGGAAATATTCAAATATACTTATGTGCTTTCCGGAATATACTAAATAAAGTTTTTCCGGAATATTTTCCTCCGGAAATATCATCTAATATATTTTCGTATTTTTCGGGAAAGTGTTTTCCGGAAGTATATTTTTCATCAAACAAAAAATAGAGGTTTTAATTTACCTTTGCTTGGTTTATGATTTAATTTTCCACCGTTTAAAGGATGAAATTTAATTTTATTATCCTCAACGGAGTTGATATCATTGTTGGTCGATGAAAGCAACCGAAAAATATTTTGGCAGTCAGGAGGAGGTGATGATTTTGTAATAATGGGAGATGATGTGTTTTTCATTTTAGTAGGAATATTTGGAATTTTAAGTAAGCTAATTGTATAAGAATAAGCTTTCCGGAAATAAAGTTTGATATAAAACAAACTTTTCCGGAAAGAAAATAATTTCATTGTTGTGTATTTATTTCCGGAAATAAATTAAAATATATACCTATTTGAGGAGATGTGTATACTAAAAAGTAGTGTTTTCCGGAAGGCTTTCCTTTTACTTTGAGGCTTTTCCTGAAATTCTCTTTAGCATGCTTTCCGGAAAAGACATACCAGGAATGTCACGGGTTACTCGAAACCCGATAACTGGACTTTTTTGACCCGAAACCCAACCAGAGAAATTTTCCAAAAAACTGACACTACTTTTTTTCCTCAGTCTCGTGATATCACTGATACATACTAAAATAAATATATATAATACAGTATAATATTTAAATAAATTTATTGTTTTATGCGGCAAATACCAAAACATGAATTAAAGAAAAATGAGAAAAAATTTTTTTCTTTCCGCCAAATGATTTTTTCGTCTTTTACAGTATAACAAATGAAAAAGCCAAAAGGTTGGTCTTGTGTGGCCGCCTCCTCATTTTTCCTTTTTTTTACTTTCTGGGCCCTATTTCAATTGTCCACAGATTCTGCGGTCTGCGTTCTGTGCACAGACCACAGAACCACAGAAATTCTGTTTCAATTATTCCACAGATTCTGCGGAAAAAGAAGTCCGCAGATTCTGTGGAAACATGCACAGAATCTGTGGAAACATCCACAGATTCTGCAAAACATCCAAAAACATGCAAAAACCACAGAATTCTATTTCAATTATTTTTCTGTGCACAGAAAAAAATCCACAGATCTGTGGCTTTTTTAGTCGATTCTGTGCATTTCTGTTTCAATTATTTCTGTGGTCTGCGGAAAATACACAGAATTCTTTAAAAAATCCACCCTAAAATTTTTTCTGCGAACTTTCTGTGGAAAAACTTTAACAATTTTTTTCTAGGCCTAGGCTTAACCAAATTTCAAAATTTTTAAAGATTATTAAAGTTTGAATCATTCTCTATTTTTTGATATAAAAATTATAATTTTATTACCTAAAATTATTGCTTAAAATTAATTTTGAAAAAGGTACATCTTTTTTACGCAGTTTTTGTTATATTCAAGCAATAAAAAAATAAAAAACGTGAGAGATTCTGAAATTTAGAGCTATGATGTTCTAATCATCATGGATATCTCTAATGAGGGGATGTTTACCAGGATCTATAGAATATATCTGTATAGCGTATACTGGGATATCTCCCATGATCTCTCATTGATATCCGTCATAATCTCTCCTCCTATTTAATGATAGATTTCCTCCTTAATCACTCCAATATATTAAACCTCAAAATCAATGGATATCCCACTTAATCACTCCTCTACGATTTTAAAGTTCCGATTTGACTATAATTTTGGATTCCAGGCATTTTCGATTTCCAGGAACCTCAATTTCTGACTAAACAATCCCCAAACATTTCCCTCCCTTGCAACAACTTCTATCGTAGTTTGAAAAAGCCACATGTCGGATCGACATCTCCTGATTTTTCCGATCCGAACCCTGCTTTAGGACATTAATTTAATTGGAGATTTAAGGATATTGGATGAACAAGAAAATTAAGCGGTATATCAGCGGTTTTAAAGTGATATCAAAGAGATTTAAAGGGATGTTATGTGATTTGGAGGGAAAATTTTTAAATCTTTACAATATTTTTCAGTTTAATTTAAGAATTTTTAAAGTTTTACTTCAAAAAATCAGGTACCATTAATACTGCGGTAGTACCGAACTGTCCAAACCATTTTTCGTTTCAATAAAACTGTTATTTTCAAAAACGCGGAAATAAAAAATTTGAATTTAGAAGAAAAAATACACAGAACCACAGAAAAATAATTGAAATACAAATTCTGTGGATCAGTGGAAAAAATCCACAGATTTTTATATTTTCCACAGAAATTTTCATCCACAGAATCTGCGGAATGTTTCCACAGAATCATTGGATGTTTCCGCAGAATCTGCGGGCACCACAGATTCTGTGCACACAGAATTTAATTGAAACAGAATTTCCACAGAATCTGTGTTCTGTGCACAGAATGCAGAATCTGTGGACAATTGAAATAGGCCCCTGGCTGTGACAGGCCAAACATTGGCTTTTGTTACTATTGCTTCCTAAGCTTTGGGGGCAGATGGCAATGAATAAAAATTGAATTAAATGAAATGGAATTCTTTTAAGGAAAGAAAAAAGAGCGCGGCTCTTCACTTTACCGATTAATTTTGTTTTGGCTTTTGGGAGGGGAAATGAAAAGATGGAGAAGGGAAGTTGGTGGTATAATAATTGGTTAATCCAGAATATCAAAATAATAAAGAATTAACTTTTATACCTTTTCCGGAAATAAAATATAGAACCGGAAAGCCTTTAAGACTTTTTGAATTCCGGAAAAGACTGTATTTATAGCTAGTGTATACCTTCCGGAAAATACACAAATAAATAAACTTCTATTTTCCGGAAATGTCAATTGTTATTCTGCTATGCTTTTCCGGAAATAGAATATTAAACAGGAAGGTTCCGGAAAAATTCCGGAAAAGAAATTCATATTCCGGAAAATACACAAGTAAATAAAATTTAATTTCCGGAAATATAGACTACAGGAATACGGACAGTAATACATCTACGGAAGGAAGACAAATAATCAACCAACATTTTGCAGATTTCAATTCTATTTTAAAAACCTTTTAAAATGTTTTTAAATTATTAGGCTATTAAATATTCCCTGATTTTCCATTTTTTGACTTACTAGAGTTTATTTATAACAATTAAAAGATTAAAAAAATTCTGGGTGGTCTTCTTACTTAATTGCAAATGTGGATTTTCCGGAATATAAAATAGACTAAAAATAGGTTGAATTACAAACAAAAATAATATTTTTTAAAAATAAAAATATTTTTTATCCAACCACACAAACACTTTTTTTTGACTAAAATAGAAAAAATTTTCATTTTCCTGCCAACGTGTTTTCTCAAAAATTTTGCCATTTTCGGTAATTTTGTTAAAGTCATTTTGTCAGTTTTCTAAAGTTGTTTGGCACATTACTTTTTTACAAATATATATTTTCAATTTTTATAAAAAAATTCCCAAAGGAAAATATACCCCCGAAAAGGCAATTAACCGGCAATGGCCAGTCATCATCTCACAAAACTCACACAAACACCGGTTCCGGCGATGAAGCATGCCTAATCCGATTTTGAAAGTTGAAGCAATAAAAGAAAATTCAAAGAGGAAGGAAAAAGTTGGAGGGGGTAAAAAGCAGACAGGGAAGAGAGACCTAGCAATAATGTGTGGCTTTTAAGGCAGAAAGCAATTGAGCAGAAGTGTTTCGTTTCTCAAGGCATTAATCCAATATAAAATTAAGTTAATTTTGGTGGATGTCTTTTTTTTTAAAGTGACAAAGGTGAAAGTAAAATATATATTTTTTTGGATTACTGTGGAAACTGAAGCAAAAATATTAGGAAATTTAGGCAATAAGATAGTAAATTTATATATTGTCGGAAGTAGCGATACTCAGTCAATCTTGGTTCTGTGTAGACCCTTAGGGATGAGAAAAAGTATCAGTAAACCTGGGGTGTATGTGAAATTGGAATTGAAGGCTTACCCTACCAAAGAGGCCAATCAGCTTTAAAAATTATACGTCAAATAGAGAGTGTCGTAAATTGTGAGTACCAGAGGCGAATCGAAATTCTGATTTCCGGCGTTTTATCCTTCCGATTTCCGAAAATTTAGGCTGATTTCCGACTTCCGCAGTTCCGACTTTTGAGCCATTTTCAATTTCCGACAGTTCCGATACCCGCCACATTTTTCATTTCCGACACCTCTGATGAGTACGTATGTCGAGATCCGACATTGATAATATTATTAAATAAATTTGCAATAAATAAATTCTATAAAAATTAGAAAAAAAATTTTATATGGATATTATATTAAATAAATTGACTGGAACGCCTACAAAAAATTATCGAGGAAAGTCTCCATTCATTTATAAAAAATACCGACATTCTTGCAAAAAACTTAAGTTTTATTTAATTTTGTAAAACTTTAATCTACCGAAACTTTATTTGCTTGCAAAACATAAAACTTAAAAGTAAATTGTAATTGTAAAAAAAACTTTCCGGAAATGTTTTATTAAAATTCTGATTTTAATTTCTGCTTTTAAGTTCCGGATTTGTAAATAAATTTACAAAACCTGTTTAATTCTGATTTTAATTCCGGAAATAAAATCAGAATTTAATTAATTAAAATCAGAATTCCTGAAGAAATTAAAAATCAGAATTTAATTAATTAAAAATCAGAATTCCTGAAGAAATTAAAAATCAGAATTTAATTAATTAAAAATCAGAATTCCTGAAGAAATTAAAAATCAGAATTTAATAAATTAAAAATCAGAATTTAATTAATTAAAAATCAGAATTTAATAAATTAAAAATCAGAATTTAATTAATTAAAAATCAGAATTTAATTAATTAAAAATCAGAATTTAATTAATTAAAAATCAGAATTTAATTAATTAAAAATCAGAATTTAATTAATTAAAAATCAGAATTTAATTAATTAAAAATCAGAATTTAATTAATTAAAAATCAGAATTTAATTAATTAAAAATCAGAATTTAATTAATTAAAAATCAGAATTTAATTAATTAAAAATCAGAATTTAATTAATTAAAAATCAGAATTTAATTAATTAAAAATCAGAATTTAATTAATTAAAAATCAGAATTTAATTAATTAAAAATCAGAATTTAATTAATTAAAAATCAGAATTTAATTAATTAAAAATCAGAATTTAATTAATTAAAAATCAGAATTTAATTAATTAAAAATCAGAATTTAATTAAAACTTTCCGGAAGGTCTTATTTTATTCCGGAATTTCTATTGTTTAATAGTTTACGACCGGAAAAAGTACACAATAAATTGTAGCGCTTCCGGAAAAATCCGGAAAACTACATAAAATAACAAAAATTAAGGGGGAATCATAAAATAATATTTAATAGCTAATATTTTGCCCTATTTCAGGACAAACAAATATGAAATTGAGAGCCATTTTACCTTGCTGTATTATTTGTATTATTAAAAGACAAGCAATGTTTTAGAGGAAAATGGAAGCAAAACATAAAAATATTAAAAGCGTGCCATCAAAATTATTTATTTAGATTTTTAGTGTATTTTTAAAATATTATCCTGGAAATTAGGAAAGGTTTAAAATGAAGGGCAGTGAATAAAACCTTTCCGGAAAAGTTTTATTAAATTTCTGAAATAACTATAATGTCTTTATTTCCGGAAGAAATTAAAATCAGAATTTGATTAGTTTCCGGAAAGACTTTTTCCTATATATATAAAAAGTTTTCCGGAAAAAATTTATGGAAGTTTCTCTATTTGTGTTCCAGAAACTTTTATATATATTCCGGAAACTTTTATATATATTCCGGAAACATTAATATATATTCCGGAAACCTTTATATATTCCGGAAGCTTTTTATATATATTCCGGAAACTTTTTATATGTTTTCCGGAAGCTTTTTATATATATATATATATTCCGGAAACATTTATATATATTCCGGAAACATTAATATATATTCCGGAAACCTTTATATATTCCGGAAGCTTTTTATATATATTCCGGAAACTTTTATATGTTTTCCGGAAGCTTTTTATATATATATATATTCCGGAAACATTTATATATATTCCGGAAACATTAATATATATTCCGGAAACCTTTATATATTCCGGAAGCTTTTTATATATATTCCGGAAACTTTTTATATATATTCCGGAAACCTTTATATATTCCGGAAGCTTTTTATATATATTCCGGAAACCTTTATATATTCCGTAAGCTTTTTATATATATTCCGGAAACTTTTTATATGTTTTCCGGAAGCTTTATATATATATATATATTCCGGAAACATTTATATATATTCCGGAAACATTAATATATATTCCGGAAACCTTTATATATTCCGGAAGCTTTTTATATATATTCCGGAAACTTTTTATATATATTCCGGAAACCTTTATATATTCCGGAAGCTTTTTATATATATTCCGGAAACCTTTATATATTCCGGAAGCTTTTTATATATATTCCGGAAACTTTTTATATGTTTTCCGGAAGCTTTATATATATATATATATTCCGGAAACATTTATATTTATTTATAATATCTTTTTCCTGAAAAGTTTTATTAAATTCTGATTTTTAATCGCTTCCGGAAATACTCAAAACAATAATACTTCATATTATTCCATTCCGGAATGTTTGGAGCTTTAAAAAATCTACACAAGAATGTTTCAATTTAATTTCAATTTTTTCTGTTTATTCCAGCCAAATTGCCAAAACAAGAAACCCTAAAAACATTGAGATTCAATTCGTCAATTTATGGCTCTAAATAATGCTTGTTTTTGTGTGTGACATTACTAATTAATTTAATTCCCGGCGGTAACCAATATATATGAATATATCTGTTCTTTTGTTAAAAGCCGCATTGCCTTTTTATTTTAAGGTTATGACAAGAAAAAGCAAATTAGATTTTTGGAAATTGAGAAAAGATGTGTAAAAAGATGATGACAAATAATTAAAGGAATTAAAAAGAGACAAGAATTGTGTCAAATAATAAATTGTAAAAAATCAGAATTTATAAAATTTCTGATTATTAAAAATTAAATTCTGATTATAAAAATTCTGATTTTTAAAAATTAAATTCTGATTATAAAAATTCTGATTTTTAAAAATTAAATTCTGATTTTAAAAATTCTGATTTTTAAAAATTAAATTCTGATTTTAAAAAAATTCTGATTTTAGAAAATTCTGATTTTTAAAATTAAATTCTGATTTTTAATAATACAAATTCTGATTTTTCCAGAACTTGATAAAATTACAATTTGTAAAACAAGTTTCGAACAATTGTAAAAATTCAAGTTGGAATAGAATTGTTTTTAGAAAATTGTAAAATTTGTAAAACAACTTTAACAAATATTCGAGTTAGAAAAACTTGTTTCGAAACAAATTGTAAAACTTGTTTTAATTTATATATCAGAATAAAATATCAGAATTTATGAAATAAAATTCTGATTTACAAGCAATTTGGGTTAGCTCATATCCGAGTTTTTTTTGTTGGACGTTAAAGACTGTTTTCCCATGCTGATCAAAAACGGGAAACTTTTGTTATGTTTCTTCGACTTCTTGGATATAGCAAGGAGGACAACATGTCTCTCTCCTGGATATATGGCTCTCCACTGCTGATTGACGCCATCCTCCAAATTAACTATAAAAGCCCCAAATTTTTAAACTTTTTATCACCTACAAAATTCACCAGCGTTTTGCTCTGCTCACTCATCATGTCTGGTTTCGAGCGCTGTTCTTCTTCTCCGCTGCTGATTGGCGCCATTCTTCTCTTCAACCTTGCAGTTGCTGATGGGAATGCTGTGGACAACACCGACGACGATGTGAAGATCATGAAGGTTTTCTTCGGCTGGATCAGTCCGGGGGCTGTCACGAGCAATGTACGCAATCTTGTTCTCGTGATAATAGGAATCTTGGCCCTAATTGCGTGCCTCTGCTTCCTGGTTAGTCCAAGAAACCTTCCAAAAAAATTATTTTTTTTCCTTCAATTCCAAGGTCTATTGCTTTGTCTGCGGTGGCAACGACAACAAAAAGGTCGACGCCAAAAGCAACGAGAAGTCGTCAAAGAAGAGCGGCACCGACTTGGAATCGGGACTCGTATCGGACGCGGATTCAAAGACGGCTGAAAAATCAGACATAAAGTCTGAAGCTGATAAATCGGACAAGAAGGATGACAAGAAGGAGGACAACAACAAAAAGTCCGATAAGAAGGATGACAAGAAGTCTGAGAAGGAGCATACGGCTAAGAGCAAAAGCAGCAGTAGTAGCAGTTCGGAAGGAAAGAAGAAGAAGAGCAAGAAAGGAAAGAAGGGCAAGGACGATAAGAAGAAGGACAAAAAGGGTGGAAGCGGCAAGGATAAGGATGAGAAGGATGGTAAGGATGGTACAGCTAGCGACATTTACAGCACTGAGGAGTCAAAGGAGACCTCGGAAGAGGATTGAATACGACGACAAATTGGTAAGGGAAAAAATTTTTTTTTCTCAAAAAAAATTTTTTTTCTCTGAAAATTAAAAAAAAATTTTTTCAGGAAATCCTGTGCTCGCTTAGGATGCTGCTCCTTGCAACCGAACATTGAAATAATTTGCTCCTTGTTGTGATTTGCCTCTTAGCCGCCCCTCACTTGTATGTATATATTGTTGTCATCAATTCCATAAATATTGTCATATAATAATTCACACTTTCGATTCCCTAAATTTCTTATGTTCAATGTTCTTGCCTTGTTATATTTTCCTTGTCATTTTAAATGATGTTTTTGATTCATGTAATATAAAACTTGTGTCTTGGTTTTGGATTTTTTTCTTTTTAGGGTGAGTAGTTAAGGATAGGTGTTAAGTAGTTGATTAGGGTAGTTGAGGAAAGGGTAATTTCCTAAAAATTCATTAACTCTCTAAACTAGCGTGTAAAGCCTTTAAAATAATTACAAAACAAGACTAATTGTCCCAGTAAAATAGGGCACTCGAGAAAATTCCGGAAAGGATATGTAAATTCCGGAAGACTAATACAAGTTGAAACTTAAAAAAAGTTTTCAAGTTTAAGCTTAAAAAAGTTTATTTAATTCAAGTTTGTAATAAACTTAGCAAAACTTATTTAAGTTTGTAAAAATTATTTTTCTACGTAAACACCTTCTAGACTATATTCATTTCAAAATTCATAACTTTTCGAATCCTCTAGATAAAAATTTGATCTTTTTACCATTTTATAGCTCCAAATCTCTTCTTTCTTTTGTCATAAAAATTATGAAAAGATTAAGTCGAATTTTGAGTTTTCACGAAAAATTTGAAAACAAAATTAAATTTTACTGTAATATTTTTGTTGTCATGGTAACAAAAATAATAAATTATGCTTAAAAATATCCCTTTAAAAATTATTTTTTTAACTAAAAATGGCAGCAGAAATACATATAATCGGTCAGATTGAATCTGCTTATGGTTTTGGAGATAATCGAGTAGCTTGTCGTTGGAGTTTGCATTGTGGTAAGTTTAAACAAAAAAATTTCTTAGACCAAAAAATTCAGAAAAAAATTCAGAAAAAAATTCAGAAAAAAATTTTTTAATTAAAAAAGGAGGTGGTTGGAGAGTAATAGAAGGAGAAGTAGAAGGGCAAACACATACCGACTTGCCGGAAAGTGAACGTGCTTACTTTGCTCATCCTATAGATGTACACCTTGCTACTAGAACAATTCAAGGAAAATTTAAATTAAAATTAAAAAAAATTTTTTTCCCTTAAAGGCTGGCCGAGAATACTCGTAGAAGTGTGGCATTATGATAAATACGGGCGTCATTCAATTTCTGGTTATGGAAATTGTTTTGTGCCAAGTTCGCCTGGAGAGCATAAAGTAGAGTGTCATTGTTGGAGACCTAAGGGAAATTTTAGGGAAGAATTGACTCGGAGTTTTATTGGAGGGGGATTGCAGCTACGCTCAGCTAATATTCTTTTAGGTATTTAATAAAATAAATTTATTAAAATAAATTTATTAAAAATATTAAATCGTTCACCTTTCGTATAATTTATGTAGGTAAATATAAAATTATAGTATAAACCTCAATTTAACAGTAATTAGAGAAAAATAATAAACTTTCCGGAAAGAACTAGCATTCAAATTCCGGAAAGTAGATAAATTCCGGAAGACTAATACAAGTTGCAACTTAAAAAAGTTTTCAAGTTTAAGCTTAAAAAAGTTTTCAAGTTTAAGCTTAAAAAAAGTTTATTTAATTCAAGTTAGTAATAAACTTAGCAAAACTTATTCAAGTTGGAAAAATTATTTCTCTACCTAAAAACATGCTAGACTATATTCCTTTAAAAATCTATAACTTTTCGAATCCGTTAGATAAAAATACGATCTTTTTAACATTTTATAGCCTTAAATCTCTTCTTTCTTTTGGCATAGAAATTAAGAAATAATTAATATTAGAAAATTTATAGCCTCTTAAAAACATTAAAATATTCATTAATTTAGACCCTGTTCAAAGCGCTCAGGTCTGTAAAAAAATAAAATCAGTTAAAAGCAATTTTTAAAGTTGAGAACGGTTGCTGCCGGGACAGTTGAAATGAGACTGGGAATTATTACTAGACACCTTGACAAGTTCGGAATTTTATGTTAAAAATGAACAAACAAAAATTGTAAAAACATTTTATTCTAAAAACAAGCAATAATATTGTTTTAATAAAATAATGTGTATAATTGAAAGAGACGAAAGGAAGAATCAGTGAAATAAAAAAATAATATATAGATAATAATATTAAATATATAATTGTAAAATGTTTAGTTAATTTTGGAAAATACGGGAAGTTTGTTTTACACAAACAAAAGGAAAAAAACATTTTGCAAAACATTTTACAAATAATAAACTTGAAAACAAACTTTGTTGCAAACATAGGAAAAACACGTCAGAAAAATAAACTTTAAAATAAACTTAGTTAGAAAAACAAACTTTGTTGCAAAAACAAGTTTATTTAAAAACAAGTTTATTTTAAAAACAAAGTTTGTTGTAAAAATACAATTGTAAAAACAAAGAGAAACAACAAACTTTAAAATAAACTTAATTGTAAAAACAAAGTTGTTTCACAAACAAAGTTTATTTTAAAAACAAAGTTTAGATACAATTGTAAAATAAACTTTGTTTTGTAAAATTTACAATTGTAAAAACAGAGAAAAATAAAGTTTAAAACAAACACTTAAAATAAACTACTATATATTTATTCCAAAATTAACTAGTAAATTTCTCTAAAACACCAAACATATTCTCTTTCTTAATAATATCAGTTTTAATAAAATATAAATTCAAAATTCAATTTGTTTCATTATTCAATTTTTGTTGCTGTTGTTCTTCAACAGTAATAACATCAACCTCTTCATTATTTTCTTCTCTATCCCCATTAATTTCCAAAGTTTGTTCAATTCCATTATTCTGTTCTGTTGAAAAATTTGTAGCTGCCGGAGAATCGTTGCTGCGGGAATTTTGTGGTTTGGATTGGAGTTGGGCAAATTGGTGGAAAGACGCAAATGTGGAAGAATTACATTCGAAAATGACCTTAAAATTAAAAATATTTTTTAGTTAATTAAAAATTCTTTACTTGTTGAATTCTCATTTTAGCCAATTCTTTAATATGCAGAGGCATTAAACGCAACTAGAAAAAAATATTTTTTAAGAGGAAAGTCGGAGTAAGACTATTACTTGAGCAGCTACTGATTGCCCAAACCAAGTAGAATCATCTTGCGAAACAAACAAAGCTGTCTGATTCTGTGCTGCTGAGAGAGTAAAAAATTGAGAAGATGCAGGAATAATAATGCTGTTATTGTTATTATTGTTGTTTTCAATAGAAGCGGAATCACGAGGATATTCTACCTAAAAATTTTTAACGCTTAATTTATTTTCTGTTTAATATTCTGTCCGGAAAAATATATAAAATAATTATAGTTAATTCCTTCCGGAAAGTTTTTACAAATTCTGATTTTATTATTTCCGGAAAATAAAAATCAGAATTCTATAGATCATTTCCGGAAAAGGTATATAATATTCCGGAAAAATATATAAACTTTCCGGAAAAGTATATAATTTTTCCGGAAAAATATATAAAACTTTCCGGAAAGGTATATAATATTCCGGAAAAATATATACAACTTTCCGGAAAGGTATATTAATTTCCGGAAAAATATATAAAACTTTCCGGAAAGTATATAATATTCCGGAAAAATATATACAACTTTCCGGAAAGGTATATACAACTTTCCGGAAGGGTATATAATTTTATCCTTACGGAAAAAGAAATTCCGGTTATATTATTTCCGGAAAAAGGTTATTACTACATATACCTATTCTAATAATTATATATTTTTCCGGAAAGTATTATTTTTATTTATATAGAATTCTGATATTATTTCTTCCGGAAAGGTTTTTACAAATCCTGGTCTTATCATTTCCGGAAAAACGTTATATTAATTTATATTCTCACAGCAACATTTTCCACAATTTGTGTACCCACTTGTTGTTGTTCCTCCTCCTGAAAAGCTTCAGAATTATTTTGTTGTTGAATATCCTCCACATTATTTTTATTATTTTCTTCTTCATTTTTATCCCCTTTATTCCAACCAACATTTTTCTTTTGTTTTTTATCTATTTTTGTTGTTGCCGAAATCTTTTTTTCTCGAATAATTTCTTTAATTTTATTATTATTTGTTGTTGATTGTATATTAGATAATGTTGCTGTTGCTGAATTTAAAGAATTTAATTTTAAATTGTCCGAGGAAGTAGATGAAGGATAAGAAGAAGACGTGTGATGATTTGAAGTTTCTGTTGTAGTTGAATTAATATATGAATTATTTATTGTTTTGTTGTTGTTGATAGCCTTAGCAGAAGCATTCTTTTAAAATTGATAAAAAAAAATTAATTAAAATTTTTATTTATTTATTCAAATAGAAAGACGCTATAATATACAGCCACTGATTGATTCCGGAAAACATTTAAGGAAGAATATTAAAAATTCCGGAAAAATAAATATATGAATTCTGATTTTTATTTTCCGGAAATAAATACAGAATTTTAAACATTTCAAAAAATATATTATTTCTTCCGGAAAGATGGTATTAAATTCTTTTTGGAAAAAATTATATAAATTCTGGTATTATTTACATATAACCGGAAAAATCAGAATTTTAAATTTTCTGGAAATATATACAAAATTCCGGAAAGATAAATACAAATAAATTCTGATTTGTATTCTATTTTCCGGAAAAAATTCAGAATTTTAAACTTTCCGGAAAATATACATATTATTTCTTCCGGAAAAAATGATATTAATTCTTTCCGGAAAAAATTAGAATATAGGTATTTTATAAAACATTTCCGGAAAATATATAAAATTCCGGTATTATTCCGGATTAGTTTAAATAATTTATTTTATCCGGAAAACCAATAAAAGTCAGAATTTTAAATAAATATATTCCCCCATTCACCTTTTCCATTAACGCAGCCGAAGCAAGAGCCATAAGCGGATCTAAGCACTTTTCACGAACATTTCTTGTCTTTTTAATCTAAAAATATTTTTATTTTAATTTTTCTTTTTAATTTGCCTGAGTTTCTTCAACTTCAATACGTCCATCATTCAAAATTGTGACAAAAGGTTCTTCTTCCTGGACACTTTTTGTTTCATTATTTTGCAATAATTCCTCATTAATTTCATTAATTTTATTTAAATTTTTTGTTGATTTAACTCCTCCTCCCCAACGTCGTTTTACTCCTTTAATACAATCTGTGGAAAAATTTATTTTATTTTTTTTTAATATTTTTAACGACCATCAAGTTCAGCATCCTCTCTAGCTTCTTCATCTTTAAGCCCCTGTAAAATTTGTGAACGCTCATGTGTTTTATTCGAATCCTTCTTTGTTTGCTCCCCACTTTCAGAACCATTTTCGTCTTTAGCCAACAAAAGAGAATGAATAATTGCCGATGTTGGTTTAGGAATACGGGCTGAACGACTAAAAATTGGAATTTTAAAAATTAAAAACAAGAAAAAAATTATTTTTTACCGAAGTCCACCAGGTGGCAAAGGCAAAGATTTATCACGACAAATGGTTACTGAACGAGCCAATTTTGGATGCGCTCTCATCTTAAATTATTAAAAAAATATTTTTAAAAAGAAAAAATATTTTTTTTAATATTAAAAAATTATTTTTTTTGCCTTTCCAGGAGGAGAAGCATTGCTATTATTATTTTTATTCTTTTTAAATTGTAATGCAAGTAGAGGTATTTCTATTCCGTGTTTTTCAAGTTTGTGTTGTTGCAATTCTTCAAAATTGTCATAGTCGATGCAACGGCCAAAACAAGAATCACACCTATTTTTGTTTTAAAAATTGTAATTTAAACTGTGTAGAACAAAGTTTGTTTCAAGTTTGTAAAAACATTTAAAGTTGTTTTTCAAGTTTATTTAATTAATAAACTTCAAAACAAGTTTATTTTACAAATTGTAAAAAAAGTTTATTTATTATACAATTTGTAAACTTGAAAACAAAGTTTATTTCCAAGTTTATTTATTTTTTACAATTTGTAATTTAATTTTTACAATTACAAAACTTTATTTTACAAAACCTTAAAGTTGTTGTCAAGCTTATTTAAAACATTATCTCCAAGTTTATTTATTCGAATAAATAAACTTGGAAATAAAGTTGCAAAACATTTTACAAATTGTAAAAAATAAATAAACTTGGAAACAAAGTTTATTTTTCCAAGTTTATTTTTTACAAATTGTAAAATGTTTTACAATTAATAAACTTTAATTATAAACCTAAAAGTAAGTTGTTGCTTTCGAGTAGAAGACATTTTCTCTAATAATTCAACAGTTGCCGATCTAGGATTACCCAACAAAACATCGTGAACCTTTAAAAAAATATTTTTTTAATTAAATAAAAAATTAAAATACATTTAACATATGAAATTCATAATAATGTCGGGTGCTCATTTCTCGGTTACAAGCTGAACAATACTTTTCAACATGATTCTTTGCCTTTCTACCAACACTATTTTGTTGCAAAACCATTGAATCAGGTGTATTATTAATATTATTTTGTTTATCCAATAATTGCTTTTCTCCCTTAAATTAATTTTATTTTTTAATTTTATTTTACTCTTAATTTTAATTTGGTTTAGGTATATATTTTTATTTATTTTCAAATTTTAATTCTTAATTCTGTCACTCTTTCTTAGTTTTATTTTTTTATTTTTATTTTAATTATAATTTTAAATTTTTATTAAAGAATTTATTATTTTGTCATCAAAAATCGATTTACTAAAAACAAATAAAAATTATTAATGTACAACAAAACTTAGTCGTTATTAAATTACAATAGCTTTTGTAAAACTTAAAAATTACAATTTGTAAATTTAAGAATAATTATAAACTTGAAATATTCAAGTTTAGTTAAATTTACAATTATCACCAAGTTTTACAATTAATTAAAAATAATTATAATTTTATTTCAAGTTTTACAAAACATTTGTAGTTTTACAATAAAAACAAGTTTGTTTTACAAACATTTTAAGAATTGTAATTTTAATGGTAATTGTAAAACTTGAATTATTTTTTGAATCAAGTTTAATTAAATTTACAATTATCATTAAGTTTTACAATTATTAAAAATAATTGTAATTTTGTTTCAAGTTTTACAATAAACAATTTTACAATTATTTTTTACAATTTGTAATTTCTAATAATTATAGTTTTAATAATTGTAATTACAATTATTTAATAATTTTGTTTTATATTATAGCAATGTGTAAGTTTATTTAACGACAATCAATAGCGAGATTTAAGCAGTGTTCAAAACACCCAAACGTTAAAATACCCATAAATGCTTTTAATTTTCTTTTATTTTTCAAAATTATATTTTTAATTTAATTTTTAAGTGTTTTAATTAATTTTTGTTTTTCGAATAGATAGAGTATATTTTTTAAATGTTGAGGGGTTAATTAATTACTGCAATTTAGTATATAGTTATGCAAGTTATTAAAATTAATGGAATATTTTTAAAAATTATTTTAATTAATTTCGGGTAGTTTAGACAGATTAGTTTTAATTTTAAAATTATTTTTAATTATTTTCTTCGATTAGACTATTTTAAAAATTAATAAATTCAATAAAAAATCCATTAAAATTTTTTTAAAAATAAAAAAAATAATTTTTGAAAATTAAAAAAATTTTTTTAATTCTTAAAATTTATTTTAAAAAAAATTAAAAGAAAAAACCTTTCCTCCCCGATATTCCCTTCTCCATTTATAAATTGTGCACAAAGTCGGTACTTGCTCCCCAAATTTATCTTTTAACTGTTCAGTTGAAGCAATAGCCCCAATACCTTTATCACACAAATCAAAAATAAATTCTCTCATTTTTTGATAAACTGGGTTGTTTAATGAATATGTACGGGGTGTTGAATTATTTGTTGAAGTATTTATTGGTGTATCTTGATTGTTTAAATTTGGAGTTGATTGAATAATTGATGGAGAAGAAGAAGACATTTTTGCTTCTATTTTTTGATAATTTTGTTTTAAAAATATTATTATTTTTGATTTTTCCCTTAAAAAATAATTTAATTTTGTAGCGTTTGAATTTTAAAATAAAAATATTTTTTTTTCAAAATTACTCGAAAATTATTAGAAAATTACTCGATTGAGTATACGCTCTAATAGCCTTACAGTTCTAAAACAACCACTTACTAACAAATAAGTGCCCCCCCCCCCAAGTTTGTGGAATGTTTAAAAAAATAAATTCTATGGTCTATGGACGGCTTATAGATTTTTTGTGAACAAATTTAAACAGATACCCAGATATTGAAGATTCCAAGAAATAAGTGTCTAAAGAACGCAGAATTTGTGGAATAATTTTTAAAAAATAATAAATGCTGTGGTCTAAGACAACTTGTGGATTTTTTATGGATTTTAAAAAGACTACAAGCTTTCTCAAATTCTAAAAAATATTATTAATGTCTAAATATCTAAGATCTCCTTAAACATTAAAATAATAATTTTGAATTTTTTAAATAAATTATTTGGAAAATAAAAAATAAAGTAAATTTTCAATTAAATATTTTACAAGTAAAAGATAAAGGTTAAAAATTAAATATAAATTAGAGCCCGGACGGAGGGCTCGGTCGATATTTTTTCGATAAATATCGAAAAATACCGAATATCGAAAAATATCGAAAAAACCAAAATTTTCTCGGTCGATATTTTTTCGATAAATATCGAAAAATATCGAAACCGAAAAATATCGAAAAAAAAGTCTCGATATTTTTCGATTTTTAAAAAAATTTTCTATGACCAATGAAAAACAGAATAGACCTAATAGTTTAATAAGATTAAGATTGATTAAATATGATATTGGTGGATTTGGACATATTAAATCTAATATCAATGGACTTGTATTTGATATTTAAGGATCAAGTGGGATATAACTGGATTTTAACTAGGATTAATGGATTTTAAGGAATTATTGGGGATATTGAAGGACTGAGGACGTACCGAGAGATTTACAAGTAGAAAGAGTGATATTGTAGATTTGTGAGATCAGGCGGGATATCAAGAGATTTGTGGATTAAGAGGGATATCGAGGAATAACGAGATATCAGAGGATGAAAATCTTGGCATTTGATATCCGTTTTGATATCTATCTCACCCAATGTCCTTGATCCATTGAGATCCATTTTATCCACTTAATCCTCTATAAGTTATACAAATAGTCGATTATCCCAGATATCCATAATATCCTCATGATCCTGGATATCTCAAATATCCCACAAATCTTCTCATACACACACTGAAATCTCCCTTAATCTACCGAAATTTTTTAAATTTATATTTGTAGGGAATCGAGGGAATATGATGGCTTAATGGGACAAAAAAGGATATTCTAACAATTTTATGAAAATCTCGGAAGGTCAAGTTGCAAAATTTTTGCGCCGCAGGCGAAAATTTTTTGAATTTCCGATGGGCAAGAAGCAAAAATGCATCCTTTTTGCGCCAAAAATTCAAATTTTTGTCGAAAATGACGTTCGATATTTTTTTCGATTTTTTGTAATTTGGTCGGTCGATTGTTTCGATTTTTAAAATTTTTCGGTCGATATTTTTTCGATAAATATCGAAAAATACCGAATATCGAAAAATATCGAAAAAGACAAAATTTTTTCGGTCGATATTTTTTCGATAATATCGAAAAATATATATCGAAAAATACCGAAAAATATCGAAAAAATATCGTATCGGTCCGGGCTCTAATATAAATTAAGAAATAATATCTATTTACTTAACAAAATTAAAGAGGAAAAAAATACATATTTACAAACAAAACTAAAAGGGTTGGAAGAGAAAATAAAAATGAGAAAAATTGTTTCTTCGATTTTATAAACTAAAATAAATTATTTTTAAAATAATACATATTCGAAAAATAATTATTAATTAATTAAAGCTAAAATAAATGTCATAATTCTGAGTCATTTTAAAATTATTTTTATAAGAAAAACGATTTATTTTGATGAAAATAAATTATTCTGTTTTAATTCTACAAAACATTAACAATTAGGAGACTGAAAAATGAAATCAGAAAAATAATAAAATAAATCAGAAGAATATGAAAGAAAATACAAAACAGAACACCAGAAATATTATGACAGAAAATACAAAACAGAAAAATAGAAATACAAAAGAAAAATACAAAATACGAAATCAGAAATAGTTTCCGGAGAATACAAATTTCAGAATTTATAGCAATTAAACGAAATCAGAATTCAAAACCTGAAGGAAGAATAGAATATATTAAACTTTCCGGAAAACATAAAAATAATAAAAACAACAAGTATCCGGAAAATACAAAATTCAGAAAGTTTACGGAAAATACAAACATAAATACAAAACAGAATGAATCCGGAAAATACAAATTTTAAAACTTTCCGGAAAACACAAAAATAATAAAAACAACAAGTTTCCGGAAAACACAAATTAATAGTTTCCGGAAAATATATTAGAATTACTTGACAGTAATTTACAAAAATATCAGAATTACTAAAACTTGAAACTTTCCGGAAAACAGAAACAAGTATTTTACAATCCGGAAAGTTGTAATTGTAAAAAGGGAATATAATAATGTGTGTAAGAGAAAATACAAAATAATTAAATTAATTTACAAATAAATATGCTTTACTAATATAATAAATGCTTTTATATGCTGCCTTCTATTAATAATTTTAATTTTTTTTAAATTATTTATTAAAAATAATTTTAAAAATAATTTTTATTAATTAAAAATAATTTTGTCATTTTTAAAATAATTTTCATTTTTAATTTATTATTATTCACCACAAAAATTAAAAAAAAATTATTTTTATTTTCTCCAAAAATTATAGGCTTAATCGAAAAGAATTTAATAAATATTTGCGTTGTTCAATAATAAAAATAATATAAAATAATTTTACTCTTTCTCTTAAAATCCCCTTCCTTTCCTTGTATTTATTAGAGAGAAAGATGGACAATGCAAAAGAAAAGAAATTTAAAAAAGAAAAATAGAGAAAGAATTGTCTATTTAAAGTTTGTTAATAGTTAGAGAAAAGGGGAAATAGTGGGGGAAAATGAGAGACTAGAATAATTCTTGTTGTAAAAGAAAGAAGAGAGAGTGTGTAAAAATGAGAGGGTGTCCATTCTGTCTATATCTATGAATGCATGAGTGAAAAATAAATTATTTTATAAATGATCGATTTTAGTAAATTAAATTAAAAATTATTTTTATTAATTTAATAAAAATAAAATTATTAATTAAATTAATTTTTAGGAAAATTTAGAAAATAAAATTTTTGGGGAGAAAAAACAAGAATAATTTTTCAGTAAAAAAGAGAAAAAGAAAAGCAGAATTTTTAGTAAAAGTAAATAAAAATGTAAAATGTTGGCATTATTTTTTAGCTAATATAAAAGAATTTAAAAGATAAAAGTAAGAAAATATTATTGACTTTAATTTATGTAAAAGTGAGTGAAAAAGTTGAAATATCTAAATAATCAGAATAAAATATTCTGATTTATTAGTAGTTAACCCACAGTCGGTGTCGTGGCTTTTTACTAATCCACTACCCGTCAAGTGGTGGAGGGGTCCGACAAAAACCAAAAGGGAGAGGGAATGCAGCGGTAAAGATCAAAGGGAGTGGACACTGTCGTGGGGAAGGAGGGGTCCGATAAAAGGAAGAGAAGTGGACACCCAAAAAGAAAGAGGAGAAACCAAAAGAGGGAGTGGGTAATTTGTAATAAGCTGGTTAACGTCGCGGCTGGCAATAACACGTAATCATGTAGAACGAAATGAATGAGTGATTAATTAGTAGAGATGAGCAATTTACAAATCTTCAATGTCGAGAATTCGTATATTACTAGATTAAACCTTGTAATCCACTTCATATCAATAATGAAAGTGATTACCCAGATTGATATCTCAAGTGATTACTATACAGTTCGATTATTATGTTTTGTATCGTTAATAATGATATGATAGTGAAAGTGATTATGTTAATTAAAGTGATAGCTGATAATTTTTTACCAAATTAAAATTCTGTATTTTCAATCCCTAGTCTTTTTTTTTGCTCCCTAAAAATTTTGCCTTTGTTTTTAATACTTTTGTTTTCAGATAATGACCTTGACCTAATTAAAATTTAACTTTAATCCCTTTTTTATTGAATTTCTAAATTTTTTATTTTCTCTTTGATGTTGCCGATATTTTAAATTTATGCAAATTTTTATTTTAAAACCTCTTTGAAGATGCCGCCTATATTTTAAAAATTTTAAAAATTTATTTTTCTTAAATTTATGCAAATTAAACTTTTAAAACCCCTTTGAAGATGCCGCCTATATTTCACAAGTAAAAGTTTTGCCAAAAACTTTCATATAAATACAACGATTTTTAAAATTTATTTCTCATTTGTATTCACTTTAAAAATAAAAAAACAATTTAAAATATTTATTAATTTGCTCCTCATTTTCTCTATTTTCAATAGGAGCTCTTTTTGCTCCCCATAAATTTTTGCTCTTTTTTTCATAGGAGCTCTTTTCTCACACGAGCTTTTTTTTCAATAATGGACTATATTCCTCCAACAAAACGCGCAAGAGCGTTCTTTATTGATAACCTGCTCTCTATCAATCAATCAGGAGGAGATGCTTTACAATATATTGAGCAGCTTGAAAATACTACAAAATACATCAATAAATTCAAAATCACCAAAAATTACACAAAATTCCTTATTCAGAATATTCCTTCCGACCCTGAGGCCTTATTATCAGGAATATTCCAGCACTGTTTCAACGAAGCCATGAACAACGCAAGAAACAATGGACTTGAACCGGAGGAGCTGAGTTGCACAGTAACAAGTGAGTTATTAGATTCTGATATTTGGATACCCCTTAGGCCCTCATCACAAAACACCTTTAATACCCTGCTTAATCAATTTAATAAGGTTTCTCAAAGTAAAAAGCAGGCCGGAGTTACACTTTGGGGAAAACCCTTTTCAGTTAATGTTATGGTTGTTGATAAGAAGAATTTGGTC